CTCCCAGTTGCCATGTTCAAAGTGGTTGAGAAGAAGGAACTTTAACAATGACTCGAAAGCACGTCGGAAAGTCTCTGTCGTCTCAAAGAAAGCGCTCCCTGCACAGGGAATCACCTGAGTGTAGTGACTGTGTGTTTGTAACACACTGTGTGTCAGTGTATATGTATGACTGCATGTGTGTGTGTGTCACTGTGTATGCGTTTGTACATGTGTGTGTCTGTGTGTGTGAATGAGTGTATTTGTGTATGACTGAGTGTGTATGTGTGTGAGTATTTGTGCATGAGTATGAGTGAGTGAGTGTGAGTATATGTGTGTGGTTAGTGTAAATGTGTGTACGTATGTATGTACGTGTGAGCGTGTGTTTGGGGTGGGTGGGAGGCATGTGGCAGCCAGGTTTAGGGTGAAGTTATTGGTGTTGTTACTGTGACAGCAGCTTTGGCCCAAAGGTCGGAGGCAAAAATCAATAGCAATTTACTCCGTTTCCTTGGAAATTAAAGCAGGGTCGGGAAATAGCCAATGATAAAGGAGACAGCCCTGGGAAACCTCAAAGGAGATTGATCCCTATCAAGTTGTCCTGGGAGAACGATGTGCAGGAGAAACACTGGGAAAGGGGCCCTCCAATGTCACGGAGCTTAGTTTAAGAGACTCATTGATTTCTGTGTCACACCTTAAGAAGCTTTTACACAAATTGCTGTCCTGACCAAACGTTTAAACTATCTTTCATCAACGCCTTCAGGAGATCAGATTCAGCCTTTTCTGGAGTCCTGTAGCTCAGTAGAGCACTCGCCTCGCAAGCGAGAGTACCTGGGTTCGATTCCCGGCTGGGCAGGGTGAAACCTTGGGCAAGTCTCCTTACTCCCCCCCACACACACACACACACCCCAACACAACAAGCAAACAACGCACACACACACATACAACGAATGCGCGCGCACACGTTCACTGACACAACACATGCACACACAACGTATCAACACACACCAACACAACAGGCAGACAAAATACATACACATGTAGCACACACTGTAGCTCAGGCACACACACATCGACACACAGGCTGAGACCGAGAAGGAAATCATTGAAGATCAAGAGGGGAAGCTGTGCACTGAGCAGCTCAGGGTTAAGGCTGGAATGTTAGTTCTGATTTATTTAGCTTATCACATGGAACGAGGCTGGTGCTGGGGAAAAAGGATTAATTTTCCACTTCTTGCAATAAACAGTTACCACATCAGCCAGTCAGGCAGAGCCCAGACACCGAGTAAAAAACCCTCACGTCTGATCTGGCGTCTCTATCATCAGCCTTCACAGAGAGTTGCTGTCAAGCACAGGGAACTCTGTGCCTTGTTGGTGTATGTGACAGCCAGTTTGCTCACAGCAATGTCCCTGCAAACAGCCATGAAATGAACGACTGATTTTATTTGGGGAGGGGGGAGGTTCTAAGATCTCATCCGCAAGGGATGGGGAGCCACACTCCCAGAACCACAACAGAGATTCCGTCCGTCCCATCGGACACGGAGTCCTGTAGTGTAGTGGTTTGAGCCTCGCCTCGCAAGCGAGAGGACCCGGGTTTGATTCCCAGTCGGGTCTGGTCGGGGCGAAACCTTAGGCAAGTTTCCTTACTCCACACACGCCTCATTTCACCCAGCAGTAAGTAGGAACCCGGTTGTTAGTCGATTGGCGGATCGCTTTCCGGGCGTAATAATAATAATTTGGTCACTCAATCCACGACTGTTTGTGGGGCGCTGCTGCGCACGATTGGCTGCTGCATTTCGCCCACAAAATATACAGTCACTTCACTTCACAGTGTATTCTGTGAAGCGTTTTGAGGCATCTTGACGACGTGATAAAAATCAAATGCAAGGATTATTATTATCACGAAGCAGACTGACTCAGCCTTGAGAGAGACTCAGTTTAAACAATGCATTCATCCCTGCTCTCTTTCTACTTCTGTCTACCTCTATCCCCAGCTTCACCATTTACAAGATTCAGCTCATTCAATGCTCTGCTGTCCGCATACTGACCCGGACCAAACTCCATACCCACATCTCACCAGTTCTGGCCGGGCTCCACTGGCTCCCTCCTCTTCACCGAACAGATCGACTTCAAGATCCTTACACTCGTGCTCAAATCCATTCACCTCTCTGCCTCTCCGACCTCCTCACTCCCCCCAATCCACCACCCGGTCAGCGCCTCCACTCGACTGGCACTGACCGGCCTCTGGTTCGTCCCTCGCACCCTCCACCCCACCATCGGAGGTCGTGCTTTCAGCCACAACGCCCCCAAACTGTGGAACACCCTCCCTCAATCCCTCCGCCTTGCCCCCCCACCACCACCTCTCTCTCTCTCTCTCCACTCTTTCAAGTCCCACCTGAAGTGGTCATGGGAATTCATGTCCGAGTGCGCGACCTTTGCTGTGTGCAAACTGAACTGTCTCGAAGACGTGATAAGGCACTATATATATCAAAAGCAAGGATTATTATCATAATAATAATAATTACAACACATTCCATTTACGTGGCGCCTTTCACGTTGGGAGGACATCCCAAGGTGCTGGACAGTCAGGGATTTGGACTTGAGCTGGTGGTTGGGATCATGGGGTGGGGGACACTTATTCATTGGGCCACTTTAAGATGAGGGTTTTTGTTCATTAAAACGACTTCATTAAAAAAAAAGGGTAAAATCCAGGACATGTATTGTCTGCCTTTAAAAGTGAATTTGCAGGAGAATAAAAGTACTCGTGAGTTATGTAGGGTTTGATCAATGGAAGTGACACCTCCTGCCCCCTCCCCCACCGCAATCTTTGTCACACCGCTCTATATAAACCCACGCGCACAGTGAATAACGTTTAAAAATGTTAATGGATTCAATTTCGTTCCACTCCCTGCCCCGACACACAACGCAATCAATGAGTCTGCAACAGAGCAACTATTGTCTTATTATAACGAATGTCACAAAAATATCCCGACTGACTGTGACAGACCTGTGGATGTGACTTTCAACAGTGTCGCTTTTTTTTAAAATAAAGCAAAAAGGGATTCAGTCCAAAAGGAGTTCCTGTTATTTTGAACTTTGTCAGTCGCTGTCTCAGTCGCTCAGCACTTTCACCTCCGAGTCAGAGAATAAGCACTTTAAGCTCCCAGTCCATAACTCGCGTTACTTAGTTCCGGAACTATCTCTGAACACTCCCCAGCAGAGTGCCTAAAATTGTGGAGTCCTGTAGCGTATTGGTTAACACACTCGCCTTGCAAGCAAGAGGACCCGGGTTCGATTCCCAGTGGGGGGGGTCGAGGCAAAACCTTAGGCAAGTTTCCTTACTTTACACGCACGCATGCCTTGTTAGTCAATTGGTGGATCGCTTTCCGGGGGTAATAATCCCTTTAAAAAATAAGAAGAAGAATTCGGACTCAATCCACGACTGTTTGTGGGACACTGCTGTGTGCAATTGGCTGCCGCACTTCACCCATAAAATACAGTCCATTCACTTTACAATATATTCTATGAAGCGCTTTGAGACGTCTCAAAGACGGGATCAGGCGCTGCATCAAATGCAAGGATTATTAAAATTGCACAATCCCTTCCCTACCCTGCTTCAAAGTCACAACTTGTGAACAGGTAACCATTCTTACCTTTCATATAGTTCCTGCAGCATCGAAACGTCTCGATGTGCTTCAGAGGACGTTTGCTGTCAAGACTGTACTTGTGACATGGCGGGGGGAGGTGGGTTGAAACTGCGAGCTTCTCTTTTCCACCCCACGTTACATTTTTCTTTCATCAGCCAGGTGCCTGGACACATGTGGGGACCCATCACTGTGCTTAACAGCATCCAAGCCAGAGTCCCACATCACCTATATCATCTACTAGAATGGAATGCACAGTCTCTCTCTCTCTCTCTCGCTCTCTCCGTGGTTGCACCCTCATTACCTCATCCCAGAGAGTGTTAGGTACAGATTGGTGAGAGCCAAAGCATGCGTGGGGGAGCGAGCTAAAACTATGGAGCTTGCCTCTTTCTTCCCCCCCCCACCCCCTTCTCGGCGTCGCTCCCGCGTCGAGTGGCGCCGTGTGATTAGACGCCGTCATCGTTGCCAATTAATTACAACAACGAATCTCCCACCTCCTCACTCCCCCCAATCCACAACCCGCTGCCTCCGCTCGACTGGCTCCGGCCTCCCGCGATGTCCCTCCGTTCCACCGTCCGCAGCCGCACTTTTAAGCCACTACACCCCGAAACTCTGTCACACTCTCCCTCAATCCCCCCCCCCCCCCCCCCGGCCCCCAAGCCTTGCCCCTCCTTCCTTCCCCATCGTCAGGTTGTTTCCGAAGACCTTCCTCTTCGACCGTGCCTATGGTCAACCCCCACTTGTCCTTTCCTCTCCCCTTGCCCCCTTTTCCCCCTCCCCTCTTCCCCCCTTGACCCCTCCCACTCCCCTCCCCCCCCACCCCGGCTCAGTGTCAGGCTGAGCGCGCGGCCGGTCAAGCGCTCCCAGACGCTACCCTGGGTGAGGGGGCGCCGAATAAAATGCAAGTTGTTGTCGGTGGTGGTGTCGTCGTCAAGCCCTGGCCGGGCGGGGGCGGTGGGGCGGGGGGGGGGAGGGGCTCGGTGGAGGGGGTCCCGCGCCCCCGCGCGTGTGCGTGCGCGTCCCCCCCCCCGCCCCGGGGACAACCGGCCCGGGGCTGGAACGCCGCTCATTGGCCCGCAAACCGGGGGGAGCCCCGCCAGCACGTGCTTCGGCCCCCGGTTCCCGCCAAGCGGCCAAAATGGCGACCGGGGCGCGCCGCGCCGCGTGACGCGTGGTGACGCGTGTCCCCTTCGCCCTCCCGCGTCCGCTTCCACGCCCCCCCCGCCGTGTCACGTGACTCCACCCCCCCCCCCACCCACCCCTCTCTCCCACTCAGTCACTCTGGGGGCACGTGGCGGGTGGGCGTGGCCCCCGCCGTCGGCGTCACGACGCACAGCACGCAACGCACGCACGCTGCTACTTACGTGGCAGCACTCGGGCTCGCGCTTCTTTGCAGTCCGCGGACTCTCTCAGGAGAAGCCGCCGCCGCCATCACCCATGTCAGCTCCCGCCAACGTGATGAGCACAGCCGAGGACCTCGCCGACCAGGTAGGTACCCCACCTACCCCCCCCCCCGCCCCGCCTCCGAACGGCAGCCCCCCCCTCCCCCCGCCCGCCGCCCGGGAGCCGACCTCCCACTCCTACCGCCGGCGACGGGTGTGTGAGGGGCTTGCGGCCTAGCTGCCCCCCCTGAAGCCTCGGGCTCGATTTATCCGCACCCCCGGGGTTTTGGACCCACTGAGCGGGTGGTGACGTAAAGGCCAGTTTGCTGCTGTTGTTGTTGTGAAGGGGCTGTGGGTGGTGGGGGTGAGAGACGGGTATGAAGTGAACTCCCTCACTCCCTCCCTCACTCACTCACTCACTCACTCATTGTCTCCTCATCTCACTCTGTTATCATTGCTGATGATGATGATCTTTGCATTTGGTGCAGTGTCTTGTCTCATCTTCGAGGCGTCTCAAAGAGCTTCTACGGCAACAGCTCGCGCTTATACAGCGCCCTCCCCCCCCCCCCCCACCCGCGGGGGAGCGTCTCAGAGCGCTTAACAGTGGCGTAAGCCTGACTCCGAGCCGGTGGGTTGGGGGGGGGGGTTGTGGGGGTGAGGAGGCCGTACGCTCGGTCAAGTCCTGTAAGGGGGGGCTTGAACGAGGGTAGAGAGGGGGGGGTGGGGGCGCAAGGCGGAGGGGGCGCAAGGCGGAGGGATTGAGGGAGAGCGTTCGAGAGTTTCGGGGCGCAGTGGCCCAAAGCGCGACCTCCGATGGTGGGGTCCCGGAGGGCGCGAGGGACGAGCCGGAGGCCGGTCGGTGCCAGTCGAGCGGAGGCGCTGACCGGGTGGTGGNTTGAGGGGGAGTCAGGAGGTTGGAGAGGTAGGGAGGTGCCGGGGAGTGGGTGAGGATCTTGAAGTCGATCCGTTCGGTGACGGGGAGGGAGCCAGTGGAACCCGGCCAGAACTGGTGAGATGTGGGTACTTCACCCATTTCTCCACAGGCTGTAATTGCTCACTCACTCCAGTCTTCACTACACGAACATCCCAACTCTTCCCTCCACAAGCTGCAGATTACTCAGGATTCTGCAGCTCATGTCCTCTCCCACGCTGCACTCCTTGACCCTGTCACCTTTTCATCCTCGGCCAGCTCCGCTGGCTCCCCATCATCAGAGGGTAGAGTTCAAAATCCTCGTCCTCACTTTTTAAAGCCCTCCACGTCCTCGCTCCTCCCACCCCCTGTGACTTACTAAAACTGGACAGTCGGGGATTTGCACCCGAGCTGGGGGTTGGGATCAGTAGGGGTGAAGGGTAGGAGGAGTGGGGTTAGGAGGATAACCAAAGGCACTATCAAAGAGAAGGGTCTCGAGACGGGCCTTGAATGAGGCAAGGGTGGGAGCGAGGCGAAAGAACGGTGGGATGAAGTTCCAAAGGATGGGGGCAGAGAGGCTGAAGGCCCAACCGCCGATGGTTGATTTGAAGATGGGAGAGTAAGGCATAAGGCAAAGGGGATCTGAGGTGGGATGGCATTCCAGAGATTGCCCACCAATCGTGCGGGGGCCATGAGGTGGGCTGGTGCTTGATGTTGGAGAGTATTTTTGTCATATTTAAACAACGTGATAACTTTTCAGGAAAGTGAAACTGCCTTGTGAAACAGTGTTCGTCTGCCTCTCTTTGGGGCTTCCTCTCTCTTTTTCTGTGCATCCGCCTCTATATAATCCGCTGTTGGTGGAGGCACCATGTGGTGTGGATTGTGAAGTCCCTGGTTTGATCCCCCTGGTCTGTGGTGTCAACTCATCCCAGCGGAGTCGAGATTAGTGTCTGTGCCACTCATTTTCATTAACAGTCCCTCGTTTTAATAGTCCTGATGTTAATAATCTCTGCATTTGATATAGCGTCTTACCATGTCTTCGAGGTGTCTCAAAGGGCTTTGCACAATATGTTGCTAAATGAATTGACCTTATATCATGTAGGTGAAATACAGCAGCCAGTTGCGCACTGCAGTATCCCACAAACAATCGTGGATTGAGGGACCAAATTATTCTTGTTTTTTTGGGGTGGGGGGCTGCATCATTATCCCCGGAAAAGCGATCCGACGAATGATTTAACAATCGGGTTCCTTGCCTGGGATTCGAACTCGGGTCCTCTCCGTTGCGAGAAGCGAGTTACAGGACTCCACAAGAGAGCGGTCATTCAAAGTGCCTGCTCACTAGTCCGCTGCTGTGGTATCATCGGTGGTTGCGCTTTCAGCCACTAGGTCCCAAACTTTGGCGCACTCTCCCTTGATCCTCCCGCCTTGCCCCATTCCCTGGAACTGAAGTTGTTCCTCTTCGGCCGTGCCTACGGTCACCTCGGTCTCTACTAGACGTGGTGCTCCGCCATTGTCAAGCACTCTGGGATTCTGGGTTGCTGGGCATCAGTGAAGTGGCCACCAGCATTCGCTGTATAGGCTCAGGATTGAAGAACGACCATCAGCTTGCGGGATTGGAAGTGTGCTTGTAGCCTTGCTTGTTCATCACTCTCTTGCCTGAGGAGAGGGAGGAAGAAAAGTGGCAAAGCAAATTGTTCTCATGTACTGACCCTGCTGTTTTATGGCCACAGTTTGCAGCCAGTAAGGCGGCCCCAGGTTATTGAACGTGTGGCTGTTGACAAAAGTTTAATTTGCATTCGGTTAGACTAGGCCCTGTGACAATCTGTAGCGTATGCTTATTAGGGTTTGCATAAATTATTTTTTAAAAAAAAGTACAGTTAATTTTATATAATCTACTGGGTTCATGGCAGCTGCCTCCGCGAATACTACACAAAAGGTGTCTGAACCCGGCAATTACAAGACGAACTGTAACCTATACGTATACTTTACAGAAACGTTTCGTAATTGACATTTCCTCTTGCCATTGATAGTACCAAAGAAGCCTTATTAGTCCTGTAGCTTAGCGGTTCGAGCCCTCTCGCCTCGCAAGCGAGAGGACCTGTGTTTGAAATACACAGTCAATTCACTTTACAGTATATTCTGTATAGCGCTTTGAGACGTCTTGAAGACGTGATAAAGCGCTATATTAAATACTTGATCTTTTGTAAATAGCTGGTGACCATCATCACCTCTGCTTTCGTTCCGATTGGATTAAATGGATTTTGTGACCGGTATACACAAGTAAATTGTCATTATTTACGACAAATTACAACAACAACAACAACAAGATTCCATTTATTGAGCGCCTTTCACGTCGGGAGGACGTCCCAAGGCGCTGATTAGCCTGATTCCCTCCCTCCCAATGCTGATGATTCAGTGCATTGCTCTTCAGATCCTAGAGTTTCAGAGCCCAAGAGAGAGGGATTTCGCTCATCGTATCTGTGCCAGATAATAATAATTGTCTGTGCCTAATAATCACTGCATTTGATATAGCGCCTTATAGCGTCTTTGGGACATCTCAAAGCACTTCATAGGATTTACAGTAAAATGGAGTGAGTGTGTATTTTGTGGTTGAAAAGCTACAGCCAATTGCCAAGCCAAGTAAGGAAACTTGCCCTCCCCGGGAATCGAATCCATGTCCTCTTGATTACGAGGCGAATGCACTAACCAAAATGCTACAGGACTCTGTAGGAGCTCTCCATTTAGCCGTACTCCACTGCCTTTTCCCCCGAAAACTGGATTGTTTCCAATAATTTGCATTCACTGCAAATATCGTTTTCCATTCCCAGGTGCTGCCTGAAAATGATTTGCCTCCCTCAAACCACTTACTGAAGTCCCAATGTCTGCCGCTTTACATAGTAAGCAGTGGTTACCTGGGAGAAACTTAGACCAGGCTTTTAACCCACTTACCAATTAGGATAGCAAATTGCTAGTTTGACTAGGAGTTTATGAATGTCACTGTAACTAACCGCGATTTGATTACAGATTCTAAACTCAATTAATACTGTAGGGTCAAATTGTTCCTGTGCTGACACGATAAATTGATTCAAAGATTTGGCAAAGCGTAAATTAAACGTTGAGCCTGAGTGATGCAACTTAACTCATTAAATGCAGTTCTAACAAGTTCATTCTGGGCTTCTCATAGTAGTAGGATTCCACTATGTACGAGAAGTATGTGTTTTATCATTTAAAATGTCTCACCTTGCCTCAGAAGGCAGTCAGGCAATTAAACAATTAGTCTTAATGGGAGTCGTGCTGTGCAGAGCTGCCTTTGCCGGAGGAGAGGAAGCTTCATTCTGAAATGTAAGGTGTAGGATGTCCGTTTGTGACCACAAGAGGAGCAGAGGGCCACAGCACAGGGTATTTGTGCGTGTGAAACTTCAATAGTAAACAACAACTTGCATTTACACAGTGCCCCCTCACGCGGGGTAGCGTTCCAGAGCGCTTGACAGTGACAGAGCACAACGCCAGGGAGGGGGGAGGTGACCATTGGCACAGACGAATAGGAAGGCTTTCAGGCGCGATCTGAAGATGAGGAAGGATGGAGGGGCAAGGTGTAGGGCCATTGAGGGAGTGTGTGACAGAGTTTCGGAACGTAGTGGCTGAAAGCTTGGCCACCGATGGTGGAAGTGAGGGCACGAAGAACAAACAGGAGGGCAGTCAACCACCTTGCCCGTGTACTCGAAGGCCTGACACCACTCTACTCTGCCACCCCCGGAATAAATAATGTTGCTTTTCATGAACAAAGAAGACGTTGCTTTACTAATATTCCTGTTTATTGCAGCTCCCGAGCAAGTCACTGCTCAGAATTGTAGCTTTAAGAGCGATATCACGTTTACAACACGTGCTGAAACCTCTGTAGATACTGCAGTTGGAACACCAGTGATTTCTCTGTGTTCTCCTTGACCCTTTGGTCTCCATTTTAGATGTCAGGCTTTCGGTATACTCCCTACGTTAGGAAATCCAGATATCACGGTTGCAGGTCAATATAGACGAGTTACGTCCGTCCCCGTGTTGTACAAACAGCTGTAAGCTTTGGTGAGGTGCATTTGTGGAAGTTTGCTTTGCAGTGATAAAGTAATAATACTAAAATCCTTTCATTTGGTCTTAGGGTCCTCTGTATTGGGAGGACATGTCAAAGAGTTTCACAGGATTTGCTGCAAAGTGTAGCGACTGCATATTTCGTAGGCAAACGAGCTTCAAATGGGGAGTGGGTTGGGGGGGGGGTTCAGAATGGACCTGTGCTCGCGGCCCACAGCACGTAGAGCCAGGCCCCAAGCTAAGTTACTGGCTGCAGACACCTCTCCCGAAGGCGTGATAAGGCACTATAAACAAGTGCAAGGATTATTGTTATTATTTGCCGTGTGGTTCTCTCGGCAGCTTCTGGTCCCCGTTTGGATATTTGACATCCTTCTCTTTTTCATTCACCTCCTCCACTTCTGTAAGGAGAGCAAATCTTGTAGTGTTTAAGGTGGGAGTAAAAAAAATGGGTAATTACCTCGGACTTGTAGCAAATTGGTTTTCAAGTCGTTGGCGACAGAGCAAATTGCCAGTCAAGTAGGCAGTTGTTAGTCAGCAGAGAGCTCGAGTACTAGTTAATGTTTCTGCGTTTGTCAGAGACCACTCGAGTCAGTATTTACAAGGTAAATCGGTGATTTTATTTTTTGATGCTTTCTTTCAGTTTCTGCGAGTGACCAAACGTTTCCTGCCACACATAGCCCACTTGTGTCTGATCAGCACCTTCCTGGAGGATGGCTTTCGCATGTGGTTCCAGTGGAATGAGCAGAGGGACTACATCGACCTGACCTGGCACTGCGGCACCTTTGTTGCCGTTATGTTCGTTTTCCTCAATATGGTCGGGCAACTAGGTGAGTCATTGCTGAAGCGATAATGGTACCATCCGTGGAGTCCTGTAGCTCAGTGGTTAGAGCATTTGCCTCGCAAGCGAGAGACCTGGGTTTGATTCCCGGCAGGGCGGAAATGTTGGGCAAGTTTCCTTACTTCACACGCCTCTGTTTACCAAGCAGTAAGTAGGAACCCGGTTGTTAGTTGATTGGCGGGTGGCTTTTCTGGGGGTAATAATTCCTTCAAAGAAAATAATAATAATATTTTGGTTACTCAATCCATAACTGTTTTGGGGGCACTGCTGTGCGCAATTGGCTGCTGTGTTTCTCCCACAACATATACAGTCACTACACTTTACAGTATATTCTGTGATGCGCTTTGAGACGTCTTGAAGACATGATAAGGCGCTGTATCAAATGCAAAGATTATTTAATGTGTCCAAGGTCTCGTAAGTCAGGAGTGAAATTTTCTCTTTGTTTGGCGGATTGGAACTCCATCCCAGAGCTCCTTCACCTTGCCTCCTCCCAACAATCTATATCTGGGATTTCCATGGGTAGATGAGATGCATCGAATTCTCAGGTTGGGTTTAGATAGTCTTAAGCAACGGTAATGGGTTTCCGCGTGTGTCAAGACACCCAGCCGACCAAAAAATAAACCAAATAAACTGGTGTCGAAAATCGCTGCTCAATTGCCTGAGCTAATCCGGCTTCTGTTTGCAAAGATGTGGGGGGACTTGTCAGCTGGTGACGACTGTTTAAATTTATGTTCATTTCCGTATTCTCCACGGGTTTGATGGACTATATAGAGCAACGTTTTCTCCAGGACTGAGTTCCCGGGAGGAGCATTATTACCAGCTTCACTCTGTTGGGTTCCGAGGGTGGGGTGGAGTGAAGTTTGTTCAGCGTGTGTCTTTCCGTCCTCCTCTGACCCCTTTCTCTCCCCACCACCATGGCTGGTGACCTACATAAGTTTCCCTTTGGGAGGCATGAGAGAGCAGTAGCCTCTTTCTCTAACCTATCTTTGGAGACGCTCGTTATGTGTGTATCTATACAAAATGACATTTACGCAGGTGCCTTTCACATCAGGAGGATGTCCCAAGATGCTGGACAGTCAGGGATTTGGACCCGAGCGGGGGGTAGTTGGGTTCAGGTAGGGTAGGAGAGTGCCTGAAGGTGCAGTGGAGCAAGAGGGCCTTGAAGGAGGGTAGGAGCGAGGTGAAGGGGATGTGGGATGGAGTTCCAAAGGATCGCAGCAGAGAGACTGAAGATCCCGAGCGCCGATGGTGGACCAGGCGGGGGACATGGAGCAGGCCACAGCCCGCTGAGAAAGTAGTATTGAACTGAAACATTTGGAGGGTGGAAATCTGACTCCTTCCCATCCCTGCAGCTTGTATTGTCACCAAAGGGAGTCTAGGTGAACAGTACATTACAGTGAATGCCCTCGAAAGTCTAATATTAGTTTTAAATTCTGTTTCACCTTAATCAACGTCTCTCTTGTCTTTACAGCTGGATGCATTCTGGTGCTGACTCGGAAGTTTGTGCCTTACGCTTGCTGTGGCTTATTTGTACTCATTGCAATGCAGGTAAACCCGGTGACACACAAGTGCCCGCCGAATGCAAAATGACAGTGATTAACATCATCCTCTCGTCTCACACATTCCCCCCACCACCCCCCCCACCACCGAATTGGCTGCTTTGCCTGCGCCTTATTGTCTGTTTGTGGGATGTCGCTGCGCAAAAAAAATTGGCTGCCTCGTTCACCTGCAAAAATAATAATAATAAAAAGAATAATAGTGAAATTATAATAATCCTTGCATTTGATATTACGCCTTATCACAGCTTCGGGACATCTCACTTAGCTGCTGCGTTTCCACCCACAAAATATACAGTCAGTTCACTTTGCAGCATATCCTGTGAAGCGCTTAGAGACGTCTCGAAGACGTGATAAGGTGCTGTATCAAATGTGAGGATTATTATAATTTTACTATTATATTATTGGTTAGGTATTCATATTATATTACTTTTATTGTCCCGAAAACTGTTGTGAATTCTGACCTTTAGGGACAGCAGCAGTCAGTTTCCTGAACGCGCTTCAATCTTGGATTAATAGTCTCTGCTCTTGAAGCGTGAAAATTGCCGAGCTCTGCAACTTTGTGTGACTGACTTTTTTTTCCACTAACTCGAACTCGCTGCGCTCATCAGTCAGAGCAATCTTCCTCCCCACTTCCTGTTGATCAAAATTAATTATTTCGTTGACGGGTCTACCTGCTAACTCGATCAGCCGTGACTAAGGATTTGATAAGTGTTCAACTATTTATCTGGCTTGTGTTTTCAGACAGTCGCTTACAGCATTTTATGGGATCTCAAATTCTTGATGAGGTGAGTGGATTACTGTGTGTAGATTCCCACAGTGGTGTTTGGCTCTTTGGTGAATTGTCTCCTTTGCCAACCCTGTCACCTGTGGATAAAATGGCTGTGGGTCAGAGCCCCACATCAGGCGTGTGAAGCCCTACCTCTGCACTAAAGAGTCAGCTTGGGCTTTGAGCCCATCATCTGATGAGAGAGGCTGAATGACCTGACCCCATGCTACTGACTGATTGACTAACCGAGCCAAGGCAACGCTTATGTAATGGAGACACTGTGTTCTGTGCTTTAAAGACCTTGGATCTACAGCTGTTCAGGATTAAGGGGGAGGGGAAGAGGTGTTTTGCTTTTCAGATGTTGGGGTTTGATATGCAATGCTTAACGTGGACCTAAGTCCTGTAGTGTAGTGGTTAGGCACTCGGCTCGCAAGCAAGAGGACCTGGGTTCGATTCACGGGCTGTGCAAAACCTCGGGCAAGTTTCCTTACTACACACACACACACACACGCCACCCACGCATGCAGTAACTAGGAACCTGGTTGTTAGGTTAGATTGGTGGATCGCTTTTCTGCAGATTATAATCTCTTTTTAAAAAAATAAATTATAATTTGGTCACTTCAATCCATGACTGTTTGTGGAGCACTGCTCTGGGCAATTGGCTGCCACTTTTCACCCACAAAATACACACAGTCCATTCACTTGAGTTGTCTGGAAGTTGCAACGCGGTGTTATATGAAATGCAAGGATTATATTATTTGAATGAGACCGAGTCCTTGTGACCCTCCTATTTAGGAACATGGCACTGGGAGGTGGGTTGCTGCTGCTGCTGGCGGAGTCTCGATCGGAAGGGAAGACCATGTTTGCGGGGGTCCCCACCATGGGCACCAACTCGCCACGTCAGTACATGCAGCTGGGGGGCCGTGTCTTACTCGTCTTGATGTTCATGACTCTCTTGCACTTCTCCTTGAACGCACTTAATGTGAGTACTGTACGTTAGGCAAGTTTCCTTACTCAGCGCTCTCACTCTCACACACGCACGCCTCTGCTTACCTGGCAGTACGTCGGAACCCGCTTGTTAAGTCGATCGATGGATTGCTTTTCCAGTGGTAATCATCCTTTCAAAAAAAATGTTTTAAGCTGCTGAATCCACGACTGTTTGGGTCCAAATCCCTGACATCCTCCTGATGTGTCATTTGTTGTTGTTGTTGGCTTTGGCCTAGATCCTCCAAGACATCGTGGGCACCACCTTGATCATCCTAGTGGCCATCGGCTTCAAGACCAAGCTGGCTGCCCTGACGTTGGTGGTGTGGCTGTTCGTGTTGAACCTGGTACAGAACGCCTTCTGGTCGATCCCCTTCTACAGCCCCATGCACGACTTCCTAAAGTATGACTTTTTCCAAACCATGTCTGTGATCGGAGGCCTGCTGTTAGTGGTGGCTCTGGGACCCGGGGGAGTCTCCATGGATGAACACAAAAAGAAGTGGTGAGGAGGTTAGCCCTGGTCTCAGAGAAATATATATATGTGTATCGTGTCTAGTCCTGTAATTTTTTTTAATTATTTTTACAATTTCGGCATCGGTTACCTCCGCTATCTTGAGTCAGTCTAGATGAATGTGTTGTGTTTCTTTTGTTGGTTTTTTTCCTCTCTCCCTTACCTCCCCCTCGCCACCCCACCTACCTCCTTTATTTGGTTTGTTTCGTGTGAAGCATAAATTCGTACACTACGGTTTGTCGTGTCTCTCCCCCTCCATCCCCCCCACCCTGCCCTCATTCCCCCCCCCCCCCCCGCATCACCTTTCAGTGTTCAGCTACATTTCTTCTCCTGCCCAGTATTTTTGCCGTTAGGTGGTGTGAAACCGTGCCAAATTTTCCCCAAAAACACTCGGATGTTGCCCACAAAATACAGTCAATTCACTTTGCAGTATATCCCGTGAAGCGCTTTGTGACGTCTCGATACAGGCGCTGTACCAAATGCAAGGATTGTTACTATTATTGTTATTATCTCTCGCCTGTTTTCCTTTGGGTGCCCAGCCCTAGACTCGCGATGCCTCTATAAGGGCAGATTGGCCAAGAATCTTTATGATTTCCTCACATCGGGCTGGTTTTGCTCCAGACAATCTATTTTAATGACTCTCCCTCCATGTTCACCTCACCCCGACCAGAGGTAGATGAGATTTCCGAGGGTCAAGGTCAATGTGCCCTCCAGCACCACGGACTCTCGTTGCTAAATTTCTATTTTTGTTATCGTGAACGAGCCCAGCTCTCTGACCATGGGTCAGGCCCGGCCCACAACCCTCCCCTTCCCACCCCCCAGCACCAGCTGCATGTTCTGGCCTTTTGGAATAATTAAATGGAACGTTCAGTCCTCCCCTCCACCCCTCCCAACCCAACCCTCTGCCCTCCCCAACCCAACCCTCCCCCAGCCTCCCTCCTCCCCAGCCCTCCCCAAGCCTCCCCAACAACACGGTACAGTCTGCCTTGTTACAAACAACCAAGTGCCTTGCACGATGATCTGTGTCTGTCACCTTGTCCTTCGGGCAGCGATGTGGGTGGGGGGTGGGGGTTGTTCTGGAGCGTGCTGTGAACTCGCAAGCTTCGAATCTCTGTGCGAGCGCACACACACAGACACAGAGCCACGTCCCAGCTAATAAAGACCAAATGTACACACCGATGTTCTGTGCTTATTGCCTCGCATGTGACGGGAGTGGGAGCTGGAGCCCAGCACTGACAGTGGCCATGCCTGGCTCAATGAGCCGGTGACTGGTGGATTACGTGCTGGAGGTGTGGGGAGAGAGGGGAACAGAAATATTTGACCCAGTTCTAAAGTGCCATTGATGAAGCAAGTTTTGCCAGTGAAAACCTGTTAACCACAGGGTTTTGGGGGGGGGGGGGGAGGAGGAGGGGAACACACACACAGGAGTGCACTACGTCTCTCGATCTTCTCCCCTTCCCCTACCCTCTCTCTGCATCTCATCCCGACAACCCGAGTGAGAGCAAGGTTGTGCGGAAGACCTTTTGTCAGTTAAGTGAAAGCGAACTCGGAACGTATATTTTGCAGCGTTTGCAGTTTGCTTTCTGATGACCGCTGAACAATTTGGCAGACGTGGAAAGTTTCACGGGCGCTCCTGTCCCGTTGAATACCCTTTGTTTGCAACGACATTAGCCTGTTACCTCAGCCGCACAGTTTTAGCAACGCATACCTGTTTTCTAAATTAAATTTTAAAAAAATTTCCACAAGTACGGAAATGTCTTATCAGCAGTACGGTGTGGTTAACTGACTGAATGTCTTCATGTTGTTGTAGTTTTTCCAATTCAGCTGGAAGGCTCATTAAATGCATTGGAAAAAATGCTTTGTTCGTTTGTGTGCGTGTGTGTGTAATTCTAACAGCTCTGAGGGGCATTCTACGAATGGATCAAATAGATGGGCTTTTTTTTATGGGGTGGGGTGAGAGAGCAGAATTATTTCCTATGTATTATTTCTTTGGAGTCCTGTAGCGTGTTGGTTAGAGCGCTCGCCTCCCAAGCAAGAGAACCTGGGTTCAATTCCCGGGCCGGGCGAAACGTTAGGCAAGTTTCTTTACTCCACGCACACGCCTTTGTTTACTTAGTAAGCAGGAACCCGCTTGTTGGTCAATTGGTGGATCGCTTTCTTGGAGGTAATAATTCTTTCAAAAATAATAATATTAGATTGGTCACTCAATCCACGGCTGTTTGTGGGACACTGCTGTGTGCAATTTGGCTGCCGCGTCAATTCACTTTACAGTATATTCTGTGAAGCGCTTTGAGACGTCGTGAAGACGTGATGAGTCGCTATATCAAATGCAAGGATTATTAATATTATGTAAAATGTTATGTTTTTCGCCCTCTTCCCAAATGTGCTGATTCGTGCTGGGATTTGTTCTGCAAGCACCAAGTTCCCTCGGTAGCTCTGGCCAACAACTTTCTTTGTGTGTCAGCCCGGACAGCCAGTGTTGGCAGGCCACTGGACTTTCGAGCCATCAGCCTCCGGTGATCCCATCTTTGCTCAACACTTTTTTTTAGTCCGATTGACAACGAGATCACGATAAGGAGCAAAAATCCTGACTGATTCTTTTCCCCTTCCCCCAATGACACAGGTGGCTAGGTCTAATTACTGATATTTTAGGACCAATTTGGCTCATTTTATCTTGCCTTCCTATTGATTTTCTTTCCTCTGGTCTTTAGAGTTGAGTCATGCAACTTCTACTAAGTGTGAGATAAAGAGACTGAGCTTAGCCTTCTGTACTTAGACCCGAAGATGTGCGTGATTCATTCACTTCTCTGAGGTGGAGGTTTGTCTCCCTGAAATGGTACAGGTTAAATTTGTGCCGTTTAAGAACAGAGACGAGCGGAGATTCGTTCTGAGCGATTCAACCATTGACAGTCCCGTGGACGCTGTGGTTTTATAACGCTCTGCTCTTCCCGGTAGCTCGGTGGGTAATAGGATCTCAGAAGGAGGCCATTCGGCCCATCGTGCTTGTTTTCTCTTGTTAGGGGGATCCAAAACAGTCTCCAAATCAGAGCTAGGATGGGAGACGAGGTCAAAAAGATGCCTGCGCAGACTGTGGTTAAAAACATGGAGTGGTCTGGCCCAGAAGGGAAGTTTGAGAAAGGGAGATAATAATAATCCTTGCATTTAATAGTGCCTTGTCATGTCTTTGAGATGTCTCAAAGCGCTTCACCGGATATACTGTGAAATTAATTCACTGCATCGATTGTGGGTGAAACGCGGCTGACAATTGCGCACAGCAATTTTGCGGGGCCCGCGCCCCCGCAAAACACACAGTCACTCCGCTCGACGGTGTACCCCCCCGTGAAGCGCTTTGAGACATCTCAGGATACGCGATGAGGCGCTGTATCAAATGGAAGGGTTACTATTATATATTATCATCGGCATCATTACCTTCCCACCAGCACATGTGCGAGAACCCCCCCCCCCCACACTCTTCCTCCCCTCCTCTCCGAAATAAATACAGAAGTGGCTGAGAACAAACACTCAGCAGGTCAGGCAGCATCTATGGAGAGAGAGGAAAGTTTCAGGTCAATGACCTCGTGTGTGTGTGTGTGTGTGTCTCACTCCCTCCCAGGCGCCTGCGCAGTAGCGGCCTCCCCGCAGCGCCTGCGCAGTCGAACCTCCCGCTTCCCCCCCGCGGCGCTTGCGCACTCGCCGCCCTTTCCCCCCACCGCGCGTGCGCAGAGCGAACCTGCCTCCGCCCGCCCTCGGCCGGCGCTTGCGCGGTGGTCGCAGCCTGTGCCGCGAGACAGCCTGCGCCTGCGCAGTGTCAGTCAGTCAAGCAGCAGCGCCAAGAACCAACCGCCCGCCATGCCAGCCCGGACCGGCAGCGCCGCCGCCGCCTCCTCCCCCTCTTCCTCCTCCCCCCTGCCCGAGGACATCAAGAGACGGTAACCACGGCCTCTCTCCCTCTCTCTCCCACCGCCCCGGCGAACGGACAACCTGCCGCTGTGGTGGGTTCGGGTTTCCCGCCTCTCTCTGAGGAGGCGCCGCCTGACTGACTGACTGACTGACTGACTAACGGCCGTTGGCGCTCGAACTGACTAACGGCTGTGGCGCCGCGCGCTGGGGATTTGGCGCCAAACTGCAAAGAGCTGCTGCTGCTGCTGCTGCACAGAGCGGCGGCCCCTCGACCCGAGCAAAACCCCGCGACCGCAACCAGACCCCCCCACCCGCCTCAACCCGCAACCAGACCCCCCCCCCGCCTCAACCCGCAACCAGACACCCCTCAACCCGCAAACAGACACCCCCTCCCACCACCCGCCTCAACCCGCAACCAGACACACACACCCCCCGCCTCAACCCGCAACCAGACACACACACCCCCGCCTCAACCCGCAACCAGACCCCCCCCCCCGCCTCAACCCGCAATATAGCGTCCCAGAGCGCTTTAACACACTGAGCGGACCCCCACCATCAAGCCCTCCTCCACATTCTCATTCCAAACCAACCCCCCCCCCCCCCCATCAGCCAACACTGCTCTTCCTCCTCCTCCCCGTACACACCCACACCGCTCCCCCCCTCACACCCACACCGCTCTCCAAACCCCCCCCCCACCACCCATCCGCAACGCAATCCCCGCGCTCACTCCAACCAATCCTTACTGTTCTTTCCCCCCCCCCCCCCAACACAATTAACAATAATACTTGTATTTGATATAGCGCCTCATCACGTCTTTGAGCTGTTTCAAACCGCTTCACAGGACAACCCGGGCAACCCCGCAACCGGACCGTCAACCCGGGCAACCCCGCAACCAGACCCCCCCCCACCTCAACCCGGGCAACCCCGCAACCAGACCCCCCAAACCCAGACACCCCTACAATCAGACTCCCTCAACCTGGGCAGTGCAAAGTGAATTGACTGCACATTTTGTAGGCAAACTTGCATTTATATAGCGCTCCCCGCGCAGGGTAGCGTCCTAGAACGCTTATCCAACCCACACCTTGCTCCCCCCAGCACGTACCTGCCTCCTCCCACTCTCCCTCCACAACCAACCCGTACCTGCACCACTCTCCCACATCCGCTCCCCCAACTTGCCCATATCGCTCTCCCTTTGCATTGTACCTGACCCACATCACTCTTCCGACGCTCGTACCGCACTGTTCTTCCACATCGCCACCTGCATCACCGTCACCCCACTCTTTCCCACCCGCACCACCACCAACCCAACTTGTACTGCTCTTATACTTAAACCCCCCCCTTCGCAACCCCTGTGTGTCCACTTCCGCCTGTGCCTGCCTGCTCTGTTCTCTCCCCCCACACACACCTGCCTCCTCCCACTCTCCCTCTACAACCAACCTGCACCGCTCTCCCACATCCGCTCCCCCAACTCTACCCACGTGAATGCCTCTCACCCGCATCAACGTGTTCCCATTCTCAGCTGAACTTTCTGAGCTGGGGAAAGGGTGGAAGTCAATCAGCCATAGTCTCGGGTGCCCCCCTTCAGTCGGGTCTGTTCAAGGATAGAGTTTGGAAAGTTTCCCTTATTTTCCTGGTAGCTTATTCTGGAACGTTGTGTTTATGTGCGCTATATGTTAAGTGTTTGTTTCAAACCACCTTTTACACTGTGGCACTTATTTCTTCACACAGACTTCAGGCCCTTGAAGATAAAGTCGATGGCCTTACGGAGAAGGTACGTATGTATGCCTGGAAGTACTAGTTGTGTTCAGACTTGCATTTTGTTCCTGTTTAAGTATCTCCCGCTGAAAACTGTTTGACTGTTACGCGAGTGCCCTAGTCTGCCGTTGGGGAGCGAGGGATGAAAGCTTGTTGGCCCTACCGTTGGCAATTGCAAATCCACTCAGTCTTGGTCCTCCTGTCTGAAATGTCAAGTGCCGTCTGTGTTAGTGCATTTCTCTCTTTCATAAGTTGCTGGTTTGCCTTTATGTCTATGGCAACGTGTTTCGTTGCTGTCTGTCTGGCCTTTTTTTTGTTGAGACTGTTTGAGGATAGAAAAATCTTACTGCACTTGACAGTAATTAACTGTGAGATATTCTCACTTGAAAAAGGTGCTATAAAAGTACAAGTTCTTTATGTGTCCACATTGTGTAGAGTGGAAAATGATGGTACTATGATCATGAGTGGGTTTTTTTTTCTGGGGGTGGAGAAGGAGAATAACATTTGCATTTGATCACGTTCAGACGTATATATTTTGTGGACGAAATGTGGCAGAAATCCTTTTGTTACCCACAGTGTAAAACTGGCTGAAGTTTGATTGTTCTTTGGCTGAGAGAAGGTTCTTTAATTGTTTTTTTTAAAACTTTCCTTTTCCAGGAATGTATTAAAGAGAAACTGAGTTTACTACATGGCTTTTTGCAAGCAGATGTGCAGAATAATCTCAACGAACTGGAAACAAAATTTCAGAAAGATGAGCTGTCAGAGGTATGATAATAATATAATAATCTTGCATTTGATATAACGTATAACCCACTACCCGTTGCCTCCGCTTGACTGGCTCCGGCTTCCTGCTTGTCCCTTGTACCCTCCGTTCCACCATCACTCATAATTTATCCCTCCGCCTTGCCCCTTCCTTCTCCATCTTCAGATCGTGCCTGAAGACTTTCCTCTTCAACCGTGCCTATGGTCACCTACCACTGGCTCTGCGTCGTGCTCCAACACTGTCAAGCACTTTGGGATGCTACCCTGTGTGAGGGGCGCTTTATAAAAGTTGTTGTTGCTGTATCTGAATTCTGTAATCTATGTTCCTCCTCTTCCCACTCTTTGATTGTACTGAGTCTTTGCTTCAGATAATGTGAAATAGTGACTGCAGAAAGAGTGGAATAACTTGGATATACTAAAATCTCTCCCTCTCTTTGTTGCGTTGTTAAGGATGCACGAGTTATCGATTGTCATGCAGCGGTATTAGTAACTTTGGTTTCCTCTACTCGATGTTCGTTGCTCTCCACCATTACTCGTTTAGATATACGATATGGTGACGGCAACTCACTGCCTTTAGCTGAGGCACCACTCGAGCAGAGAAGGGTTGGAATAATGAGAACATTTCTACGGACCCAGCAGACACACCACCCTATGTGCGTGCTAGATTTTTATGATGAGATATCTCCTTTTCCCCTGAAGTACTCCCTGTTTTTTTAATCATTCTGCGCATTGAGGTAAAGAATGTCCAAATTGTGAATAGAACACTTGTCTAGTGTACCGCACTAACATGAGTCACACTCCTATTTCGAGAATATTTTTGTCTATCCCCTCCTCCCACACACATGCACACGCACACAGACATCCCCCCCAACCCCCCCCAATTTGAGCAATTGATGTTTTGAAATGGGTGTGGGATAGAGAATTACACCCATCCCCCCATTAAGAAATTAAAGCAAGCATTCTATTAAATAAAGGATAAATAACATGTCTGTATGTGCCCAAGTGTCTCCTTGCCAAGCAGGGAGAATAAAGCATCTGATGTACAGTAAATGGTATCCCATTCATTTTTTTTTTTGGCATTCAGCTCGGGAATCTGCCAAGTGCCTTTGTTCATCTCGTTTATCACAAGGAATCAATACGGATGGGGTGTTAATGGTGTTTTTTATTTGTTTCAGGAGGGATACTTCGCCAAAGTCAAGGTGCTGCTCAGCCAGGAGCCGCCTGTGGAGAATGGCGATTCCGAGCTGGGTCCAAATGCCAATGGCTGCGCTGAAAATGGTGCCCGCAGCGGCAAGAAGGACGACGATCGAGACAAAGCCAACGGAGTGGCGGGCGAGAGAAACGGCCAAGAGCAGAACCTCATGGAGACTGGAGGGGAGGACCCCACCCCCCAGGCCGCCAAGAGCCGCGGGAAACGTCAGAGTAAAAGCAATGGAGATAACAGACGTAAGCATTTCCGTGCTCTGTACGCTCTCCTTTCTCTCTTTCACACCCCCCATCCGAGAGAAATCACTGAAGAGAAAGGGCAGATGAGTAGCTGCTGCCTGACCTCGGCTGCAGACGTCTAACCAGGATGGTTAGACGTCTGGAGTCAGCATTTAGCTGTCTCATACCAGCCCAAAGCCAGTGATGTTGACAAAAGTCTTGCGTGCACGTTACCTGCTCACCTTGCACTTTAAATTTGAGAATCCTCCCAATTTGACTCCCCACATCGAATGTTGTCCAAATCTCAGGATTGTTATGCCGGCCTTCTCTGGTATCGTCCACCGTCACCCGAATTATAGAAAGAGAGGCTTCCTGAAACTCCTCCGCCTTTATGGATGAGCCCTTAAACAGCATTCCTCTTTATTCCAGGGACATCGGGAAGTCCACGGATTACTAGGAACTCGATGAAGCAACAAGCTACCATTACATCCATGTTTGCTAAAGCGTGAGTGTTCCTTCTGTCTCTGGCACTGCAGTTGTGTGAGTGTCTCAGCCTGGCTTAAGTCGTGGCTTAAGACAGTGCTAATCGCAAACAGGCTGCTGCATTTCGCCCACAAAATACACAATTGCTGAGCCTTACAGTATATCAATCCATGAGAGTTTGTGTAACACTATTGTGTGCAATTGACTGTCGCATTTCGCCCACAAAATATACAATCAATTCACTTTACAGTATCTTCTGTAAAGCACTTTGAGAATTCTCCAAGACACGATAAGGTGCTGATTCAAATGCAAGAATTATTATTATAGCATATCCTGTGAAGCGCCTTGAGACTTCTCAACAGTTGATAAAGATTATTACTATTATCCGCACTGAGGTAGCAGTGTATCTTCGGGCTCCTTGTCGGATGTCCAGAATTAGCAGGGTGCCTGTCAAGCCTGATATGATTCAAACGTTGCAGGAAACAGCAGGAGCAGATTTTTTCCCAGTGCTTTTTTTTGTTAAATGTTGGGATATGCTGGGCTGTTACCCGCTGAGAGGCATACCGGGGTGTTTTGACATCTCGGATCAAGAGTTAGAGTAATTAACAAGCTACTGAGTTGACATGCAAGATCTTTGAAACAGCTTGATGGCAAAAAATAGGGATTTCATGTATCAAGATCTTAACTATCAGTGTCTTCTGTGGAGTCCTGCAGCTTAGTGGTTAGGGCACTCGCCTCGCAAGCGAGAGGACCTGAGTTTGATTCCCGGGCAGGGCGAAACCTTAGGTAAGTTTCCTTACTCCACACACCTCTGTTTAACTAACAGTAAGTGGGAACCCGGTTGTTAGTCGATTGGTGGATGACTTTTCTGGGGTAATACCTTTTTAAAAAATTTTTTTTTAAATGTAGTCACTCAGTTCACAACTGTTTGTGAGATACTGCTGTGCGCAATTGGCTGCTGTGTTTCGCCCCGATATACAGTCCGTTCACTTTACAGTATGTCCCGCGAAGCGCTTTTGAGACATCTCGAAGACCTGGTAAGGCAATATAATAATAATAATAATCCTGGCATTTGATATCGTGCTTTTCACGTCGGGAGGACGCCCCAAAGCGCTTCACAGAACACACTAAAGTGAATTGACTGTATATTTGTGGGCGAACGCGGCAGCCAATTGCGCACAGCGACATCCCACAAACAGTCGTGGATTGAAAATGACCAATTTATTATTGTCTTGGGTTTTGGAGGGATTATTATTAGGCTCTGTGTGGAGTGAGGAAACTTGCCCGAGGTATACCAAATGCAAGGATTATTATCATCATTTGATGAATGTGAACTATTCTTTGACTCTTCGTCCGGTTCAGTTCCGAAAGCGAGCCCTCTTCAGAGTTGTCAACGTTAAGCGGGGTGGGTTTAGAACACGCTGGTCGCGGGGGATTTCGTTCCCGGTGGCCTTGGCCGTTCTGATACGTTCGGCCATTTTATAGGATTATTGTCGTGCAGCAATACAAGATTCTTGTCGCTAGGTGTCCTCAGTGAGGTATCTGAAGCCGGCAGTGTTCACAGTAACCTCTTCGCGTAAGGCAAACGTGAGACTGTGCTGGACTGGGGAAAGGACGCTCGATTCCTTCATCGTGACCCAATCTCGCACGCCGCCTAATCCCTCTCAGCGTCCAGTCTCATCCGGTTTACCTCTTGAAACTGCCTAGCATACCCCAGGCAAAACCGTGCTACCATCCTCAGCAGCAAGTTTTAATTGCCCTCTCTCTCACCCCCACCCCCATCCCCCCTTTTCCAATTAAAACATTGGAGGCTAGCTTGCCTTCTATACAATAGGAACACAGGAACAGGAGTAGGCCGTTCAGTCCTTCGAGCCTGTCCCGCCATTTCATTAGATCATGGCTGATCTTTACCTGAACTAATCCTTTCAATTCCAATTTCCGCTTTCTCCCCATATGGCTTACTACCCTGACCCACCAAAAGTCTATCAAACTCTCTCTTGAAGGTGTGGATGGATCCAGTATCCACGGCCTTTTGGGGGAGAGAATCCCAGATTTCTACTACCCTTTGAGTGAAAAAATGCTTCTTAAATGGCCTGGTTCTAATTTTAAGACTATGCCCCCCCCCTTATTTTGGATTCCCCCACCAGAGAAAATAACTTCTTTGTATCTACCCTATCGAATCCCTTTATCATCTTAAATACCTCAATCAAATCACCCCTCAACCGCCTAAATCTACAACCCTAAATAATACAAATTTTGAAGACTGAGGTGGGAAGATGTTTGTTAGGTCAGGGTATCAAGAGATATGGGGCAAGAGCACGTAATTGGAGTTGAGGTACAGATCAGCTATGATCTTATAGAATGGCGGAACAGGCTCAAGGGGGTGAATGGCCTGTTCCTATGTACTCACCACCTGCCGTGGACAAGCCCAAGGCAGAAACCCATCAGGTGCCTCTCAGGCTCGGATGTGAGTTGAAGCATAAATTACACTGTAACCCCTGAGTAGCTAATGTATATTCTGTACATTTTCCCAGAGCGAACAAACGCAAGTCCGAGGAGCTGAACGATGAAGAACAGGTGCCTGTTAAGAAGGAAGAGGAAAGTGAAGAGCAGGTAATGGCAGGGGGGGTTGGCTCTGACTGATCACAGGAGTGTGGCCTTCAGTTGAGGGAGATGCGTCAGTGCTTTTCATCTGACGTAAAAGGCCCCCTCGAGCCAGTTATTACTGTGGTTTACACAGTAGTATTTGGAAACATACAGGAATGTGAGCGACTGTCAACTGTATTAGACTGTGTGTGGAAAAAAAAATCTTGCCTGTCTCCCTCCTCCTCTCCTCTGCCCAAATCCAAATATATACCTCACTTATGTCAGGTGTCCCTACAGACCTGGAAAATGTCAAAATATTTAAGGTTGCCTTGAGGTGGTGACTCCCTGGAAAAGTGCTTGTCTGGAGCACGGCAAGTGTTTGTTTAGCCAGTGCTATTGCACAGAGTGTTGGCAGAGGATGAAAGCGGTTTAGTTTAATAAACATTTGTGGTGTTGATGCGTACTATTGGGAGCTGACTCCACTCTGTTTGAGGTTTGCTTTTTGTGACAAATTATTGCAATTCATTATTATTTCTCTTCCCCCCACCAACCCCCTAGGAAGAACAGGACGAAAAGCGAATTAAAGTGGAATCGGAAGAAACGTAGGTTTCAGACTCTCTCTCTCTCTCTCCTCTGGGGCTGTCTGTACATTATAAATGCGCAAGCTGGCGTTGTGTGACATTGACATATGGTGTCTGTCACTTTGCTTTTGGGGAATAAACAACCTCATTTTCTGTACTTGTAGCTCGATATATGTGTGGGAGTTGTAAAATATGTTGCGCCTAAAGTATTTCACAAAGCAGCTCATTACCAGCGAGATCTGGCCATGTCCATTGTTGTATTGATTGATGTCTCTCTTTCACAGACTGCCTGAAGGGGCTGAAACCAATGCTGACCGGAAACCTAAAGCTGATCAAACTCCTAAAGTGAGTGGGAGTTTTCCACCCTATAACACTAACCCACTGTTTCCCCCACCACCCCGGATTAGCGGGATCGGTGTTGGGGTGAGAGAGAAGCGAAGAATTTGCTTCCTACTTTGTTCATTTGGCAACTAGACTAGGTTGCTCAGACCCCGACACCTGTCTGTTCAGCACTTTGAGACATCCTCCCGACGTGAAAGGCGCTCTATAAATGTAATTTTGGTTGTCGTTGTTTACACTCAGTGTTTGGTTCTCAAATGCCTTTCTCCTGGAAGCAATGGTGTGCATGCATATGTGCTCCCTCGTAGTTCCTTGTCGTTTGCAGCCTCCCGACTGCTTTTTGCGAGTTGTCATCGAGTGTTGGCAGGTTTGCGAGAGGACCTGGGTTCGATTCCCGGGTGGGTCAGGGCGAAAACTTAGGCAGGTTTCCTTCCTCCACACACACATGCCTCTGTTTACCTAGCAGTAAGCAGGAATGCGCTTGTTAGTCGATTGGTAGATCACTTTTCCGGGGGTAATAACCCCTTCAAAAATACAATAAGATTTTTTAAAAATGTAGTCACTCCATCCACAATTGTTTGTGGGGCACTGCTGTGTGCAATTGACTGCCACGGTTCAGCCACAAAAATGCAATCAATTCACGTTACAGTGTATCCTGCAAAGCGCTTTGCGGTATCTCAAGCCGTGATAAGGCACCGTATCAAATGCAAGAATTATTACTTCAAATTTGCCGTTTCACCCTTTTGCTTTGACAGACACCGCCTCCCAAGTGCGTGGATTGCAAACAGTTCCTGGATGACCCGGACCTCAAGTACTTCCAGGGCGACCCTGACGATGCAGTGAGTGTTCCGCGAGCTGGTTGTCTAGAGGCTGGTTGTGGAGCGGTTTCGGGGAGCTGGCTTTCATTTGCAGAGGGGGAAAGCTGATATAACTGCTGTAACAACATTGCTTCAACAGCTGGAGGAGCCCGAGATGCTGACTGACGAGCGCTTGTCGCTGTTTGAAGGCACGCACGACGAAGGGTTTGAAAGTTATGATGACCTTCCTCAGCACAAAGTTACCTCCTTCAGGTCAGTGGAGTCGCAGCAATAATGACGGCTTGGCAGCCATGCGTGCATTCACGGGCTGTGGTTTTTGTCTGGCTTGAGAACCTCTGATGCAGGAACGGTGCACACTGACCCTTTGGTGCAGTGGACGAATGTGGTTGTCACATCTGACCCAAAACAATTGGCTTCCACTCCTAACTAGAGGGACTCTAGTTTCGCCGAAACAATATACAATCAATTCATTTTACAGTATATGGTGTGAAGCCCTTTGAGAAGTATCGAAGATGTGGTAAGGCGCTATATCAAATGCAAGGATTACTATGATTATTATTTATCAAGCCCGGCGTATGTGTTCTGTGCCCGGCTCAGTAAGAGAGCAACAAACTGTTTGCTTTTATCCTCCCATTATCATGGAGCTCTCTTTCTTCCTTCCAAATTATTTCCTGCCAAAAGCCTGAGTGAAAGTGACTGGAGATGTTATAACTCATTGTGTCGTTGCTCGTGTACACGACGTTTGATAAACAGCCTTTGATTGTGGATTCGGTCCCCTGAGTAGACCGATATATTTGCATTTCAATTGTTGACCTTTGGCATCTTCCCTCCCTCCCTTTTTTGCCCTCAGTATTTATGATCGGAAAGGACACTTGTGTCCGTTTGACACGGGTCTGATTGAGAGGAATGTGGAGCTGTATTTTAGCGGGGTCGTGAAACCCATCTATGACGACAACCCCTGCCTGGACGGTGAGTGTGTTTCACAGGCACCGATAATATTGAACGTCATTCTTGCAGTTGCTGAGCGCTTTCATACCCGCACTAACTTGTGGTGTCCTGTAGCACATTAGTTAGAGCACTTGCCTTGCAAGCGAAAGGACCCAGCTTTGATTCCCGGGCGGGTCAGGGCGAAATCTTAGGCAAATTTGCTTACTCTACCCACACACCTCTGTTTACCTAGCAGTAAGTAAGAATCCGGTCGTTAGTCGATTGGCGGATCGCTTTTTGGGTTAATAATCCCTTCCCCATGAATAAATAAATTGGTCACTCAATTCACGATTGTTTGTGGGACATTGCTGTGCGCAATTGGCTGTATTTCATCCACAAAATACACAGTCACTCCTCTTGACAATATATTTTGTGAAGCGCTTTGAGACGTCTCGACCACATGATTATTAGGGACGTCTCAACGACGTGTTAAGGTGCTGTATCAAATGCAAGAATTATTATTATAGTTTGGGAAGGGCAGTGAGATTGTCGTGATGTGTAGCTAAACGCTGACGTGAGCTCTGGTCCTTTCCGAACAGGGGGAGTCAAAGCAAAAAAGCTAGGTCCGATAAACGCCTGGTGGATTACTGGCTTTGATGGAGGTGAAAAGGCCTTAATCGGATTCACTACGGGTAAGGACAGGGTCCTGTGGGGTAATCACAGGGACTTTAATTGACTTTTTAATCTGTTGTTGTGGCACGATAGATGTTGGATCCAGGATATTGCTTCACTGATCACCTTTATCATGTTACGTAGCACTTTCACTTTGCCACTATGCCACGAAACACTCTTCCTTAACACCTCCGCCTTGCCTTGCCCCCTCCTTCCCCATCTTCAGGTCATGCCTGTAGACCTTCCTCTTTGACCGTGCTTACGGTCACCTTCCTCCTCTGGCTCGGCGTAGTGCTGCGTCACTGTCGAGCGCTCTGAGACTCGACCATGCGTGAGGGGCGCTGTGTAAATGTAAATTGTTGTTATATGGGGCAAGGGGTGAAATTTTCCTTAAAGTTCTTACAGCGAGAATCAATGCGTTCTTTTCCCTGCCCTCCCCTCCCACTCCAGCGTTTGCTGATTATATCTTGATGGATCCCCGTGAGGAGTATGCAGCCATCTTTGCTGTGATGCAGGAGAAAATCCACATGAGCAAGATCGTCATCGAGTTTGTGCAGAACAATCCCGACTCCACTTACGAAGACCTGCTGAATAAAATCGAGGTTGGTGATAGTCTACACAGAATCAACAAACCTTACAGCACAGAATGAGGCCAGCGTGTCTGTGTCAGCTCTTTAAAAGAGCTATCGAATTAGTCCCACTCTCCCGCTCTTACCCCATAACTCTGCATAATTTTTTCCTTTTTAAGTACCTATCCAATTCCCTTTTTGATAGCTATTATCGAATCTGTTTCCACCACCCCTTTCACGCAGTGCGTTCCAGACCATAACAAATCTGGGTTAAAAAAAAAATTCTCCTGGTCTCCCCTCTGGTTCTTTTGCCAATTATCTTGAATCTGTGTCCTCTGGCACCCTACAGGCAGAGGACTACTCTTATCAAAACCCCTCATATTTTAGAACATTTCTATCGCCCACAAAATATGGTCAATTAATTTTACAGTATATTCTGTGAAGCACTTTGAGATGTCTCAAAGACGTGAGAAGGCGCTATATCAAATGCAAGGATTATTATTTATTAAATATTCCCTCAACCATTTCCCCTCAAACATCTCTACTCTCAGCAGAACAATCCCAGCTTCTCTCGTCTAATCACTCCACATCCCTGGTACCACCCTGGTAAATCTCCTCTGCCTACACCCTCTCCAAGGCCCTGACATCCTTCCTAAAGTGTGGTGCCCAGAATCGGATACAATAATCCCAACTCAAGACACGGCGTCTAAATTGGTTGCCCGATTCGTTGACAGACCACAGTGCCTCCGGCTGGGCTGAGCTTCAGTCGCTTCACTGAGGATTCGCTGCTGCGACATGCACAGTTCGTGGTGGAGCAGGTCGAGAGTTACGATGAAGCCGGAGATGTGGATGAGCAGCCGATCATCATAATTCCCTGCATGAGAGACCTGATCAAACTGGCCGGTGTCACCCTCGGGAAAAGGTGAGTGCTCGGGGGGGCGGGCAGCTTTGCAGGACTGTGATTATGGTCTAAGGTCAGTTGTCTTGGTTGCTTCTTGTCCTCATGTGGATTACCTGTGATGGTCTGGCCTTTAACAGCTGCCGGAGGGGTCGCGCGTTCATAGTAACTGCATAATGCCATTTGGAATATAGCTGAGTGTCTCCCCACTCCACTACCCATTTAGCCGGCTCTGGTCGGCCTCCTGCTTGTCCCTCGCCTCCCTCCTCTGCTCCACCATCGGCGGCCGTGCTTTCAGTCCACTACTCCCCGAAGCTTTGAAACTCTCTCTCCCCCAATCCCGCCGCCTTGCTTCCTCCTTTCCCTTTTTTAAATTGCGACTGAAGACCTTCTTCTTTACTGTTAAGCTACACCTATTACCCCCGTGAAGGGCAAGCTGTGTAAATGCAAGTTGTTGTTGGTGCGGAGGAGATATCTGACGCAGGCTTTGTTGTGACCAAAGGCGAGCAGCAAGGAGGCAAGCCATCAGACATCCCACCAAGATTGATAAGGACAAGGGCCCTACCAAAGCCACCACCACCAGTCTCGTCTATCAGATCTTCGATACTTTCTTCTCCGAGCAGATTGATCAGAATGACAAAGAAAACGGTCTGAAGCGCCAGCGGTGCGGAGTGTGCGAGGTGAGTGCCGCCATCATGGCCTCCGGTAGAGTAATGGTTAACACGCTTGCCTCGCAAGCCAGAGGATCCGAGCTCGATTCCCGGGCGAAACCTTAGGCAAGTTTCCTTACTCCACACACTCCGGAGGATATCAAGAGCTTTGGTGTACGTGGGCGTTGGTGCAGAGGGAAGAGAAGGCGCATTGCAGGACGTGACGCAGTTATTTCACTTGGAGATTTTCTGTGTTAAACAGGTTTGCCAACAGCCCGACTGTGGGAAGTGCAGAGCTTGTAAGGACATGGTGAAGTTCGGAGGTAGTGGTCGCAGTAAACAGGCCTGCTTGCAGAGAAGGTAACTGAACATCACCTTTGGCTGTGTGCAGTATCAGTCCATTGTGGGGAAATTGTTAAACACAAGTTTTAATTTGGAGTCCTGTAGCGTATTGGTTAGAGCACTCGACTCACGAGCGAAAGGACCTGGGTTTGATGCCCAGGGGGGTCAGTGTGAAACCTTAGGCAGGATTCCTTATTCCACACACACACCTCTGTTTACCCAGCAGTAAGTAGGAACCTGCTTGTTAGTCGATTGACAGATCGCTTTTCCAGTGGTAATCATTCCTTCCAAAAAAAGATTCACTAAATTGGATGTATCACTAAATCCACGATTGTTTGTGGGACATTGCTGTGCACAATTGGCTGCCGCGTTTCACCCACAAAACACACAATCAAAACCACTAGCTTAATCCCGTGAAGCGCTTTGAGTCGTCTCAGTAACATGATAGAGCGCTATATCAAATATAAGGATTATTATTATTAATAGACTGCAGGGGAGAGCAGTTCCTACATTCTCACGTTCTGGTGCCTTTATTCTCCTCCCCACACCCCCACCACCCAAGGTGCCCGAACCTGGCCGTGAAGGAAGCTGACGATGACGAAAATGACGAAGAGGATTCGGAGACGGTCGGTGAAGTCTGTCCCAAGAAGATACTGCAGGCCAGGAAAAAGAAACAGTCTAAGAACCGCATCTGCTGGATCGGAGAAGCCATCAAGGTTAGCCCGCCACTCTGCTCCTGTTCACAACAACACAACTTGCATTTACACAGGGCCCCAGAGCGCTTGACCATGGAGAAGCATGACGTCGAGCTGGGGGTGGGGGGGGTGACAATTGGCACGACCTGAAGATGTGGAAGGAAGGGGGCAAGGTGGAGGGATAGAGGGAAGAGTGTTTCGGAGTTTCAGGGCATAGTGACTGAAAGCACGGCCATCATTGGTGGAATAGAGGGCACAAGGGACAAGCAGGAACCTCAAGCTAATTGATGGGCAAGTTCTTACTGGACAAATAGTAGGAAGCTTTCCAGACAGTGATCACAGAGGCAAGTTGCGAGATTTTTAAGCTGGTCAACCTCCAGCAGTTAACTCAAAGCGTACGCTGGAGTCAATCCATCTATTTCCTCCAAGCCTTGGCTCTTGCCAAACTGCGGCCAATACCTTCTGGAATTCGGCGAGCAAGGGAATATCACTCCATCTGGGGGTAGTCGGGGGGTTGGGTGGGGGGAGAGAATGTGTTCGTCAAAAAGACTTGAGGGAAATCTTCATACATTCGCAGAACTCTTGTTGGGTCGGTTTGGACGTGATTAAACATGGGTTCCCGCGTGTGAGTTAATTAGCTGCCCCCCCCCAAATAAATGAGCCAAGCCACTGATAGTCTGGGGAGCCTTTTAAGATGGTGCAGCTGTTGGGAGTCCCTTGAGAGGGATTAATCCAATGGGTGGGGTGGAGGGGCTGTTCTTCCCTTTGGCCTTTGGATGCTAAGTGCGTGCTTTGTCGTTGGCTGGTGTTAACAATGGGGCTGTTGGTGGAATCTATCACAGCCCATGACGCAGATAAGCCAAGATTGTTCCTATAAATAGGATCTGCCTTGTAGTCTTGACTCCCGGCTTCTCTTCCTTCCCCCACCCACCCCCCCACCAGTCTGACGGAAGAAAAACCTATTACCAGAAGGTGTCTGTTGACGACGAGCTCTTTGCAATCAATGACTGTGTTGTTGTCAGCCCCGATGACCCCACCAAACCCCTCTACCTGGCGAGGTTAGATTTTTTTCTTCCTCTTTCGTCTGTTTTCTGTGTAATTCTAGTTATTTCAGAAGCGCAGATGTGTTCAGGTATTTAAGGCAGGGAGACGTGGCCTGCTTAGCCCGCTTTGGGATTTTTTTTTCTTGCATTTGACAAATACTTGGTTGCCTGACTTCCCTCAATGGGAACTAATCTTAGTTGTAATATTAAAGGATCTGTGCTTTTTACTAGAAAGTTCTTTACATAAACTTTCACCTTCCCTTCCTCTTCTTTTCTCTTCTCTTTTCCCCACTCCACACACGCACACTCATACACACACATTGAAATCATTCAATACAATAATGGCCGAAGAGCACCTTACCAGGGTTATAGGACCAGTGGGAGGCCATTCAGCCCTCGAGCCTGTTCCGCCATTGTATAAGATCATGGCTGATCTGTACCTCAAGTCCAATTACCCGCCTTTGTCCCATACCCCTTGATACCCTATCTATCAATTTGAACAGTGTTTGCTTTCTTTCTATTCCACTGTTATTTATCTAGTGGCTGGCACTTTCTGTTTAACAGGATTGTCGGTAGAAAAACACTAGGGAAAAATTAGGTTGAAGGAATTTCTTTAATCAGCGCCTTAGGATGTCCTTCTGACAATTCCTGTGTTGATATATGAGGAAATAAGACAGTGGTATTGATTTGTACATGATCTAATAGTAATGATAATTCTTGGATTTGAAAAAGCGCCTTATCATGTCATTTTGTCCACAAAATACCCGGACAATTCAGTTTACAGGGTATCGTATGAGACGCTTTGAGATGTCTTGAAGACGTGATAAGGCGCTGTATCAAATCCAAGGATTACTATTATTATTGAGACTTCTCAAAGCGCTTCACGGGATATACTATAAAGTGGATCTAATGCGATGTGGTGCACGGCACGCGGCTGTCTTCTGTCGGCAGGATCACGTCCATGTGGGAGGAGGGCGTTTGTAAGATGTTCCACGCCCACTGGTTCTGCCGTGGCACCGACACAGTGTTGGGAGAGACGTCCGACCCACTCGAGCTCTTCCTGGTGGATGAGTGCGAGGACATGCAGCTGTCTTATGTGGACAGTAAAGTGACCGTCATCTACAAGGGACCCTCCAAGAACTGGGAGCTGGAGGTAGGAAAGGTTTAACCCAACTGTTTGTGTGTGTGCGTGTGTTTGTGTGAGAGAAAGAAAGAAAGATGGAGTTTAGATGTGGGCTTTCAGTTCCTTTTAAAGGCCCGCTCTGTGTGTGAGTGTCAGACTCAACATCAGGAGGTCTAGATTCTGGACAACCCGTGTGTTCGTTGAGATCTAGTAATATGCAATTGGTGCTGGGGGGGAAGGGCGAGAGAGTGGGAGGCGAGGAGACTGCCTTTAGATTCTTGGTAAAGGCATATGGAGTATAAATCTAATCATAAATAACTATAATCATTCTTGCATTTCATTCGGCGCTTTATCATGTCGTCAAAATATCTGCCAATTCTACATATTGCTGAGTTATTTATGGGAGACAACATATAATTCAGATGTTTAAAATCGCTTAATGGATCGTTGATGGTTTGACGAGCGTGCCTGGTCCTAAGATTTAGCAGGGCAGAAGCTACAAGCCAAATCGCAGATTTAAAACTTACCAGTGTTTTGAAGGGTAAGTTAGAACTGGTGGAATACAGTATATGTAGTGCACTGCCCCACAATAGGATTGAATATCTGTGGAGGGTGGGCTGTTTGTGTAATACAGAGTCTCTTTGTGTATGCATACCACTCTGTCCGCTCCCTGAACTCAGCGGACTGTGGTTTACTCCATGTCCCCCACCATCGACGGTCGGGCCTTCAGCCTCTCTGCCCCCACTTTTTGGAACTCCATCCTCAGCCCCTCCGCCACACTCCCTCCCTTGCCTCCTTTAAGGCCCATCTCGCGACCCTCCTCTTCGACCGCACCTTCGGTCACCCTCCTACCCCCTGCCCTCTACCCCTCCTGGTCCCAACCTCCAGCTCGGGAGCAAATCCCTGACTGTCCAGCGCTTTGGGACGTCCTCCCGACATGAAAGATGCTGTGTAAATATCATTTGTTGTTGTTGTTCTGTCTCAGGGTGAACCTGAAAATCACTTTGAGCTGAAGGTTGTTGACGATGACGGGAAAACCTATTTCTACCAGATGTGGTACGACCCGGAATATTCCAGATTCCAAATGCCTCCGAGCTGCGAGCCCACAGAGGAGAACAAGCACAAGTAAGTGAAGAGGGCTATGTGGTTTTGGTTATTCTATAATAACCGGAGTACTGTAGCTTAGTGGTTAGAACACTCACCTCACAAGTGAGAGGACACAGGTTTGATTCCTGGGCGGCTCGAGGCGAAATGTTTGGCAAGTTTCCTTATTCCACACACACACATCTGTGTTGACCTAGCAGTAAGTAGGAACCCAGTTCTTAGCTGATTGGCGGATCGCTGTTCCTTCAAAATAATAATGTGGTCACTCAATTCACGACTGTTTGTGGGACACTGTTGTGGGCATTTGGCTGCCGGGTTTCCCCCATAAGATATACAGTCAATTCACTTTACAGTGTATCCTGTAAAGCGCTTTGAGACGTCTCAGAGACGTGATGACGAGCTATATCAAACGTGAGGTTTATTATTATTATATATTGTGGTTACCGGCGAGCTCTGTGTGCAGGTTCTGTGCCAGTTGTAGCCGGCTCGCCGAGATCCGGCAGCGAGAGATGCCGCGAGTCATGGAGTCGGTGGATGCGAAGGACGACTCAAAGGTCTTCTACTCCTTGGCGTCCAAGAACGGAACCCAGTACCGAGTCGGTGATGGCGTTTACCTGCTCCAGGATTCCTTCTCGTTCAGGTAATGGGTTGGTTTAACACGCACCCACAGTCATACACATACATACACACACACATGCGGGAACCCCACGCTTAAGAGTATCCAAACCAAGCTGAGATTTCCGTGCTCTCTCTCCCGCAGTGTGAAACCATCCAGCCCGGGCAAGCGGCCGATCAAGAAAGATGACGTGGACGAGGACCTGTACCCGGAGTATTACCGCAAGTCCTCGGATTACATCAAGGGCAGCAATCTCGACGCCCCCGACCCCTTCCGCATCGGCCGCATCCAGGAGATCTTCTGCCACAAGCGCAGCAACGGCAAGCCCAACGAGGCGGACATCAAACTGCGTATCAATAAATACTACAGGTGAGATGGACCCACTGACTCACTCACCTACCCACCCACCCACTCACTCACGGCAACTGTAGCTGCACAGAGTCTGAATTAAAAACAGAAGCCGCTGGGAAGACTCAGCTGGTCAGGCATCATCTATGGCGACCGAGAAACATGAGTAAGTTAACGTCTCAGGTCGATGACGAAAAAGGGAGGGAGGGTGGTGGGAGGGTGACCGAAGAGGAAGGTCTTGTGATGGGTCTTGAAAGAGGCGAGGTGGGGGGAGGGGATCCGGGATGCAGCTCCAGGGGGCGGGGGATGAGGGGGCAGAAAGGTTAAAGGCCCGACCGTTGATGGTGGAGCGGGCGGGGTGGGGAGGGTGGAGCAGGCCAGGTTGGAAGGGTATTTGAGGTCTTTGTCTCTGGTGTGGTTGACTGTGGTCATTTGTTTCAGGCCTGAGAACACTCACAAAGGGCTGAAAGCCAGTTACCACACAGACATCAACCTGCTGTACTGGAGCGATGAGGAAGTGGTGGTTGACTTCAAGGACGTGCAGGGGCGCTGCAGGGTGGAGTACGGGGAGGATCTGACGACAGAGAACATTCATGAATACTCTGCTGGAGGGACCGACAGGTTCTATTTCCTGGAGGTGAGAGAGAGAGAGACGCAGCCAGGCAGGATAAGTTCCCAGGCTTAATTTGTGGAGTCCCCGTAGCCCAGTGGTTAGAGCGCTCACCTCGCACCAGACTGCTCCACGTCCCCCGCTCAGACCACCTCACCATCGGCATTCGGGCTTTCAACCTCTCTGCCCCCACCTTTTGGAACTCCTTCCCACATTCCCTTCGCCTCCTCCCTTGCCTCCTTTGGCCACCCTCCAACCTCTACCCTTCCTGCCCTCCACCCCTCCTGATCCCAACCCCCTCAGCTTGGGTCCAAATCCTTGACTCCAGCGCCTTGAGATGTCCTCCCGACGTGAAAGACATTGTGTAAATGTAATCATGTGTATAATCTCTGCATTAAACTCCTCAAACTCCATCCACAGGCCTACAATGCCAAGACGAAGAGCTATGAAGATCCGCCAAACCGTGCCCGCAGTTCAGCAAACAAAGGGAAGGGCAAGGGGAAAGGCAAAGGTACGGACCGCAATCTGTATTGTGTGTCTTGGAGTGTTTCTGTGAGGCAAAGCTGCATGTGTCTCTCCAGGAAGAGAGAGAGAGTGCGCATTCCATTCCAACAATCTCTCTGGGATTTCCATGTGAAGGTGGGATGCATGGAATTCACATCTTAGGTTCGGAGAATCTTAAACATAGAAACGGAGAGACAGAAGTAGGCCATTCAGCCCCCCAAGCCAGTTCCGCCATTCTATATGGTTATGGCTGATCTGTGTCTCAACGCCAATTACCTGCCCTTGCCCCATATCCCTTGATGCCATGTGTTTAATGGGTTTCTGCATGTGTCAGACACCCGCCTGACCACAAACAAACATGTGTACGTACACACACATAATTGGTTCCAATGTTATACAAAAGTAATTTGTTGTTGTTGAAGTTGTTGCCCTGGCTCCAGTGTTTGAATGCGTTAGAGCGTGGATCGCTCTTCCGAAATCACTGCCTGAAGCCGAATCTGTATCGGGTGTTTAAAGGGGAATCGCACAAAGATTCTCAAAGGGAAGTGGGGTTTGAATGGAGTCGGTTACAGAGGCTGCGGGTTGGATGACCTTCCATTGGCGGTTAGGCCTTCAGCCTCTCTGCCCTCACCCTCTGGAACTCCATTCCACAGTTCCCTTCCTCGCCTCCTTCAAGGACCCCCTCTTCGTCCGTGCCTTCGGTCACCCTACTACCCGTACCCCTCCCTGTCCTCCACCTCTCCTGATCCCAACCCCCGGCTCAGGTGCGGATCCCTTCCTCTCCAGCACCTTGGGATGACCTCCTGACGTGAAAGGTGGATGCTGTGTAAATGTAATGTGTAGTTGTTGTTGTAAACCCCTGTGCCCCCCCCACCACCTGCAGGTAAAGGCAAGAGCAAAGCCACAGCCGAACCAGAGCAAACGGAGCAGGAGAATGCGGAGAGCAAATTCCAAAAGCTTCGCAGCCTCGATGTCTTCTCGGGTTGCGGAGGGCTCTCTGAAGGATTCCATCAGGCAGGTCAGTGATCGTACAGCGGTGCAAGTTTATGTGGGAGTGACTTGTAGTCCCACACTGTAGAGATTAGAGCGCTCGCCTCGCAAGCGAGAGGACCTGAGTTCAATTCTGTCAGGTTGGGGCAAAACCTTAGGCAAGTTTCCTTACTTCCACATATCCTTTTACCTAGCAGGAAGTAGGAAACCGGTTGTTAGCTGATTGGCGCATCGCTTTTTCCAAAAAGAAATTGGTCACTCAATCCATAACTGTTTGAGGGATCCTACTGTGCACAAATTGGCTGCTACGTTTCACCCACAAAATACACGGTTAATCCACTTTACAGTATATTCTGTGAAGCGCTTTGAGATGTCTCAATGGCACGATAAGACCTGTGTCAAGTACAAGGATCATTATTATTATAGTTCATGTGGGAGTAACTGTGGGGGAGTGGTGACCGGTCGAGGAGTAATGTCTTGAGTCATGATCTAAAAGAGGGGAAGGAGTAGGGCAAGGCAGAGGAATTAGTGGGGGGAGAGAGTTCCAGAGTTTCAGGGCGTAGTGGCTGAAGGCACAGCCACTGATGATAAGAGCGAAGTGGGGCCGAGGCACAAGCTCTGAAGCTTTCCTCTCGTCCAGGCATCTCGGAGACACTGTGGGCCATCGAGATGTGGGAGCCGGCGGCCCAGGCCTTCCGGCTGAACAACCCGGGAGCCACGGTGTTCACAGAGGATTGTAACGTGCTGCTGAAGCTGGTGATGGCGGGGGAGAAGACCAACTCGCTGGGGCAGAAGCTGCCACAGAGGGGTGACGTGGAGCTGCTGTGCGGAGGGCCTCCCTGCCAGGGATTCAGCGGGATGAACCGCTTCAATTCCCGCACTTACTCCAAATTCAAGAACTCTCTGGTCGTCTCTTACCTCAGGTCAGTGGGCAGCCGGGCGTGGCGAATACAAATGTACGGCAAGGGGCGTCCTTACTGTGTCGGTCAACAACAGTGGAGTCCTGTAGTTCAGTGGTTAGAGAACTTGTTTCCCAAGCGAGAGGACCCGGGTTCGATTCCCGGGCAGGTCAGGGCGAAACCTTAGGCAAGTTTCCTTACTCCACACACATGCCTCTGTGTACCCAGTAGTAAGTAGGAACCCAATTGTTAGTCGATTGGGGGCTCGCTTTCTGGGGGTAATAATCCCTCCAAAAAATAATAATAATTTGGTCACTCAGTCCACGGCTGTTTGTGGGACGCTGCTGTGCGCAATTGGCTGCCGAGATTCCCCCACAAATTTACGATCACTCCACTTTACAGTGTATCCTGTGAAGCGCTTTGAGGCATCTCGAAGACATGACAAGGCGCTGTATCAAATGCACGGTTTATTATAATTATTATTATAATTCATTGCGTCTTGCTCTTCCTGCAGTTACTGTGACTATTACCGGCCGAGATTTTTCCTCCTGGAGAATGTGAGGAATTTTGTGTCTTTCAAGCGCTCGATGGTTCTGAAACTCACTCTCCGGTGCCTGGTCCGAATGGGCTACCAGTGCACCTTCGGGGTGCTGCAGGTAAAGCTCGGGACACGCTTTATGGCCAACGGTGCCCTTCCTATTCCTACTCCTCGGTTCCCCAGTGTATTGGCCAAACGTGTCGGTCATTGTCCACACCACAGTTGCTCCGCTTCACAACATAGAAACAGGAGTAGGCCATTTTGCCCACAGAATACGCAAAGAATCCACTTTACCGTAGAACATAAGAAATGCTAAGACGAAAAAAAGACCGAGGTCCATGCAGTTTGCCTTCTACGTTCCTGGCGGTCGCTTGCACATATGTCCCAAACTACCTATGTACTGTAACCCATAATGTTATTTCTTAAAAGAAATCTATCTAATCTGTGTTTGAAAGAGAATATCACACTGTATCCTGTGAAGCCCCCCCCCCCCCACACACACACACACTGCCCACAGCTTATTTGTTGGGAAACTTGCATCTGTTCTTACTTTGTCGGCAGAGAATTTAATTTTAACGTGTTGTTTCATGGAGTCATCTCTCTTCCCTCCCCTCTCTCTTTTCTCTCTCTCTCTCAAATTCCTCTCTCTCTTCCCTACCGCTCGCATTCTCTCCTTTTTCTTGCTCTCCCCCCTCTCTGTATCTCTCTCTCTCCCTCTCCCCCATTCGCTCTCTTCCCTCTCCCCTCCTCTCCCTTCTCTCTGAGTCAGGCTGGTCAATATGGCGTGGCCCAGACCCGCAGGCGAGCCATCGTGCTGGCTGCAGCCCCTGGAGAGAAGCTACCCCTCTTCCCCGAGCCTCTACACGTCTTTGCCCCCAGGGCCTGTCAGCTCAGCGTGGCCGTGGACGATAAGAAGTTCTTCAGCAACATAACCCGGTAATGGCGGTCAGCGCTGAGGCGCACAGCCTGTTCTGTTTCCGATCTGGCAGTGTGTGGAATCCTATAGCTAGTGGTTCGCAAGCGAGAGGACCCGGGTACGATTCCTGGGCAGGTCAGGGCGAAACGTTAGGCGAGTTTCCTTACTCCACACACACACACACGCCTCTGTTTACTCAGCAGTCAGAAGGAACCCGGTTATTAGTCGATTGGCGGATCGCTTTCCGGGGTTAATGATCACTTTAATAAATAAATAAATAAATAATGTGGTCACTCAATCCCCAAACTGTTTGTGGAGATGTCGCTGGGTGCAATCAGCTGCCGCGTTTCGCCCACAAAAATACACAGTCACTACACTTTACAGTGTGTCCTGTGAAGGGCTTTGAGTCATCTCGAGACGTGATAAGGCGCTGGGTCAAATGCAAGGATTATTATTATATTATATGGGTCGTTGTTAATGTCTGAAGAGCTGTGGTTTAGATCAGACCAGGAACTGTTAACTAACTGGCTGGGGGGTGGTGGGGGAGTTTGATGGGAACCCGTCTGCTTCTAACTCACCCGTTTACTGAGCCGTGAAGTGTCCTGTGGGAAGTCTGACATCAGACTTGAATTGAAGGGCGACCGGAATAACTCTCACACCTTCTGCAGGACGAAGTCGGCCCCCTACAGAACCATCACCGTGCGAGACACCATGTCCGACCTCCCCGAGATCCGGAACGGAGCCTCGGCGCTGGAGATCTCGTACAACGGGGAGCCTCAGTCGTGGTTCCAGCGGCAGATCCGCGGCACACAATACCAGCCCATCCTGCGCGATCACATCTGTAAGGTAGTGTGTCCGTCCTCTCTCGCCTTCTTCAAGTCCTGTCTAAAGATCTTCCTCTTTGATCGTTAGTTCGCGGCCTGCTCGATAATCTGTAACCCATTGGAGCAAATAGCCTCGCGAGCCAGAGGACCCGGGTTCGATTCCCGGCATGGCCAGGTCATGGCGAAACCTTAGACAGGACTTCACACACAGCGCCTGTTCTTACCAGCAGTCAGTAGGAACCCGCTTGTTAGTCGATTGGTGGCTCGCTTTCCGGGGCGAATAATCCCTTCAAAATAATTTTAAAAATGGTCACTCAAACCACGACTGTTTGTGGGGAAGTCGCTGGGCGCAATTGGCTGCTGTGTTTCGCCCACAAAACACTTTAATAGAGTATCCCGTGAAGCGTTTTGAGACGTCTTGAAGACACAGTAAGGCGCTGTATCAATTGCAATGATTATTATAATAATAATAATTGCTAACTCGGCGCAGGTCAGTTTGTGCTCACGCTCTTCGTACTTGGTCGCGATCTTACAGTCGGACTTTCCTCCCCTCCCTCCTGTCCGACCCCGCAGGATATGAGTGCCTTAGTGGCGGGGAGAATGAGACACGTCCCCCTGGCGCCCGGTTCCGACTGGCGTGACCTGCCGAACATCGAGGTACGTCTGTCTGACGGCACCATGACCAAGAGGCTACGGTACACTCACCGCGACAAGAAGAATGGCTACAGCAGCACTGGGGCGCTGCGCGGGGTCTGCTCCTGTGCAGAAGGTGAGCGAGCGGCTGAGTCTGGCTGTCGTCAATGTGACCCTCTTAATATTTAGTTGTCTCTTTGGTCACCCTCCTACCCCTCCCCTCCTACCCCCACCCTCCCTGCTCTCCACCCCTCTTGATCCCACCCCCAGCTCGGGTGCAAACCCTTGACTGTCCCCCTGACGCTGTGTAAATGTCATTTGTTGTTGTTGTGACTGTCATTGGGTTTTCGTGTTGCACATCTACAACTCCAAGCCAGTTGCTGGGCTCGCTCCACGTGCGGTTTGCTGCAGTAAATGATGTACTAATGAAGCTCTTTATAATTCAGCGTCGGGCTGTGCCTGAGGCAGAGTATCAATACTGTAATTGCTTGAGTGCTCTCTCTCTCTCTCTCTCAATTACTCTATTTATCGACTCAATCGAAACGTCCCCGGAGTGTGGTTCTTTCTCTTTTCTGATTGCCAGTTTGTTCAGCATTACTGGAGTAACGGCAGCCCCTTGCATTTATATAACTCCCTTCACGCCAAGGTGGCATCTCGGAATGCTGTGGTTTACGTCAGTGGCCTGCGCTCTTATTCTTGGCTTGTTGATCAAGGCGGGGGGGGGGGGGGGGGTGTTAGGTGTGATGTTTATTGCCCAGAGGGTGTTGAGAATCTGAAATGTGCTGCATCACAAGGGGGGAGAAGCGGTTGTTGTAGTTAAAAGGGAGACGGAGAAAAAACTAGGAAGTCAGGGATGCGGAGATAAGGTCGGAAATGGGATGAATAGAATCATAGAATGTTACAGCTCACAGTTGGAGGCCATTCGGCCCATTATTGCTGTGCTGTGCCGGTTCTTTGGAAGAGCTACCCAATCAGTCCCACTCCCACTGCTCTTTCCCCACATCCTTGCAAGTTTTTCCTCTTCAAGTACCTATCCAATTCCCTTTTGAAAGTTGTCATTGAATCTGTCTCCACCGGCCTTTCAGGCAGTGCATTCCATTAAACTGGCTGAACGGCCTCTGGCTCCGACTGTGTGGGCAGCGGGTTCTCGTCTTGTGTTCACCAGGGGGGTTTTGTGGTGTTTTGCAGGCAAGCCTTGTGACTCTGCAGACAGGCAGTTTAACACCCTGATTCCCTGGTGCCTGCCTCACACTGGCAACAGACACAACCACTGGGCCGGGCTGTACGGCAGGCTGGAGTGGGACGGATTCTTCAGCACCACAGTCACCAACCCTGAGCCCATGGGCAAGCAGGTGAGTCACTCCTCACGGAGCCTTAGCTGCTTTGATCGGCTGGTTTGACAGATCGCGGCGTCCCCATAGCGTAGTGGTTACCACGCACTCCTCGCAAGCAAATGAGAGGACCCGGGTTTAATTCCCGCCAGGCCGTTCAAATCGGGGCAAAACCTTGGGCAAGTTTCCTTACTCCACACACACACACACACACGCCTCTGTTTACCTTGCAGTAAGTAGGAACCCGCTTGTTACTCGATCGGCGGATCGCTTTCTGGTGACAATCTCTCCACCAAAAAAAGTGTCACTCAATCCACGGCTGTTTGTGGGACACTGCTGTGCGTGATTGGCTTCCGCGTTCGCCCACAAAACACACAGTCACTACACTTTATAATGTATCCCATGAGGCGTGATCTGAACAGCGTGATAAGTAGGCTGTATCAAATGCGAGGATTATTGTTGTAAAGAACCGTGTGCTAATCTCTCTCTCTCTCTCTGCTAGGGTCGGGTGCTACACCCCGAACAGCACCGTGTGGTCAGCGTGAGGGAGTGCGCGCGCTCCCAGGGATTCCCAGACACCTACAGGTTCTTTGGAAACATTCTAGACAAGCACAGACAGGTGGGTGTGTGCTCGGCAGGCACAGGCAGAGGCACGGAACCTGGTTTAGAAAACCGCAACTTATCCGGTTGTTAGTCACGTTTCCGAGGGTGATAAGTTGACAGTACATTCTGTGAAGCGCTTTGAGATGTCTAGAAGACATGATAAGGCGCTGTATCAAATGCAAGGATTATTATTATTAAGTCGTGTTCGTGGGCTGGGTTTGCACCGAGACTGCTGGTGCAGCGTGTTCACAAAGTACTGTTATTCACCCCCTCCCACCGTGTGTTTTTTTAAATTTCCCCACAACTGAAATGTGTAGAAGGAAGAATGATGATAAGTGTATTTAGAATTACTTCATTGTATTCAGTACAAGCGTTTAACTTGCACAAGCGTACATTCAGAAGACCACAGGATCGGTGCCTGTGTGTGTGTGTGTGAGCGCCATCATTTTCACGGCAGATAATGATCAGTCGTCATGTTCTGCGCCACGTCTTCCTTTAACATGGATGGATGGAGTGAGGAGGGCAAAATGAATCTCTTGTCAGTTTGTTTCAGCTCCTCCCTAGTCTCGTGACACTGCTTTGTATCGATGCCACCACCCTTTGGAGCTCCCTCCCTTTCGTCTTTCAAGGCCTGTCTCAAGACCCTCTTCTTCCACCAAGCCTTCGGCCACCCTCCCTGTCCTCCACCCTCCCTTACACCAATTCGCCCCCACACCCCCCACCCCCAGCGCGGGTCCAAATCCCTGACTGTCCAGCGCCTTGGGACGTCCTCCCGACCTGAAAGACGCTGTGAAAACATGACTTTGTGGACAGACGCGCTGAATTTTGGCATGGGATGAAGCTAGGCGAGTCATGGTGTGTTACAAGTGTCTGATGCCACGTGCCACTCTCTGCTGGTTCTCAAACAGACCCCTCATCTCCCCCCCCCCCCCCTTGTTTCACACAGGTCGGCAACGCTGTGCCACCCCCCTTGGCTAAAGCCATCGGCACGGAGATGAAACTGCACATGACTGAGAACATGAAAGAGAAAGAGAACGCAGCAGGTACCTGCCTGGTGTGAGACGTGTGCAGGCGGAGCGCAATGTTCACAGTAAACGTGTATCTGGGGCCTTCGGGCTTCAAAACCTTTCAGTAGAAAACTCTTGTGTGGGCGGGTGTGTTATGTCCAGGCACATGTGTGGCCCACATTACCATCAAACACAGGTGGGAGTCCTGTAGCGTAGTGGTTAGAGCGCTCGCCTCAAGAGAGAGGACCCGGGTTCGATTCCTGGGTCAGGCTGAAAGCTTAGGCAAGTTTCCTTACTCCACAAGCTGCTGTTCACCTAGCTAGTCGTTAGATGATTGGCGGATCGCTTTTTGGGGGTAATAATCCCATCCCGTCTCCACGAATAAATAAATTGGTCATTCAATCCAGGACTGATTGTGGGACGCTGCTGGGCGCAATTGGCTGCCGTGTTTCACCTGCGAAATACCTAGTCACTGCACTTCACAGTATATTCTGTGAAATGCTTTGAGACGCCTCAACACTGTGATAATTGTCTCTTCCCCTTTGCCCCATCTTGTCTTTAGTCACGGTACTGCACTCCCCTCACACACACTCCGATTTCAGCTTTTTTTAAAAAGCCTCTCTTCCCCAGCCCCACCTACTTAGCGATTGATCCACATCTTTCCTGTAAAGCAACTGAGAATATTGCATCCTGAACAGTTTGCTGAATCCTTAATCATTCCTTTCCCTTTCTTTCTCCCTCCCTCCCTCCCTCTCTCCCCAGAAGCCGTCAAGCAAGAGAGCATGGACATCGCGGAGTGACTCCTCCGCCGGGCGCTCTCTCCCAGGGAAATCTTCACTCGCTGAGTTCAGGGCAGGAATAAGAATGATTCCCATGGTCTGGGAATCACTGGTATCTTTCGCTGGCTGGCACTGTGCGCTGGTGAAGATGTAACCTCAATTTTAGCTAAAAAATTGAACTTTGTTTCTCCCCCCCACCCCCCCATCCTCTTTTTCTCCCCCCCCCCATATCCTCTTTTTCTCCCCCTCACCCTCTTTTTCTCCTCCCCCACCCACCCTCTATACCCACCATCCCTCCCTTTCCATTAATTGTGCAGTCCTGTCTCGCAATGTGGATTTTATATAACGTGGTTTTAAGATGCCCAGTGATTGAATGATTGCCTCAAACTATCTGCGGTGATGATTCATTCGTGTTTAATAAACTTGTAGTTTTTTTATATGTTGTAATATTCCTTCAATAAATACCTTTTATTAAGTGTAAGGCGCTGGTATGAGCAGTCTCCTGTTTGTTTGACCTTAAATGTGCTGTGTGAGTGTGCGTCTGTGAATGTGAGTGTCTGAGTGTTACAATGGACACTATTGTTGTCCTTCCCACCCCCCTCGAAATAAATGTATAATTCCAACACAAGAGGAACCCTTTCTCTTTTCCCACCCCCACCACACATCAACACAATTCTATTAATCCTTATACTCCTGGAATCCCATTCAAAAAATGAGTGTTTCTCTAAAGCTGTGTGCTGACTGTTAGCAGAGAAGAAAATTCATCAATAATAATAATCCTCGCATTTGATACAGCGCCTTACGTCGTTGAGACGTCTCAAAAGCGCTTCACAGGATGCACTGTAAAGGGGATTGGCCGTATTTTGTGGGCGAAACATATTGTGTGCGTGTGTAAAAGCTACAAGCTATTCTTGGTTTTGTGTCAACCCTTTTTTCCAAATGACCCCTTTAATTATCTACTTATCTTTCCCCGCAGGAGACAAGCTACTGACTGGCTGCCAAGTGCCACTCGAAGTCAGGGCAGCCTTGAAGCAAGGAATTAACCGTAGCTTGATCGGACTTGCCTGTTATCCCGACAGCTGTGTCGCTAATTCTCTGTAAGTTCTACCCTTTCACATGACAGAACCGAATATTCCCTGACATCGAGCAGATTATTGGCAGTAACTCGGATCGCTTCAAAAGGTAATGATCATTGAATATATGTCGGCAAGGTCACAACGCACAGCGTGAAGCAGCAAAGCCAATTTATCTGGTGGGTTAGTGGTCAGGACACCAGGAGAAACTCCCTTCTCATAGAATCTTACAGCACAGAAGGAGGCCATTCAGCCCATCGTGCCTCTGCCTGCTCTTACCCCATAGCCCTGCATATTTTTCCTTGTCTAGTACCTATCCGATTCCCTTTTGAAAGCAACCAGCGAACCTGCTTCTACTGCCCTTTCAGACAGGCGGTGCGTTCCAGACCGTAACAACTCTGGACAAGAAAGATTTCTCCTTTTCTCCCCTCTGGTTCTTTTGCCAATTATCTTAAATCTGTGTCCTCTGGTTACTGGCCCACTCAATTGCCAGAGAAATCAGTTTCTCCCTGTCTACTCTATCACAATCGAAACCCCTCATAATTTTGAACACCTCTATTAAATCTTCCCCATAACCCAGCCTCTAACCTCCACATAATTGAAGTCCCTCACCCATGGTATCTACTGGTTTTCCAATAGGGAGTCGGGATCTTCAGGATCGCCTGAACAGCATATCACTATGAGTCACAAGCTATTTTGTTAACAGAACAGTCATTGGCAGTCAGTGAGGAAATATTGGTCCAAACTTTATTTTGCTAAGTAAATAGTGACTTAACTCCTGCGCTTTCGATGTTCGTTCAGAGAACACTTCAGTTGGTTGAAGGTCTGTGGAGAGAGAAGAGGGGGAGGAAGGACAAAGGGGGAGAGCGATTAACATTTGCACTGCTTTTGGAACTAATAACAATCACAGACAACAGGTTATAAAGTCTAAAATAGACACCGCGTCCCCTGACCGTGCCAAAAACAAATTGCATTTATATAGCGTCTTTCACGCAGAAACAAACGTCACCACCCCAATCCTCAAAAAACCCTTCCCTGGACCCATCCCGCTCTCCAACTAACACCCCATCTCCAACTTCCCTTTCCTTGGTCCTGGAACGAGTCGTTGCTTCGCTCCTTCCTCTCCCGCCATGCCCTTTACGGATCCCTTCCAATCGGGTTTCCGTGCTGCACAGAGCACAGCCCCAATCTTTTTTCAGGGGTGGGTGGAGATTATCACCTCTAGAAAAGCGATCCGCCAATCGACTAACAAGCGGATTCCTAGTTACCGCTAAGTAAACAGGAAACTTGCCTATGATCGGGGTCTGGGGAAAGAGCTGGGGTGGGGAGGTTTGACTGATTGGGTAGCACAGGCACGATGGGCCGATTGGCTTCCTTCTATGCTATAATATTCTATGATTCTAAGATTTCTCCCTGACCCACCCGGGAATCGAACCCAGGTCCTCTCGTTTGTGAGGCGAGCGCTCTAACCACTACGCTACCAGACAGCCATTTATTCGGCCCAGCGAGTCTGCGTCAGAGGTAAATGGGAGTGGAGATTGTGTGCGCTGTCGAGAAGCCTTGCGCAAAACAATCACTTACTTGGCCCATTCCACGTTCAGGATCAAGTGATCGTAGCCAAAACCTGAAACGCCAGCGATGGCACGGGCCGCATCCTCCCGGCGATGGAAGCTGATGAAGGCAAATCCCTAGAGAGAGAGAGAGAGAGAGGGGGGGGTGGGGGGAGGTTGTTACTGAACCGACAAACACCACGAGAAGCTAAACTGGCAATTTTCCCCTCTCCCGCTAGCTAACGCCACATCAACCTGTCCGCTCCTCCGCTCAACAGACTCCAGCCTACTCCACGTTCCCCGTATTGTCCGACCCACCATCGGCAGTCAGGCCTTCAGCCTCTATGTCCCACTCTCTGGAACTCGTATCCCACAGTCCCTTCTAGGCCTGTCTCAAGACCCCTTCAGCCACCCTCCTACACCCACCCTCCCTGCCCTCCACTCCTCCCTGATCCCAACCCTCAGCTTGGGTCCAAATCCCTGACTGTCCAGTCCAGCACCTTGGGACGTCCTCCCGACGCGAGGCGTGTGTTGTAGAGACACCAACCAGCTGCTGGCTTACCTTAGACTGGCCTGTGTTCTTATCCTTTGCCAGATAAATCCTGGAGATGGAGCCGAACGGTCTGAAAAGCTCCTGCAGGTCGGTCTCTCTGGTGTCCTCAGAGAGGTTAGTTACCCGGATGGTGGCATTATCATCGGCTGCAGGAAAACAACCACCACAACAGATTTTATATTTATATATATATATATATACACACACACACACAACAAAAGGCTGAATACTGCGGAGGCTGGGAATCTGAAATAAACACAGAGGTGGCTGGGAACAAACACTCAGCAGGTCAGGCAGCAACTATAGAGAGTGGAAAGTGAGTTAACGTTTCAGGTCAATGACCTTCCATCGGAGAGGTCATCGGTCTCGCTCTCTCTGTGCCACTCTCCCTCAGACTACTTGCCATTTCTGTGTGTTTGTTATGGTAGAGAGGTCTCAAGACTCCTTTTCGACCGCGTCTTCGGTCACTCTCTCACCCCCCCCCCCCACCCCCCACCCTGGTCCCAACCCCCAGCTCAGGTCCATATCATTGACTGTCTAGTCTAGCGCAGAGTTGAACCCAGTGCAGAGTTGTCGACTTGTACAGCAGAGAGACAGGGCTGTCAGCCTGCACTGACCGATTGACTGACCGTGAACCTGAACCCCAGGCCCTCTTGCCCCCACCCGAGCGTCTGAAGCTGAGACAGCTTCTTGCCCCCCCCCCCCCCCCCCCCGCGTGCGTGGCTTCTCACTTACCTCTGCGATTTGTCTGCATGGACTCCCCTCGCCGGTTGGCTCCGTCCCTTAAGCTGGGCGGGACGTACTTGCCCGTCTTGCTCTGTGCTGGCTGTACGGGCTCGGCCTCTGTGGAGGACAAGAGATAAGAGACGTAGCTTACAGTCGGAGAAACAGCTCCGCCGCGGCTCCCTTCGCTGTTCCGCTTGCTGAGGGCACCCAACTCGGCACAGACTTGCGCTCCTGGCTGCTGTGCACTGGTCGCCAGGTCTGCAGACGTGGCAATGCTGCCATCTGCCGGCTCCCAGGGGGATGGCAATCCTGTCCCAGATATTCTGGGAATGTTTATCCGGGATAAGTACGTCTCCCGTAGGGCTCGAGTGACAAATCGGAAGGCCATTGGGGCCCATCGTGTCCGTGCTGGCTCTTTTTAAGGAACTTAGGGTTTGTTGGACGAAAAAAAGACCGTTGTTCCATCCAGTTCGCCTTCTATCATCGGGCGGGGTGAATAATAATAATAATTCTTGCATTTGATGTAGTGCCTTATCCCATCGTTGAGATGTGAAACCTTAGGCAGGTTTCCTTACTCCACACGCCTCTGTTTACCTAGCAGTAAGGAGGAACCCACTTGTCAGTTGGAGCGTTTTCCAGGAGTACTAATTCCTTCGCAAAACAAAAAAATGTAGTCACCCAATCCACGACGGTTTGTGGGCCGTTGCTGTGTGCTGTCTGGCTGCCGCGTTTCGCCCACAAAATGCACCTGCTCTCCTCACCCCAGCTACCTACCTCCTGGAACCTTTTCTTTGTCGGTGCTTAGGCCCAGCTGCTCGGCTAACTCCTTCTGCATGGGGCCCAGCGTGTCTTTGTACGGACACCTCGTTGTCCAATGGTCCCCTTTGCAGATCCGGCAGGACACGATCTTCTGCCCTTTCAGTTTGGACATCGGATCATCATCTTCCTGGTTTATCAGGTCCTGGGGTGGGGGGGTGAAGAACATCCCGGTTAGTGACCAGGGCTGGAAACCAGATCCACACTGCCCCTACCTACCCTCCCTGCCTCAATCCCTCCGCTCCCTCCCTCCTTAAATCTCACCTGAAGACTTCCCTCTTCGACCAGGCCTACAGTCACCCTTCCCTCTCTCCCCCCCAGCCCCAACCCGCCACTAAAGTGCTCAAACGTGATAGAACATAGAATATTCCAGCACAGAAGGATCACAGCATCGTGCCTGTGCTAGCTCTTTGGAACAGCTCCCCAATCAGTCCCGCTCCTCCCGCTCTTTCCCCCTTACCCCTGCAGTTTTTTCCTTTTCAAGTACCTATCCAACTCCCTTTTGAGATTCCCTATTGAAATTCCCTACTTGCGTGAAGGGCGCTGGGTAAATGAAAGTTATCGTTGCTCTCTTGTCCCAATTGATTGATCTGAATCCAAACCCGTCCCTTGATCGCTGGCTGGCTGGGTTATCGAGGGCCACAGAAGGGAGGCCATTCGGCCCCATTGTGTCTGAGCTACTTGTGTTATCATCGCCCTTTATGGTTTATCCAATTGTCCAGTTTGTCCCTTTGGATTCTTAAAAGACTTAGTGTGATGTTGTGTAGAGAGTTAAGAACCACTCAGAGAGAAAGAATGAGAGACACACACGCACATACAAGAGTTATAAAGAGATGGAGATGCACACACACACACACACAACATCCATACTCTTTATCTCTGTTTCGGCACTGATACCAATTAGTGTGGACGCCTGCCTTGCCGGACTCTGCCCTGACTCCCTCTCACCTCTTTGTTGGTGATGAAGGTCATGTACACATCGTCGCTGACAGTTGTCGTGGCTACGTTGGGCCCCGCTTGATCATACTCCGAGTTCCCGATTTTCTTCCAGTTCTGAAAACAAGGCAAAATGGCAGGTGGGGCAGAGTGAGTGTACAGAGAGAGAGAGACCGAGAGCCAGCCTTGGCTCACAGAACAAGAAAAGACTCAAGATTGATCGTGTCTGGCCAGCGCAGAGGGCAGTGTGGGGAGAGGGCTTAACAGCTCCCCATTGCTCTCCGATCTCCGTTGCACGGTTTCTCTGTTGAGTGAAGAAATTTCTTCCAACCCCTCCACGGTCTCGACCCCACACTCTTTACCTCTGCCACCTCCTCAAATCCTACCCACCAGACCAGTCCAGGCTGCTCCCTTCGCTCAGCCTGCTTCACGTTCCCCGCCTTGCCATCAGGTGGGTGGGCTTTCTGCCCTCTGACTCGCTCATTCCCTCCCTTCCTTCTGCTCGTTCAAGGTCTGTCTCGAGATCGATCTCTTTAACCACACCTTCAGTCATCTTTCCCCCCCATTCCACATCCCAGCTCGGGTGCCTAGGTAGGATTGTTAAACCAAGCAGTTTGGGATGTTGTGAAAGGCGCTGTATCATAATAATATAATAATCCTCATATTTATTCTAGCGCCTGATCAGGTCGTCGAGAAGTCTCAAAGCGTTCACAGAATATACTGTGAAGTGAACTGACTGTATTTTGTGGGTGAAACGTGGGAAATATAAATTTGTACTGTGATCTCGGTCCCCATTGCTAACCCTCACCTTCCTCCGGGCTACCGCTTTCGACGCTTTCCTGGTTTCAATCCTGAACGTCCGCACGATCTGTCAAGACAAAGCGACGAGATTAAATGAATGTAATCAGCTCTCACGAGGTGACGAAGGGAGCTGTGAGGAGAAGCCAAACCGGTTTGAATAAAGCAATGACTTACCTTCACTTTCTTCCCGTCTTCATCGACTTTATATTCGGTGAGAATTTTAATATTCCCTTTGATCTGCTCTTTCGGTGAAGGTAATGGACCTGCGGGTGGGAAATATTATGGGATGTAGGGTAATGAACAACAGCAACTTGCATTTACACAGCACCCTTCACATGGGGTAGCTTCCCAGAAGGCTTGACAGTGGCAGAGTCTGACCTGAGCCATGGGGAGAGGGGAAGTGACTGTCAGCACAATCAAAAAGGAAGGTCTTTAGGCAGGATTTGAAGGTGGTGGGGGGAGAGGGTGAGGTGGACGAAGAGAGCTTCGAGGCTTAGTGGCCGAAGGCACAGTCACCGATGGTGGAGCGGAGGGTACAGGGGACAACTCGGAGGCCGGAGCCAACCGAGCAGAGGCAGCGGGTGGTGGAGTGATGGGAGGTAAGCAGGTCGGAGAGATAGGGAGGTGCCAGTGGAGCCTGGCGAGGACGGGGGTGATGGGGGGGGGGGGGGGTACGGAGTTTTGTATTAATTGGGGAGACCAGCAGGAGGTGGTTGGAACAGTCCAGCCGGGAAGTGACGAAGTTTTCAGCTGCGTCGGTTGTGAGGCAGGGACGGAGGGGGAGAATGGGGCGGATGTAATCTTGTAGTACCTGCGTTTTTCCTTAACAATAATCCTATTTTCCGATTCTATTCCACATTAAACAGGCAGGTAAAAGGCAAGTAAGAGAGAGACACAAGGAGAGGGGGAAATGGAGACAGTAAGCATGAGACAGGTAGAGAATATATTAAATGTATGATATATATTATATACAATATTACATTTGCACAGCGCCTTTCACGTCGGGAGGACGCCCAAGATGCTGGACAGTACTGTAATATAAGTATATTAAGTATATATTATGTTGCTTCACGTATATTGTAATACATAAAGTAGTACAATAGATATTCAGTATAATAATGTTATATATTATCATAAACTATATTATGTATATTGTTACATATATTTGCTTTCTGTTTTATTTGTTAGATTTACAATATTTTAATTGATGTAAGTGAATTGTGAGGCATAGTTAGAATATAAAATAAGTGTGTCTTTAATCAATATATTAATTGAAACGGCATATCGCCATAGAATATTATTTTGCAATATATTATAATGAATATATGGATTGTCATCACACGGGCGAAGTGACGACAGGACAGTAAAAAAAATGATATAAAACAAGAGTAAGAGGATGATATGTAGAGTCAAAAATATATAAAATAAGAGTAAAAAGAGGGGACGACATTTAGAGTAAAAGTAAGAAATAATATAAAGTAAGAATAAAGAGAGAGGGCAGTGTTTAGAGTAAATAATATTATATAAAATAAGAGCAAAGAGAGGACAATATTCAGAGTAAAAATAATGTAAAATAACAGTAAAGAGGGAGGACAGTGTTTAGAGTAAAAAATAAGAGTAAAGAGAGGACGGTGTTCGGAGTAAAAAAAATTATTGATTAACTAATTACATAAAACAACTGTAAAGAGATAAAAATATATTATTGCATAAAATAACAGCGAAGAGATAAAATAATAATTATTATTAATTATATAAAATAACAGCAAAGAGATAAAATTATTATTAATTATATAAAAGCAAAGAGATAAATAATAATTATTAATTGTATAAAATAACAGCGAAGAGGTAAAATAATAATTATTAATTATATAAAATATACCTTTGCTGTTATTTTGCATAATTAAAATTATTATTACTAATTATATAAAACGACAGCGAAGAGACACAAAATAACTATTATTAATTATCTAAAATAACAGCGAAGAGATAAAAATAGTAATTATTGTTAATTACGTAAAAACAAGAGAGAGAGAAAAAGTATATATTATTATATTAAAAAAATAGCAGTAAAGAGAGAGAGAGAGAGAGAGGACAGTGTTCAGAGAGAGAAAATAACCATAAAACAATAGCAGAGACGGGGTTCAGGGGGACCCCGAGGCCCCGGACTGGGGGTTCAGGGGACCCCGAGGCCCCGGACGGGGGGTTCAGGCCTCGCTGCTCAGGCCTCTGCCTCCCCCACGTGGGGCCGCCCTGGGCCCGGCTCTTACCCTCGTCGACCTCCTCCTCCACCTGGTCGGCCCAGCTCGGCTTGGAGCTGCGGGGACACACAGCACAGAGAGAGGCCGGTTAGTCAGGCTCACGGCCCCCGCCCCCCCCCCCGCCCCCCGGCCCCCAACCCCCGGCCCCGGGACTCACTCGTAATCCATGGCCCCGGCTCCCGAGTCACAGCGAGAGGCCCGCGGCGCCGCCACAGGTTCCGGGAAAGACTCCCCGCACTCAGCACAGCGCCGCCCTCAGGCCTGGAGGGCTCTCCGCACTCAGCACAGCGCCGCACAGCGCCGCCCTCAGGCCTGGAGGGCTCTCCGCACTCAGCACAGCACAGCACAGCGCCGCCCTCAGGCCTGGAGGGCTCTCCGCACTCAGCACAGCGCCGCACAGCACAGCACAGCGCCGCCCTCAGGCCTGGAGGGCTCTCCGCACTCAGCACAGCGCCGCACAGCACAGCACAGCGCCGCCCTCAGGCCTGGAGGGCTCCTCACACACACACACACACACACACCTGTGCCAGGTGGGGTCCACTGTATCCCAGGGCATTCTCTGCTGATGGCAGCACAGCACAGCCCATGGGCAGGGCCTGGAAGGGCCGACCAGTCACTGGGGGGCAGGGAATCCCCCCCCCACCCCCACCCCCACCCCCTCAGCTCCTGGAAACCCCACAGCCAAAGCCCCAACTAACTAACGGGGAGTGGGGAGGGGGGGGACACGCAGCGGGAAAGCTCGGCCGGACAGCCCTCGCCCGCCCGCCCGCTCGCGCTCTCTCTCTCTCTCTGGATGGCCGAGCTGTGCTGTGCTTTGCTGTGTGTGGGTTCAGCTGGTTAGACCCCAGCAGTTACCCCCCAACGCACACTCTGGGTTCCCCCCCCCCCGCCCCGCCCCGCCCCAAAAGCCTTGGCTCTCGCCCGACCTGCGCCCCTAATGCTCTCCGGAATTCGGTAATCAGGGGACGTCCTCCAGAGAGAGAGAGAGAGAGAGCGCATTCCATTCCATTCCATTCCAACCATCTCTCCCTGGGACTTCCAGGTGTGAGTGGGCGGCAGCGAATGCTCAGCTCGGTTTGGAGACTCTTTAAGCAACGATGATGGGTTAGACACCCGGTTGGGCCACAGTGTATCTCACACACACTCACTCACTCACTCACTCACTCGTACGCCAACCCCTCACGCCTGTGTGGGTGGGTGGGTGGGGTGTTGCGGGGAAGAGGAAGGGGACACGTACTTCCGTTCCCCCCCAACGTTTAGCTCCCTCCGTTCCGCCTCTCTTGGCTCAGCCCCGGTACAGCACCTTAGAGACGTCTCAAAGCGCTTCACAGAATATACCGTGGAGTGAATTGACTGTATATTTTGTGGGCAAAACCCGGCAGCCAATTGCGTCCCCGCAAACAGTCGTGGGTTGACTGACCTATTTATTTATTTTTCTAGGAATTATTACCCCCATATAAGCGATTCGCCCATCGAGTAACAACCGTGAACATTCCCGGTGAATAGCAACACAGCCGTGGAGCGAGCGAGCGTTTTAATCCGTCGGCCAGGACACCGGAGAGAGAGGGGGAGAGAGAAAGAAAAAAACTCCCGTTTCTTTTCCCGACAGCACAGCGGGAGATCTTTCGCATCCGACCCGAACAGGGCACAGACGGGGAGCGGAGGTTCACATCTCATCCGAAAGGACGGTGTCTGTGACATTACGGCGCACTCTCTCTCTTCCCCCAGCGCTGTAGAGGAGAGCGTTTCCAAGTGCCCGACGTGGGGCTTGAACCCCTAACCTTCTGACTCCGAGGCAAGAGAGAGCGAGAGAGAGAGGACAACCCGCTGAGCCAGGCCGACTCACACCATTTGGAGGAATCACCTGGACCTTGGAGGACTCGAGTGGAAGAACCGTCACACGCCCTCACCCGGAGGCAAAGGTAAGGATGAGTTTGTATATTTATAACGCCTGAGGGGTTCAAAAAGCCTTTGTGAATATTTACAATATCTGCTGCGGTGCTGTGCTGTGCTGTGTCCTGATTCATCCCTGTGATATCGTGTCAGTCTGATGGCTTTTCTCCGACTCTAGGGCTTGTAGCAATAATAATAATAATAATAATAATCCTGGCATTTGATATAGCGCTTTATCACATCGTCGAGACGTCTCAAAGCGCTTCATAGCGTATACTGTAAAGAGTAGTGACTGTGTATTTTGTAGGCAAAAAGCGGCAGCCAATTGCGCACGGCAGTGTCCCACAAAGAGTTGTCGATCGAGTGACCAAATTATTATTAATATTTATGGGAGGGATTATTGTTAATACGTGATCCGCTAATCCTACTTACTACAAGGTAAACAGAGGCGCGCGCGTGTGTGTGTGTGTGTGTGTGTGTGTGTGTGGAGTAAGGAAACTTGCCCAAGGTTTCACCCGGGAATCGAACCCGGGTCCTCTCGCTCGCGAGCCGAGGGCTCCCAACCACTGAGCTGTGCGACACCAAAGTGCAGATGCCGCGTTTTACTGTAAAAACCGCGAATCAAGAATAATAATTAATAATCAACAATAATCATTGCGTTTTGATACACCGCCTTATGCATTGGGGTGGAGCGGGGGAGTTAAAAAGCGCTTCCCAGGATTTACTGTCGGGTGTAGTGACTGTGTGTCTTGTCAGCGACTGCCTACAAATGAAACTAACAGACGAAAATGGAGCCACAAACAGTTGGGTATGAACTGGATGTCAGTATTTTATTATGGATAATCGAGCCCTGACATGCACAAGCAGAAATTAACATCCACGTGCATCTGTCGTAGCCGCTGCAGTCTATATATAAATAAAAAATAATTTAATTTTGTTCAAGAGCTGATTCGGGAAACACTTACAAAACACGTCACACTATTTAAAAAGTTACCGTTCGCAATTAATCGCAGTCTCTCCGCACGTGGACAGGCAGAGAGAGAGAGAGAGAGAGAGAGAGAGAATGAGAGAGGGGTTAGCTCGAGCGATTAATGCTGGGTAGGTAGGGGGATGTGCAAGTCTTTTCAGGAACTCTGAACCCACGATGAGGGTTATTCCCTCATTCGTCCTGACAATTGCCGAGAATTCCCGCTTCCCAACGCTGGAGTAAGGAATTTGTTTGTCCGTGTGTCTGTGGAAAAACAAGCACAGGGTTGATGATCAGAATAATAATCCTTGCATTTGATACAGCGCCTTATCACGTCGTTGAGGCGTTTCAAAGTGCCTCACGCTCTATATGTAAATATAGTGACTGTGTATTTTGTGGGCGAAACGCAGCGCACAGACACATACACACGTACACACATACAGAAGGGATATGGGGCAAAGGCGGGTAATTGGAGTTGAGGTACACATCAGCTACGATTTTATAGAATGGCGGAAAGAGCTCGAGGGGCTGAATGGCCTCCTCCTGTTCCTCCTATGTTCCTTGGACTGTGAGCTCAAAGTCCTAAATGTGAATCTTCCACTCATTAAAATACAACAGCAATAAAACGGGTCATTAATTCAGCTGATGGCTGCAGACTGCAGGCCATTAAAGCGCGGTAGACAAGGACGGACTTGAAGGCAACACTTTGGTTGTGTCCACCGGGCGAGGTACAATACGTACAATTAATTGGTAGAGACTGGAATTAGTGATGATGATAATAATAATAATCCTCGCATTTGATATCGCGCTTTATCACGACTTTGAGGCGTCTCAAAAATCGCTTCACGGGGATACACTGAAAGGTGAATTGTCTGTGTATTTTGTGGGCGAAACGCGGCAGCCAATTGCACACAGGAGGGTCTTGAGACGGACCTTGACGGAGGCAAGGGAGGGAGAGCCTGGGCGGGAGGGGCTGCGGGATGGAGTTCCAAAGGGCGTGAGGGCGGAGAGGCCGAAAGCCTGACCGCCGATGGTGGGGTCAGTGCCGGGTGGGGGACGTGGAGCTGATGTCAAATCGACCCGTCCAGTCCCTCCGCTCAGCAGGTTGGCAAGAGCCAAGGCCTGGTGGTGGTGGTGGTGGTGGTGGTGGGTGGTGGGGGGGGGGGCGGTGCTCAGAGTGTGTGTTGGGGGTAACTGCTGGAGTCTAACCAGCTAAACCCACACCGCTTGGCCATTGAGAGAGAGTGAAGCACTGTGAGATACCGGGAGCGCGGAGCCTCTGTACCTTTTGGGGTCTGTTGCTGTGGGTTTTCCTGTTCATGTCCAGGTTGGGTTGAGTTGGAGGCCAGGAGATCTGCAGCTTCCCCAGGTTTGGCTTCTCTGTAGAGGAATAATAATAATAATAATAATAATAATCCTTGCATTTGATATAGCGCTTTTCACGTCGGGAGGACGTCCCAAAGCGCTTCACAGAACACACTGTAAAGTGAATTGACTGTATATTTGTGGGCGAACGCGGCAGCCAATTGCGCACAGCAATGTCCCACAAACAGTCGTAGATTGAAAATGACCAATTTATTATTGTTTGTTTTTTTGGAGGGATTATTATTAGGAGTGTTACACACACAACGGTTGCTTGTTTCAGGACACGATAGAAACCGCATCGACGCACACACACCATACACACACACTCATACACCAAACCCCCCCCCTCCCCACACACACACACACACAATCCCCCACACATACATAAAAATAGAGAGGAGAGAGAGAGAGAGAGAGAGACAGAAAGAAGAGAGAAATAAGAAAAGATACAGAAGGAGGGAGGGAGCGAGAAAGAGAAATAGCCTTTTGGTAACGACTTCTAAGAGAGACGTAGATAATTATTTGGGGAGGACAAGTTTGCAGGGCTGTGCGGAGAGCGCGGGGGGAGTGGGGTTGAATTGGGAAGCTCTTTTCAAAGAACCAGCGCAGACACGATGGGCCGAATGGCCTCTTTCTGTGCTGTGTAATTCTATGATTTTATGATCTCACAGCGCATCTTCACAGGTTCATACAACAACAACAACAACTTGGATTTATATCGCGCCCTCCACGCCGGACGGCGTCTCAGAGCGCTTCACAGTAACGGATCCCGGGGCCGAGCCGGGGGAGGGTGATGGGGGGGAAGATGACCAAAGGCGCGGTCGAAAAGGGCCGCCAAGTGTATCTTGTAACCAGATGCCGGCATTCTGATCCCAAGCATAAATGTTTGCATTAACCTTGGCTCGGGGGCAGGAAATGAAATGGGTTAATTAACTATTAAATTAGTCAACCAACTCGTTAATTTCCATTTGTTTACAGTGCAGGAAGTGGAAGAGATTAAGTTCGAAGGTGAGTGAGGGAGTGAGTGTAACAAATCTCAGGAAGTAGGAATATTACGATTCAGGATAAGACTGAACTGCAGTTGCGCCGTCAGCAGATCTCAGTGTCAGGGCCAGTCCGGGTCTCACGGACCGCAGCGCAAATGTGAGGCTTCAGGTTACAATTTAACAGCAAACGGTGAGGGAGTTACAGAACAGTGTCTGGCACTGTTTAATCCACCATGGAATCTGTTTGAGAAAGAGCCAGCGAGCGAGCAAGCGCGATGATAATCCTGGCATCTGACCCAGTGCCTTAATCGCGTCTTCGAGGCGTCTCAAAGCGCTTCACAGGATACGCTGCAAAGTGTAGTGACTGCACGTTCTGTGGGCGGAAACGCCAATTTGCGCACAGCAGCGTCGCACAAACGGTCGTGGATTGAAGTGACCAATTTATTATTATTATTATTATTTTAGAAGGGATTGTTACCCCCGATCAACAGCCAACCGGGTTCCGACTTACTGCTGGTAAACAGTGTGTGAAGTAAGGAAACTTGCCTCAGGTTTCGCCCTGCCGGGAATCGAACCCGGGTCCTCTCGCTTGCGAGGCGAGCGCCCTAAATAGGAAGTAGCAGTAAATAGGAACCTGGCTGTTAGTCGACTGGTGGATTGCTTTTTACGGGGATAATAAACCCTTCCAAAAAAATAATAACAATAATAATAATGATGCGGTCCACTCAATCCACGACCGGTTGCGGGACGTCGCTGTGCGCAATTGGCTCCCAAAGCGCTCAGTCACTATACTTTACAGGGTAGCTTTGAGATGCCTCGACGGCGGGATGAGGCGCCGTATCGAATGCGAGGATTATAATTATTATTAAATCCTCACAAATGGCCCGGAGAGGGGGGGGGGAGGGAGAGAGAGAGATCACAAGATCAGGACTTTCTCTCTGCAATATAACAAATTGGACAGGGTCAAAGTGCCCCTAAGAAGGCCGGGCTGAGATGTTTGTTCACACTCGATCCGATAAGATAAATCCAAGCCAATCTGCAAAACCCGCACGCACTTCAGACCCCGCAGGCCGTTTGTTCAGCTCAGACCCTCTCTCCCCCTGACGCTCGCAGATTTCACTCCAGAGACATCTCCCTTCGAGACGAGGCGTTAAATCCCAACTCACCCGCCACCCCCCCACCGAAAAGCAATCCGCGAATCAATTAACAACCGGGTTCCTACTTACTGCTGCTAGGCAAACAGAGGCGTGTGTCTGTGTGCGGAGGGTGGGGGGGGGGGAGCAAGGAAACTTGCCTAAGGTTTCGACCCGAACCGACCCGCCCGGGAATCGAACCCGGATCCTCTGGCTTGCGAGGCGAGGGCTCTGACCTCTACGCTGCAGGTCTCCGCGTGAGTTAAGTCGCCTCCCCTTAACCATCTCCTCTCTGTGAGCGTGGCCCGACCGGTTTGTGGGACACCCGCTGCGCTCAACCGACTGCTGCGTTTCGCCCACAGGACTCGCAAGTCACTCCACTTTACAGCGTGTTCCCGCGAAGCGCTTTGGGACGCCTCGGAGATGTGATAAGGCGCAGTATCAAAGGCGAGGATTATTATTATTACTATTATTATCAAAATAATTTACCTGTCCCGTTGACACACTGAGTCCAGGAGGGTATAAACTCCTTAGCTGACGCCAACTGACTGCCATAAATGCTGTATCTTTGCTTCCTGAGGGCTCGCTCCCTCTCCTGAGCCAGACGGATTTCTTCTTCCAGCACCGAGTGTGAATTCCTGCGGAGCGGGAAGAAGGGGTTCTTAGCTGGGGAGAGGGAGTTGGGATTGGGGGCGTCGGGATATTTTCCTGGCCCCCTGAACACCCCCGGTTCAGTGAGAAGTTCCTCTGACCTGGCTTGGGCGTTGGGCAGGTGGTGGAGGTGGCTGGTAGGTCGGAAGAAATTGCTGGACTCCATGATGATCACGGTCTGGTCTGTAGCTCCGTTGTACACAGGGTTTTTGGCGTTGGCCTTGGCTTTGATCAGCCCTGGGAGCGTGCTCTCAAACACCCTCCTCTTCTCCTCCAGCTCCCTGCTCTCTCCCCTGTCGTACTTGCCGCTGACCATCCCCAGACTCACCAGGTCCTGTTCCCTCTTGCTCTCCAAGCGGATCTCTCTCTGCATCTGCGAGCCAGCCCTCTGCCCCCTCTCCTTGGCCTTGGGGGCCGGGAGAGGCTGGAGGAGCACGGACTTCATGGTGATCTCCACCAGCTCCTGGCATTCCACGCCCGTCTCCAGCCCCCTGGACCTACGGAAATTCTGCTCCCTCTCGGCCGCTTCTCGGATCTCCCTCTCGATGGGCGTCTCCTTGCTCGGCTGGGCAGAGACTTCGGGCTCGCTGGGTGGGGGGGAAACGATGGAGACCCCCGAGTCGCTGCCCGGTTCTGAGTGCGACTCCATCTGGGCAATGTGGGGCTTTCTCCCTTTCCCTCTCCTCCCGTCCCTCTCTCTCTTCTCTCTCTCGCTCACGAGCTCTCCCCCTCGTCCCTCTGTGGCGGAGTTTGACTGAACTGAACTCTCCTCCCAGTCTGCCTTTGACACTTTAAATATCCTCTTTCACTTGCTGGCTTGTTGACGCCCTGCAGTGTAATTACTTGGGTCGAAGCCAGTGGCTTGTCACCACGTCAGGCGAGCTCAGCATTGGGGAGTCCCTGTAGCTCACCTACAGCGCGCGCGCGAGCGAGAGGACCCGGGTTCGATTCCCGGGCAGGGCAGGGCAGGTCGGGTCTGGGCGAAACCTTAGGCAACTTTCCTTACTCCACGCACACACGCACGCACACACACACGCACGCACACGCCTCTGCTCGTTTCCAGTTGTTTCGCCCACAAAACACACAGTCAATTCACTTTACAGCGTATCCCCGTGAAGCGCTTTGAGACGTCTCGAAGGCCTGACGAGGCGGCGCTGGATCAAATGCCGGGATTATTATCATTATTTATCCTGAGTCGATTGGCGGATCACTTTTCCGGGGGCAACAATTCCCTGACCCCACCCCCCCCCCACCCCACCCCCCGAAAAGATAATAATGCGGCCGCTCAATCCATCCACGACCTTTTGTGGGCAATTGGCTGCCGCGTCTCGCCCGCAAATACACAGTCGCAGTCGATTCACTCGACAGTGCGTCCCGTGAAGTGCTTCGAAACGTCTCGAAGACGTCTGGGTCAAATGCCAGGATTATTGTTGTTATTGATTGGTTAAGAGGATATGAGCAAAGGCACCAAATCAGCAGCACAAGGACGCGCGCGCGCACACGCACACGCGCACACGCAAGTGAGCCCCGTTTCTTTCAAGTCTGATGTACGATGTCGCTGTGAGATGCTACTGTATCTCCCCGCGGCACATCTGATCCTTTTCAGCTCCGAATAAACAGGTTCGGAGTCAGTTGTTGACATCCGACTTGTATCGAGCTGTCTATCTTGTGCCCGTTACGCGCGCGCACACACACACACACAGTATCCAGAGGGAATTGTTTTTGTCACTAACCTTGGCTCGGTTCCTCAGATCATGTACAACTTCCTTCCTCTCTGGGTCTATTTATTGCTCGTGCTCTCGTTTTAAAAAATAATATCTAAAAATAACTTGGTCGCTCGATCCACGACTGCGATAAGCCGCTGTGTCAAATGCGAGGATTATTATGTTATTGTTAAGATGGGTTCAAACCCCCGCGTTAATAATAATAATAATCCTGACTTTTGTGACGGCGCCTTTTGTTATCACGTCTTCGAGACGTCTCAAAGCGCTTCACAGGATACACTGTAAAGTGAATTGACTGTACATATTGTGGGCGAACCGCGGCGGCCGATTGCGCACAGCAATGTCCCCACACACAGCCGTGAGTTGAGTGACCACATTATTATTATTAATATTTTATTTTTTTGGTTTCCTACTTACTGAGAGGTTAATTTGTTGGCACACAATCACACACTCTCTCACACGCGCATACACTCATACAAACACACACACACACTCTCTCTCTCACACACAGTCACTCTCACACACTCACACACACACAGTCACACCCGCATACACTCATACAAACACACACACACACTCTCTCTCACACACAGTCACACACAGTCACTCTCACACACACACACACAGTCACACCCGCAAACACTGACACACACACACTCTCTCACACCCGCACACACTCATACAAACACTCTCACACACACTCACACAGTGACCCAGTCACACCTACACACTCTCTCGCATACACACTCTCACACACACACACTCTCACACACACACACAGTGACACACACACACATTCATCCACACGCCCACACACACACACACACACACAGTCACACACAGAGTGAGTGACACGCATGCAGGGGAGAAACACGATGACAGGGGTATAATATTCACCTGCAGGATATTTAATACCTTTCCTTTTAAGTAAACTGTAACGGGAAGATGGTAATGAGCCGATACAGTCTGATCAGCCTCTGTCTGTCTAATGTTCTCAGCGGCCGAGCCTGTTGTATAGCTGAACAAAAGGCTCTAACGTAACTCGAACTCAGCTAAAGAGAGACAGAAAGGGAGACAGAGAGAGAGAGAGAGATAGAGAGAGACAGAGAGAGAGGGGGAGAGAGAGGGGGAGACAGAGAGACAAAGAGACGGAGAGGCTATAGAGAGACCGGGAGAGAGAGACAGACACAGAGAGAGAAACAGATAGATGTCAGGCAATTGAAGACTGACTTGAAGGGACATTTTAGGAACAGAACGAGGCCATTCAGCCCACCGAGCCTGTTCTCCCCTCTACTGAGGAGAGTGTGGCAACCCCCTCACCACTTAGCCCACTCGCTCCATCACTCACTCAGTCACTCATTCACTGTCTCCCTCACTTGCTCTGTCACTCACTCACTCCCTCCCTCCCTCCCTCACTCACTCACTCACTGTCTCCCTCAGTCACTCAATCACTCACTCGCTCCGTCACTCACTCCCTCAGTCACTCACTCACTCACTCACCCCCTCGGTCACTCTCGCCAACAGCCACGGAATGACGGAGGAGGAGCCGTGTTATGTTTTTAATATATATATAATATAATAACGTATACGTGAGTAACTTGACCATCAGGCAGGTCTGGTTTGCTTTGATTAAAGACCGTTTCCCCGGCTCCCACCCGCCACAAGTCAATCCCACTCACTGTTCCCTCCACCTCGATCCTCGCCTTCCGTAAAAATCCCTAGAATTCCCGGATTCCCGCTGGGAATCTCTCTCTCTCGCTCTCTCTCTCTCTCTCACATCAGGGAGCAGCACTGGCAAGTCTTGTGTTTGTTGGCGACCTGGTCTGTCTCGGCTCCGGCTCTGGCTCTGTCCTCCCCTGCACCCCCTCCTCCTGCTCCTCCTCCTATCCCGTCTCTCCCGGTTTCTCCCGCCTTCTCCCCGGGAATTTCGTCGTCGCCACCACGGCTTTTCCGTCCGTCAACAGCGAAGCCGGACTCTCTCCCGCTCCCCCCTTCTCCCCCTGGAGCAGGGGATGTCTCTCCGAGCCGCTCTCGTTCTCCTCCGCCCGGCTCGGCGTTCCAGGCTCCGTGACCGGGGCTCGCTCTCCCCGCGCCGCCACCACCGCGATGTTCCCGAGGTCTTCGCTCTTCCCTCCGCCCTGGGGCGCGGTCGCCCCCTTTCCTGGCTCGGCTGCTGTCTCGGGCTTCCCGGGAATCTCTGTGTCCGGCTCAGGGTGAGCCGGGGGGCCGCGGGGGGCTGGGCTGGGGATCCCGCCACTGTCTTCACACGTGACCATCGCTGCAGCACATACACCCCTGGCGTGTTCTCTCGTGTCCCTGGCGTGTTCCCCCGGCTCCCTGCCATGTTCTCCCTTGTCCCTGCCGTGTTCTCCTGGCTCCCTGCCATGTTCCCCCGGCTCCCTGGCGTGTTCCCCTGGCTCCCTGGCATGTTCCCCTGGCTCCCTGGCATGTTCCCCCAGCTCCCTGGCGCGTTCTCCCGTGTCCCTGGTGTGTTCTCCCGTGTCCCTGGTGTGTTCTCCCGTGTACCTGGCGTGTTCTCCCGTGTCAGTGTGTTCTGTGTCCCTGGCGTGTTCTCCTGTGTCCCTGGCGTGTTCTCCTGTGTCCTTGGCGTGTTCTCCCGTGTCCCTGGCGTGTTCTCCCGTGTCCGTGGTGTGTTCTCCCGTGTCCCTGGCGTGTTCTCCCGTGTCCCTGGCGTGTTCTCCCGTGTCCCTGGCGTGTTCTCCCGTGTCCGGTGTGGAGTCAGGTCCGCCTGGGAGTCTCTCCTCCGTCCCGCGCTCCTGGGCTCCGGGCTCTGGCTCGGCATTCCTGATGGGAACGTCGCCAATCCTGGCTTCCGAAGCAGGAACGTCGCTGTCTCCAGGTGGAGCAGCCATCGAGTCCGCTCTTCCCTCCTCCTCCGTTTTACCGGAAACGGTGACTTCAGAAGTGGGAAGAGACGCCGGGCTGACCAGCTTCCCGTCCGGATCACCCTCCCTCTCCTCCTCCCTCTCGTCCCTCTCCTCCGCCCTCTCCTCCTCCCTCTCCTCCGGTGTCCGGGCGCCGGGCTCCGGTATAACGGAGCCGGGATCTTTGGAGACCGGAGCAACATCGGGATCAGGCGTCCCGCTTCCTGTCTCCCTTTTCGGCCCAGTGGCCCCCTCCGCCCCCCCTGCCTCCTCCCCCTCGCCCGGCTCCGGCGCGGCCTCACGTACGTCAGCGTCTCCCGGTGATTCCCGGTCGGATTCGCTCTCCCGGTGGCACTTGTCAATCGGCGCCACCGTGGCTCCGAGCCGCTCCGTGCCCCCCCTCTCCCGGCTCTCGCCCTGGCCCTCCCGCTCTCTCCCGCCCCCGCCCTCCCTCCCGTTTCCTGGACTCCCGTCTCCCGCAGGCTCGGCCGGAAGCGGATCAGCCGCGGTCTTTTCGGGACCAGTTTCCGGGTCCGGGACAACGTCTCCCTCCGTGGTCTGCGTGTCCTGGGAATCCCCGGCTCTCTCCTCCGCCAGCGACCCTGCCAACAACAACAACAACAACTTCTAATAGCTTCCCAGAGAGCTTGACAGCGACGGAGTCTGACCCCGAACCGGGGTGGGGGGGGGGAGAGAGGGGGAGGCGCTAAGGTGACCGTGAGCACGATCGAAAAAGAAGGGATTTAGGTGGGATTTGAAGGTGGGGAGGGAGGGAGAGAGCGATGATAATAATGAGCAATAATCCCGGCATTTGACCCGACTCCTAATCACGTCGCTGAGACGTCTCGAAGCGCTTCACGGGATACGCTGTAAAGTGCAGTGACTGTGTGTTTTGTGGACGAAACAATTGCGCCCAACGACGTCCCCACAGACAGTCGAGTGACCAAATTATTATTGGTGGTATTTTTGCAGAAAGGATTATTACACCCGGAACAGCCCTCCGCCAATCGGCTAACAAGTGGGTTCCTGATAAACAGGGACGTGTGTGTGTGTGTGTCTGTGTGTGTGTCTGTGTTTGTGTGTGTGTCTGTGTGTGTGTGTGTGTGTCTGTGTGTGTGTGTGTCTCTCTGTCTGTGGAGTAAGGAAACTTGCCTGGGGTTTCGCCCCGACCTGACCCGATGGGGAATATTCCCGGCCCCTCTCCCACACTCACCGGCTCTGGGATTCTCCTGATCTGTCGCTGAGGTCCCGGGCTTCGGTTTTCCCGGGAATATCAGGGACCGGAAATTCTCCGGCTTCCTGGGGACTGGCGGTTTCTTTCTCTCTGGAGCGAAAGGAAAATCCTGGCTCAGGAAAATCGACGGGACACGGGAACAATCGGAACATTTGACCTAACAAACTTCTGTCCACCTCAGTCTGGACAATGCGTACGGATTGTAGAGGGGGTGGGGGGGGGGGACGGGAATTGTCAGCCGGGACATGTCGGGCAGAGAGAAACTCCCTTCTCTTCTCCCTCTTTTCGGGGTCTGTCAGCCCGGCTCAGTCGGAAAGTTGTGGGTTCGAACCCCAACATCAGAGGCTTTTAAGGGGGGGTGTAGGTGAGGAGGGGGGTGTTCAATCGACCCAGAGTTCAGCGAAAGAGAGAGAGAGAGAGCGCGAGAGAGAGAATAACGCAGCCAAAGGCCAATACTTAAACACGGCCTCTTCCCTCCATCCCTCCATCCATCCCCCAACCCCCAAACCCCCACCAACGCCCCAATATGGTCACAGGTCAATGGGTTCCCTCTCACCTTCTTTCACCTGAGTGTCTGTGTCTCTCGTCTACAAAACAAAGACACGTCAGTGAACATTTCGGGGGAATTAGGACCATATTATCATCCTAAAGCCATTTCTAACCCAACCTAATGCTTCCCTGTATTACCTGAGACTGTAATATAATAATAACAATAATAATAATAATAATAATAATCCTGGCATTTGACCCGGCGCCTTATCACGTCGTCGAGACGTCTCAAAACGCTTCACGGGATATATACGCAGTGAGACTGTGTATTTTGTGGGCGAAACGCGGCAGCCAATTGGGCACAAACAGCCGTGGATTGAGTGACCAAATTATTAGTATTCATTTTTGTTTTGTTTGGGGGGAGAGGGATTATTACCCCCAGAAAAGCGACTAACAAGCAGGTTCCTACTTACTGCTGCGTAAACAGAGGCGTGTGTGTGCGCGTGTGTGCATGTGCGAGTCTGTGCGCGTGTATGAGTGTGTGCGTGCGAGTGTGTGTGTGCGGAGCAGGGAAACTTGCCTAAGGTTTCGCCCGAAGGCTCTAACCCCTGAGCTACGGGAGATTGTGATTCCTGAGGCTGTGTTACCTGTTTAGACTCAGCGTCCGTCCCTGCGAACATCTGGCCCTCCAGCTGCGAGATTTCTCTCTGTAACCTGAAACATTAGGCAATCAGTGAACAGTAATAATATGACTAATATCAGTAATACGCGGCCACCAAAATGTCCGGATAACACACGCACCCACTGTCCAGTACGTCTGGAAGAAATGGAGAGGGTTTTTTTTTTAGGTAATGGTGTAGTTAACGTGACTGTGTGCATGTATGTGTGTGTATGACATTGCGTGTGTATGTGTGTGTGTATAACTGTGCGTGTGTGTGTTTGTGTGTGTATGATAGTGGGTGTGTATGATAGTGGGTGTGTATGATAGTGGGTGTGTATGATAGTGGGTGTGTATGACAGTGGGTGTGTATGACGGTGGGTGTGTATGACGGTGGGTGTGTATGACAGTGGGTGTGTATGACGGCGGGTGTGTATGACGGTGGGTGTGTATGACGGTGGGTGTGTATGACGGTGGGTGTGTATGACGGTGGGTGTGTATGACGGTGGGTGTGAGGGGGGTGTGTATGACGGTGGGTGTGTATGACGGTGGGTGTGTATGACGGTGGGTGTGTATGACGGTGTGTGTGTATGACAGTGGGTGTGTATGACAGTGGGTGTGTATGACAGTGGGTGTGTATGACAGTGGGTGTGTATGACAGTGGGTGTGTATGACAGTGCGTGTGTATGACAGTGGGGTGTGTATGACAGTGGGTGTGTATGACAGTGGGTGTGTATGACAGTGGGTGTGTATGACAGTGGGTGTGTATGACGGTGGGTGTGTATGACAGTGGGTGTGTATGACGGTGGGTGTGTATGACAGTGCATGTGTATGACAGTGGGTGCGTGTGTATGACAGTGGGTGCGTGTGTGTGACTCTCACCTGTTAATGGTCTCCTCGAGCTGTTGGAGCTGTGTTAACCCTTCGCTCTCCGGGTGCCTGGTCGGGCTGTGGTCTGACCCCGAGGAGCCCACAGACCCTTCCATCAGCCATTGTTCCCTCAGGGAGCACCGCTGAAACACACAGAGCGCGGGAGCCACTGGGTATAATAATAATAATAATAATAATAATAATCCCTGCGTTTGACACAGCGCCTTATCACGTCGTTGAGACCTTTCACATCGATTCACAGACTACACTGTAAAGCAAAGCGTAGTGACGGTACATTTTGTGGGGGAAACGCGGCAGCCCAATGGCGCTCAGCGACGTCCCCACAAACAGCTGCGGATTGAAGTGACCGCATTTTTTTTTCTCTGGAGGGAATATTATTATTATTATTATTTATTATTACCCCCTGAAAGCGATCATCCATTCGACTAACAAGCGGGTTCCTACTGACTGCGAGGTGAACAGGGGCGCGTGTGTGCGTGTGTGCGTGTGTGCGTGCGTGCGTGTGTGTGTGTGTGTATGTGTGCGTGTGTGTGTGTAGTAGAAACCTGCCTAAGGTCCCGACCCGGTCAGGAATCAAACCTGGGTCCTCTCGCTTGCGAGGTGACCGTGCTGACCACTGAGCCACGGGACTCCACAGAATTCCCGGGGTAGAATTCCCACCTCCCTCCCTCCCTCCCTCTCTCCCACATCCTTCCTACCTTTAATCGCTGCAGTTTCAGTTTCTCCTCCTCCAGCTCCTGCTTCTTCCTCTCGATCTCTTCCTGGATTTTTCTCTTCTCCTGACAGTGGAGGGGGGGGGGAAATATCAGAGACACGGTTTTATTTTGGGGGGAGGGGGAGGTGCGAGAGGAGGTGGGGGGGGAATGTGTCTCAAAGAGCGTTCGGATCAGAATTAATCATTAAATCTTATTGATCAGCGGGTGCTGTTGGGGTGGAGGGGGGAGAGCGCTGTCTTGTCAGAGATGAGATGTTACACCAACAACCCCTCGTCTGCCCACACCCCCCCCACCTCTCCCCCACACCCCTCAGTCTGTGCCCTGTTCAGGACTGATGTTAAAGATTCACCCACCGTTGTCGAGAAAAGAGAAGGGAGTTTCTGTCTCTCTCTCTCTCCCCCTCTCTCTCTCCCTCCCACCCAAGAACATCCCCCTCCCTTCCCGGTCCCCCCCCCCCCCCAGATAAAAACACACAGTCACTACACTTTACAGTGTACCCCGTGAAGCGCTTTGAGGCATCTCGACGACCTGATAAGGCGCTGCGTCGAATGCGAGTATCATTATTGTTATTGTGTTCCCTTACCGTGATGGCTTGGAGCCTCAACTTCAACTGTTCCGTCTCCGCCATTCCCACCTGCAACGGGAAGCGAGACACGGAGTGAGAGACGCTCCCGGAAAAGTGCCTCGATCCCACCTGGCCCAGGACACTCAAACGCTCGTAGCTTTCGAAAGGGAATTGGACAGGGACTCGACACGGGGGAAAAAAATGTGCGGGGCTTCAGGGAGAGTGCGGGGGTGTGGGACTAGTTGGGGTAAGAGCGGGGGGGGGGGAGTGGGAACTAGTTGGGGTAAGAGTAGGCGAACAGTTGGATAGCAATTAGCTCCCAAGTTTCGCCCACAAAAGTCACTACACTTTACAGTGTGTGTCCTGTGAAGCGCTTTGAGACATCGCAAAGTCGTGATAAGGCGCTGTGTCAATCCCAGGATTTATTGCTGTGGTGATTATGATTATTATTGCGATTATTACTATTATTGTAGCTCTCTTCAGAGAGCAGCACCGGCCCCGATGGGCCGAATGGCCTCCTTCTGTGCTGTAGGATTGTGAGATTCTCCGATTCTAAGTGACAGCCACGGATGGTTGGTCCCAGGCTGCGAACTGACCAGACATTCGGGGGTTAATGAACGCTGCACACGGGCGCGCGCACACACACACTCAGACACACACACACTCAGACACACACACACACACACTCAGACAGACACACACACACACTCAGACACACACACACACTCAGACACACACACACACACACACTCAGACACACACACACACACTCAGACACACACACACTCACACACACACTCGCACACACACACACACTCAGACACACACACACTCAGACACACACACACTCAGACACACACACACACTCAGACACACACACTCTCAAACACACACACACTCAGACACACACACACACTCAGACACACACACACACTCACACACAGACACACACTCACAGACACACACAAACACAGACTGACTGAGAGTTTGAAGCTGGAATGTGTTCCTGAGGGTCAAAGTTTGCTTGTGTTTTTGTGTGTCAATGCGAGAGACGTGCTAAGCTCTCCTCTCTCTCTCTCTCTCTCTCACATTCTCTCTCTCTCTCTCTCCCCCCCCCGTCCGGCCCCCTGCTCGGCCCCTCGCGCCCTCCTCCTCCGCTCCACCGTCGTCGGCCGAGCCTTCAGCCGCTAACCCCGGAACGCTCGCCCCCCCAATCCCTCCGCCTCGCCCCACCTTTCCTTCCCCATCTTCAGGTCGCGCCCGGAGACCCTTCCCCTTCGACCGGGCTCCACCGCTGTCGAGCGCTCTGGGGCGCTACCCTGCGTGAGCGAGCGAGCGAGGGATGGAGGGAGGGAGGGAGCGAGGGAGGGGACGCTGTGTGCAATGCATGTCGTTGTCGTTGTTGTTGTCGGTGGTGGTGGTGGTGGTGGTGTCAGTCCCGCTGTGAGGCAGAGCTTCTCTCACTCTCTCGCTGTGTGTCAGGGCAAGTCCTGGCCTGTGAGATGGGTATTACACACACAAGTTTCCTCCAGTCCCTCCTCACTCGCCCGCACTGCCCTTCCGCGCCCCCCCCACCCACCCGCCCCCCCCACCCCCCCCCCCCACCCGCCCCCTCCTCCACTCGCCCGCACTGCCCTTCCGCGCCCACCCCACCCTCCTCTCTCATCTCCTCTCCTCTCCTCACCTCTCCTCACCTCCCCCCCTAACTTCCCCTCCCCTCCCCTCTCCCAGATCGAGCCCGCACCCTGACTTCTCAGATATAATCGTGCAGGAATGCATTACTCACACACTCTCACACTCACTCTCTCACACACTCACTCTCTCACACTCACACTCACTCTCACACACTCACTCTCACACACACACACACACTCTCTCACACATACTCACTCTCAAATTCACACACACTCACTCACTCTCACACTCACACACACTCACTCTCTCACACACACTCACTCTCACACTCACACACACTCACTCTCACACACTCACACACTCACTCTCACACTCACTCACAGACACACACACTCTCTCACACACACTCACACTCACAGACACACACTCACACATACTCATTCTCACACTCACTCTCACACTCACTCACACTCACTCTCACACTCTCACAACTCACACACTCATTCTCTCACACTCACACGCACATTCACTCTCACACACTCACACTCACTCTCACACACACATACCTTCACTGCTGGGGCTAAAATCTCGCCAACTCCCAGCTCAGCCAACCATTAGCAATGTGACCTCTCCCTACTTTTCTCTCTCTCTCCTTCTCTCTCTCCCCCTCTCTCTCTCTTTACTTTTCCCTCTCGCTCACTCTTCCTTTGTGCTCTTTTTCACTCTCTCGCTCTCTCGTGCACACTTGTTCTTGCTGTCTCTCTCTCTCTCTATCTCTCTCTCACTAACTCTGCCTCTTTCACTCTCTCACTCCCTCCCTCCCTCACTCGCTCTTGTTCCTGCTGTTTTTCACTCACTTTATCTCTCTCGCTCACTCACTCACTCACTCACTCATTCACCCACCCTCCCTCCCTCTCTCTCTCTCTCTCTCTCTCTCGCGCTCTCTCATTCACTCACTCTCATTCCAACAGGTGTCTTCCACTCACTTTCTCTCCCTTGCGCTCGCTCACTCACTCACTCACTCACTCACTGACTCGCTCGCTCGCTCGCTCACTCACTCACTCACTCACTGACTCGCTCGCTCGCTCACTCACTCTGTCTCTCTTGCACGCTCGCTCTCTGACTCTTGCCCACACCCACAGACACTCTCTCTATCTCTCCCTCGCTCTCTACCTGGCTTGAGTTGGCGGTGGTTGGGGGGTAAATCAGCGGTTTTGCTTGACGTACTTCACAGACGGATTCCTTTCATTTCCAGGTTAAAGTCCTACCTGCGAAGGGAGGGAGGGAGGGAGGGAAGGAGGGAGCGAGGGAGGGAGGGAGGGAGGGAAGGAGGGAGGGGGTGGGTGGGTAGGCAGAGGTGTTGGAGGGTGCTTCCTGTGATTAGGTACTCACAAGACAGGCTGGTTTGACTGGAAAGAGTTTTGTTTGCCGTCCCCCGGAATGTGGACCTTCAGTGACTGACACACACCGACACACACACACACGCACACAGTGTAAAATATTTACAGCTACACCCAGACTCATCTTACACTCACCGCACACACACACACACACACACACACACACACACAGACAGTCATAGGAGCGGGAAGAGGCCATTCAGCCCATCGAGCCCGTTCTGCCATTCTGTAAGACCTCGGCTCGATCTGTACCTCAAGTCCAATTACCAGCCCTTTGCTCCAAATCCCTTGATAATAAAATAATAATAGTTGTTGCATTTGATGTAGCGCCTTATCACGGGTTCGTGGCGTCTCAAAGCGCTTCCCAGGATATACTGTAAAGTGTAGTGACTGTGTGTTTTCTGAGCGAAATTTGATACCTATCTGAGGCTCCAATGGCAGAGGAGGGGGGAGGGTACCGCATGGTCAGAGGTGTCGTCCTTTGAATGGCTCATTAACAACAATAATAAAATAATAATAACTACATTAGATATAGTGCCTTATCACGTCTTCAAGATATGTACTATGTGTATTACTGTACAGTGTGTGACAGTGTACAGTGTGTGTGTGTGACTGTGTGTGTACAGTGTGTGTGACTGTGTGTGTGTAGTGTGTGTGGGTGACTGTGTGTGTACAGTGTGTGTGTGTGACCATGTGTGTACAGTGTGTGTGACTGTGTGTACGGTGTGTGTGACTGTGTGTGTACGGTGTGTGTGACTGTGTGTGTACAGTGTGTGTGTACGGTGTGTGTGACTGTGTGTGTACGGTGTGTGTGACTGTGTGTGCGGTGTGTGTGACTGTGTGTGCAGTGTGTGTGACTGTGTGTGCGGTGTGTGTGACTGTGTGTGTGCGGTGTGTGTGACTGTGTGTGTGCGGTGTGTGTGACGGTGTGTGTGCGGTGTGTGTGACTGTGTGTGTGCGGTGTGTGTGACTGTGTGTGTGACTGTGTGTGTGCGGTGTGTGTGACTGTGTGTGTGACTGTGTGTGACTATGTGTGTGACTGTGTGTGCGGTGTGTGTGACTGTGTGTGTGACTGTGTGTGACTGTGTGTGTGACTGTGTGTGCGGTGTGTGTGACTGTGTGTGTGACGGTGTGTGCGGTGTGTGTGACTGTGTGTGTGCGGTGTGTGTGACTGTGTGTGTGACTGTGTGTGTGACGGTGTGTGACTGTGTGTGTGCGGTGTGTGTGACTGTGTGTGCGGTGTGTGTGCGGTGTGTGTGACTGTGTGTGTGACGGTGTGTGACTGTGTGTGTGCCGTGTGTGTGACTGTGTGTGCGGTGTGTGTGACTGTGTGTGTGACTGTGTGTGTGCGGTGTGTGTGACGGTGTGTGTGTGACTGTGTGTGCGGTGTGTGTGACTGTGTGTGTGACTGTGTGTGACGGTGTGTGTGTGACTGTGTGTGTGGCTGTGTGTGTGACTGTGTGTGTGACTGTGTGTGACTGTGTGTGTGACTGTGTGTGCGCTGTGTGTGTGACTGTGTGTGTGACTGTGTGTGTACGGTGTGTGTGACTGTGTGTGTGACGGTGTGTGACTGTGTGTGTGACTGTGTGTGACTGTGTGTGTGACTGTGTGTGTGCGGTGTGTGTGACTGTGTGTGTGACTGTGTGTGTGACTGTGTGTGACGGTGTGTGTGACTGTGTGTGTGCGGTGTGTGTGACTGTGTGTGTGACTGTGTGTGTGACTGTGTGTGTGACTGTGTGTGTGACTGTGTGTGTGACTGTGTGTGCGGTGTGTGTGACTGTGTGTGCGGTGTGTGTGACTGTGTGTGTGACGGTGTGTGTGACTGTGTGTACGGTGTGTGTGACTGTGTGTGTGACGGTGTGTGACTGTGTGTGTGCGGTGTGTGTGACTGTGTGTGACTGTGTGTGTGTGTGTGTGTGACTGTGTGTGTGACTGTGTGTGCGGTGTGTGTGACTGTGTGTGACTGTGTGTGTGACTGTGTGTGACTGTGTGTGTGGCTGTGTGTGTGACTGTGTGTGACTGTGTGTGTGACTGTGTGTGACTGTGTGTGCGGTGTGTGTGACTGTGTGTGACTGTGTGTGTGACTGTGTGTGACTGTGTGTGTGACTGTGTGTGCGGTGTGTGTGACTGTGTGTGTGACTGTGTGTGTGACTGTGAGGCTGATCTGCCGGTGGATCAACGTCTGTAGAATCACAATCAGCTGCTGGTTTGAGGCTGACGGGGACTGGGAGTCTGTGTGTGTGTGTGTGTGTCTGAGAGCCTTCACCGGGGGGACAATTTCACACCAAATCCCCCCCGGGCTCCACGTGAGATACCCTCCCCCCCCCGGCCCCCCCCCCCCCCCGGCCCCCCCGCCCCACCCCCCCCACTCCTCCCCCACCCCCCGACGAGGAGGAAAAGGGTCCTTTAAACCCAGACAACAGCAGTGAGACGGGGAGCGATCAGGAGATGGTTGGGCTGTAAATGTAAGGCACAAAGCCATCAGCTGCGCTGCGGTGCGGTGCGCTGTGCGGTGCTGAATTGTCTCCGGATTGTTTGGGATTGTTATTAGGGATTATTATTATTTTACTATTCTGTTACCTTGAGGTTCGAGGGGAGGGAACGAACGGCAGATGCGAAAAGGGGAATGATTCCCGTGTGAGGAGCTGTGCTGCCCGCGGTACAGGGGATCATTTTGGGGGGCTGTGTGTGTGCTGTGCGTGTGCTGTGCGTGTGCTGTGCGTGTGCTCTGCGTGTGCGCTCTGCGTGTGTGTGTGGGTCGGATACCTTTGTTGTTTCAGACTCATATATTGGGACAAAGGACGTCGGTTGATTGATTGATTGATTGATTCGTTGATCGATTTGGTGGATCTGTGCCCGTTTTGCTCCCCGATTCCTGTCCCAAGACCGACTGAGATTTGTGGGGTCTGTGTGTGTGTGTGTGTGTGGGTCTGTGTGTGTGTGTGGGGGGGGTCTGTGTGTGTGTGTGGGGTCTGTGTGTGTGTGTGTGGATCTGTGTGTGTGTGTGGGGGGGGGGGGGTCTGTGTGTGTGTGTGTGTGTGGGTCTGTCTGTGTGTGTGTGTGGGGGGGTCTGTGTGTGTGTGTGTGGGTCTGTGTGTGTGTGTGTGTGGGTCTGTCTGTGTGTGTGTGGGGGGGGGTCTGTGTGTGTGTGTGGGGGGGGTCTGTGTGTGTGTGTGGGGGGTCTGTGTGTGTGTGTGTGGGGGGGGGTCTGTGTGTGTGTGTGTGTGTGTGGGGGGGGTCTGTGTGTGTGTGTGTGGGGGTAGGTCTGTGTGTGTGTGCGTGTGTGGGTCTGTGTGTCTGTGTTTGGGGGTGGGGGTCTGTGTGTGTGTGTGTGTGGATCTGTGTGTGTGGGGGGGGGTCTGTGTGTGTGTGTGGGGGGGGGTCTGTGTGTGTGTGTGGGTCTGTGTGTGTGTGTGTGGGGGGGTCTGTGTGTGTGTGTGGGGGGGTCTGTGTGTGTGTGTGGGTCTGTGTGTGTGTGTGTGGGGGGGTCTGTGTGTGGCAAAAACAATGAATCCAGGCAATCGGAGATTTAATAGCAATAACAATAATAATAATAATAATAATAATAATCGTTGCATTTGACACAGCGCCTGATCACGTCTTCGAGACGTCTCAAAGCGCTTCACAGGATATAGTATAAAACGAATTGACTGTATATTTGTGGGTGAAACGCGGCGGCCGATCGCGCACAGCAGCGTCCACACAAACAGCCGTGGGTTAAGTGACCAATTTATTATTTTTTTTAAAATTTATTTTTTAACGGATCATTTCCCCCCGGAAAGCGATCCGCCCATCGACTAACACCCGGGTTCCTGCTAACTGTGTGTGTGGGTCTGTGTGTGTGTGTGTGGGTCTGTGTGTGGGGGTCTGTGTGTGTGTGTGTGGGGGTCTGTGTGTGTGTGTGTGGGTCTGTGTGTGTGGGTCTGTGTGTATGTGTGTGTGTGTGTGGGTCTGTGTGTGTGTGTGTGTGTGTGGGGGTCTGTGTGTGTGTGTGGGTCTGTGTGTGTGTGTGTGTATGTGTGGGTCTGTGTGTGTGTGGGTCTGTGTGTGTGTGTGTGTGTGGGGGGGGGGTCTGTGGTGTGTATGTGTGGGTCTGTGTATATGTGGGGGTCTGTGTGTGTGTGTGTGGGTCTGTGTGTGTGTGGGGGTCTGTGTGTGTGGGGGGGTCTGTGTGTGTGTGTGGGTCTGTGTGTATGTGGGGGTCTGTGTGTGTGTGTGTGTGTGGGTCTGTGTGTGTGTGTGGGTCTGTGTGTGTGTGTGGGTCTGTGTGTGTGGGGGGGGTCTGTCTGTGTGTGTGTGTGTGGGTCTGTGTGTGTAGTAACTTGCCTATTGTTTGGTTCTCTCCGCCCGGGGATCGAACCCGGGTCCTCTCGCTTGCGAGGCGACTGCTCTAACCACTGAGTTACAGGACTGCACACCCATTCCCCCCCAAAAAAAGAATAATATTAATAATTTGGCCACTTAACCCACGGCTGTTTGTGGGGAACGCTGCTGTGCCCGATTGGCTGCTGTGTTTCGCCCACAAAGTACAGTCACTGCACTTTACAGTGTATCCTGTGAAGCGCTTTGAGACGTCCGGAAGACGTGATGAGGCGCTGCATCAAATGCCGGGATTATTATTATTGTTATTACATCTCCAATTGCCTGGATTTGCTGTCCCAAATTTACCCACAAATGTGAATGCGTGAGAGGGTGAGTGGGAGACAGAGAGAGAGTGAGAGGGTGAGTGGGAGACAGAGAGAGAGTGAGAGGGTGAGTGGGAGACAGAGAGAGAGTGAGAGGGTGAGTGGGAGACAGAGAGAGAGTGAGAGGGTGAGTGGGAGACAGAGAGAGAGAGTGAGAGAGAGAGTGTGTGTGTGTGTGTGAGAAAGAGTGTGTGCGAGAGAGTGAGAGAGATAGAATGAATGAGGTGGAGTGAGTGTGAGTGAGAGGTGTGCGCACGTGTGAGTGAGTGCGAGAGAGAGATAGAGTGAATGAGGTGGAGTGAGTGTGAGTGAGAGGTGTGCGCGCGTAAGAGTGAGTGAGTGCGAGAGAGAGATAGAGTGAATGAGGTGGAGTGAGTGTGAGTGAGAGAGAGTGTGAGAAAGAAAGTGTGAGAGAGTGTGAGAGAGAGAATGAGTGCGAGAGAGAGAGAGAGAGAGGGGGGGGGGGGAGAGCGCTCCGAGACGCAATCTGGCGTGAAGACCGCGATATAAATAATAATAATAATAATCCCGGCGTTTGACCGCGTCTTCGAGACGCCTCAGAGCGCTTCACAGGACACGCTGTAAGGTGGAGTGACTGTGTGTTTTCTGGGCAGAACGCAAGTCGTTATTGCCTGTGCGTCTCGCTCTCTCTCGCTCTCTCTCGCTCTCTCTCGCACTCTCTCGCTCTCTCTCTCGCTCTCTCTCTCGCTCTCTCTCGCTCACACTCTCTCGCTCTCTCTCGCACTCTCTCGCACTCTCTCGCTCTCTCTCGCTCTCTCTCTCTTGCTCTCTCTCGCTCTCTCTCGCTCTCTCTCGCTCTCTCTCTCGCTCTCTCTCGCACTCTCTCGCTCTCTCTCGCTCTCTCTCTCTCGCTCTCTCTCGCACTCTCTCTCGCGCTCTCTCTCGCTCTCTCTCGCACTCTCGCTCTCTCTCTCGCTCTCTCTCGCTCTCTCTCTCGCTCTCTCTCGCTCTCTCTCGCTCTCTCTCGCACTCTCGCACTCTCTCTCGCTCTCTCTCGCACTCTCGCACTCTCTCTCGCTCTCTCTCGCTCTCTCTCGCTCTCTCTCGCTCTCTCTCGCTCTCTCTCGCACTCTCTCTCACTCTCTCTCGCTCTCTCTCGCACTCTCTCGCTCTCTCTCGCTCTCTCTCGCTCTCTCTCGCACTCTCTCGCTCTCTCTCGCTCTCTCTCTCTCTCTCTGGCAGGTGGACAGAGGGACGGCGTGATGTGGAAGCCGAAGATGGAGAAGAAGAAAGAGAAGGAGACGATGTACAAGAGCGACTCCATCATCCCCTGCTTCCTGTTTGTGGAGGTGGGTCTCCCCCGGGGCCAGGCCAGGCTGAGCAGCCAGACTGGACCTCCTCACCCCAGGCCAACCCAGGCCAAGCCAGTCCAACCCAGGCCGAGCCAGTCCATCCCAGGCCGAGCCAGGCCGAGCCAGTCCAACCCAGGCCGAGCCAGTCCAACCCAGGCCGAGCCAGTCCAACCCAGGCCGAGCCAGTCCAACCCAGGCCGAGCCAGTCCAAGCCAAGACAGGCCAACCCACCCGCAATCATTTCCAATTCCATCACTACAGCCTTTTCTGTCTCTCCCTTTCCCAACCTCTTTCTCACACTCACTCTCTGTCTCTCTCCCTCTCACACACACTCTCTCTCTCCCTCTCATACTCTCTTTCTCTGTCTCTCCCTCTCACACTCTCACTCTCTCTCTCTCTCTCTCTACACACACTCTCCTCTCACTCTCTCTCCCCCCCCCCGCCCTCTGTGTTCCAGTTGCTGATCATGGTGGGTACGGTGCTGTTGGCTTATCACTTTGAATACACCGACACCTTCCAGGTCCACACCCAGGGCTTTTTCTGCTTCGACAGCTCCTACATGAAGCCTTACCCAGGCCCCGAGGAGATCAGTGCTGTGCCTCCTGTCCTGGTGTACTCACTGGTGTCTGCCCTGCCCATGGTCATGGTAAGGTACTGGACACCCCGTCACACCCTGCGCCCACGCACACTCCCACACACACATCACACCCCCCACCCTGCTCCATTACCACACCTCACACACACACCCACACCCAAACACACACCCACACACACTCACACACACACCCACATACACACACACACACATCACTCAATCCCGCGCCACCATCCCACTCACACACACATACACACACACAACGTCTAACCCTGACCTGGGAGTGTGGATGTACAGTGTAGAGAGATAATAACCCATGATAATAATAATAAAATTTATATTCATTGGATTTGACCGGACGCCTTATCACGTCTTCGAGACGTCTCAAAGCGCTTCACAGAATACACTGTAAAGTGTAGTGACTGTATATTTTGTGGGCGAAACGCAGCAGCCAATTGCACACAGCAGCGTCCCCACAAACAGCCGTGGATTGAGTGACCAAATTATTATTATTTTATTTTGAGGGATTATTACCCCCAGAAAGCGAGCCCCCAATCGACCAATAACCAGGTTCCTACTTACTGCTGGGTAGACAGAGGCGTGTGTGTGCGCGGGGTAAGGAAACTCGCCTAAGGTTTCGTCCTGACCCAACCCAACCCAACCCAACCCAACCCGGCCCGACCTGCCCGGAAATCGAACCCGGGTCCGCTCTCTTGCGAGGCAAAGTGATGGAGAGGGAGAGAGAGGCAGAGGGAGAGAGGGAGAGAAAGAGGCAGAGGGAACGAGAGAAGGGGGAAGAGAGAGAGAGGGGGAGAGAGAGAGGGGTAGAGGGAACGAGAGAAGGCGGAGGGGAGGGAGGGAGAGAGAGGCAGAGGAAGAGAGAGAGGCTTCTAAACTCTGTTACCCCGTGTTTTGCAGATGGTGCTGGGGGAGTTGGCTGCCTTTGTTTTCCAGGTGGATTTTGTGCGTCAGGAAAGAACCATCTTGACTGCGGATTGCTGCTCCCTCAACCCTCTGCTCCGACGTGTGGTCAGGTTCCTGGGTCAGCCTGACATTTGCCCCTCCACCCCTTCCCCCTCCCCGCCCCACCCTCGTCCTGTTCTGCCCTGCTTCGCTGCTCCCTGCTCTCTCTCTCTCTCTCTGTGCTCAGCCACTGACTCCAGGAGGGAGACACAGAGAGAGGGAAGGAGGGAGCGTAGGAACAGGAATCCCTGCCTTAAACACGTCATTGCTGCATTTGGCCAAGCAACAAGAATAACATTTACTCGGCGCCTGTCACGTCGGGAGGACATCTCAAGGCGCTGGACAGTCAGGGGTTTGCACCCGTGGGACTGTGGGATGGAGTTCCAGAGGGCGGAGGCAGAGAGGATGGCGGGGGCGGGGGGGTGCGGAGCAGGCTGGAGCCCGCTGAGCAGAGGGAGGGAGGGAGGGCGGTGGGGTGGGGTGGGGTGGGGGTGCCCAACAGGTCTGTGTGGGGTGGGGGGTTAGCAGGTCACAGAAATGGTGAGTAGCAAGGGAAGGCTGTGCAATAATAATCCTGGCGTTCGACCCGGCGCTTGATTACGTCGTCGAGACATCTCAAAGCGCTTCGCGGGACTGGACGCACCATAAAAGTGTAGTGACTGTGTGTTTTGCGGGCGGAACGACAGTGATGTGAGAAGCCTCTGTGTGTGTGTCTCTCTCTCTCTCTCTCGCAGGCGTCTATGCCTTTGGCTTGTTTGCCACCGACATCTTTGTGAACTGTGGGCAGCTGGTGATGGGCAGCCTGACCCCCCACTTCCTCACCGTGTGTCGGCCTAACTTCACGGCCCTGGGCTGTCGGACGGCCTCTCAGTACATCAGCAGCCCCCGCCCCTGCACGGGCCCCCCCAGGCTGGTGTCCAGCGCACGCAGAGCCTTCCCCTCCAAGGAGGCAGCGCTCAGCATGTACGCAGCTCTGTACACAGCGGTGAGTCTCAAAGCCCGTCTCAAGATCCTCCTCTGCCAGCGACCACCATCGGGCCCCCACCCTCCTGCCCAGGACCACCCCCCACCCTCCTGCCCAGGACCACCCCCCTCCTGCCCAGGACCCACCCCACCCTCCTGCCCAGGACCACCCCCCACCCTCCTGCCCAGGATCACCCCCCCACCCTCCTGCCCAGGACCACCCCCCCCCTCCTCCCAGCCACCCCCCTCACCCTCCTACCCAGCCCCCCCCACCCAGCCTCGCTCCTACCCAGCCCCTCCTCGCATTTGACCCGGCGCCTCATCACGTCTTCGAGATGTCTCAAAGCGCTTCACGGGATGCACCGTAAAGTGTAGTGACTGTGTGTTTTGGTGTTTTGAGCAGAAGCGATGTAGACGGCAGACAGACAGACAGACAGAGAGACAGAGAGACAGAGAGAGAGAGAGTGCGGGGGATCTGGGATCCCGGGTGTGAGCTGCAAGCGGCACTTGCGCGCGCGTTGCGAGACAGAACGCGGGCGAGAGAGCACTTGTGCGAGAGAGAGCGCGCGTGGAAGAAAGCGCGGGCATGCGTGTGCGAGAGCGTGCGTGCGTGTGTGCGAGAGACAGAGAGAGAGAGAGAGAGTGTACGCAAGAGCGCGTGAGAGAGAGAGAGAGAGCCCGTGTGTGCATGTGTGTGTGTGATTACTGTAGTAGATGCGGGTGGGGGCTGAGCTGGTCTGTGCTGATCCGTGTTGTCTCCTCAGGGGCTGAGCTGAGCTGAGCTGTGATGGAAGCCAGTTACCTGCTGGTGGCCGGCAGCTTCTCTCTGTTCCAGGTGCTGTTCCACATAGCAAGTCCCCGTCTGTCCGCCTCGCTCAGCCCCGGCTACAAACTCCTCAGCGAGGTCCAGAAAACAGAGTGGAACTCCAGGTAGGGGCCACTCCACCGTGGGGGAGGGGAGCGCAGTGTCCGATCTCGAACCCCTAGGCCTAACCTTTCACCCTGTCCCGCCCGGGAATCGAACCCGGGTTCCTCTGGCTTGCGAGGCGAGCGCTGTGACCACTGAGCTACAGGGACTCCACTTCACGTGTTTACCTGTTAATTCTCTCTCTCTCTCTCTCTCTCTCTCTCTTCTCAGGTGTGTCTCAACACTACACGCGCTGTTGGTCGGATCGCTGTCTCTGTACATTCTCTGGTTCGATGAGGCAGTGAACAGGGACCCAGTATGGTAAGCAACCGCGAAAAGGGGAAAGGGCTTTTGCCCGGCTCCACTGGCTCCCTATCACACACACTAAACCCCGTACCCCATCACCCCAGCCCTCGCCCGGCCCCACTGGCTCCCTATCACACACACTAAACCCCGTACCCCATCACCCCAGCCCTCGCCCGGCCCCACTGGCTCCCTATCACACACACTAACCCTGTACCCCCATCACCCCAGCCCTCGCCCGGCTCCACTGGCTCCCTATCACACACACTAAACCCGGTCCCCCCATCACCCCAGCCCTCGCCAGCCCCCACTGGCTCCCTATCACCGATTGGATTGATTTCAAGATCCTCACACTTGTCTTCAAACCCCTTCATGCCCTGGCACCTCCCTACCTCTCCAACCTGCTTACCCCACCCCAACCCACAGCCTCCGCTCGACTGGCTCCAGCCTCCTGCATGTCCCTTGTGCCCTCCGCTCCACCATCAGTCACCTCCCCCCTCCCTCCCCTCGGCTCAGAGTCGTGCTGTGCTACTGTCGAGCGCTCTGGGTCGCTGCCCTGCGTGAGGGGGCACAGTGAATGCAAGTTGTTGTTGTTGAGAGACCGGCTGTGTCCAGCACAGTGTGATCCGCTTACTGAGAGACTGACTGACCATTGGATCCTTTACAGAGAGACAACACGGGCTCGATGGGCAAATGTTTCCGTCTGCGCTTAACGCTGTAGGGTTTGGACTTGAACATTTTATCCCCCCTTTTCCCTGCTTTTGGCTCTGTCGATTTGTTCCGCCCCCCCCCCCCCCATGAGGTGCTGGATCAGTACAAATGTGATCGAGTAAAGCTACAGCAAAGCTGCTATCACTCTCTCTCTCTCTCTCTCTCTCTCTCTCTCAGGATCAGCCTCTAATCTCCTCAATCACAGGCACCAACATTCCCAGACCCGCTCTGAACGCTTCCTTTGTTTGCCACTGTTTAGCCCCACGGTTTAGCCCCCCCCCCCCCCCCGCCCCCCCACACACACACACCAGCGCTAGGTTCCCTCACAGCTCGCTCACAGCAAGCCTTGCCTGGATGACCCACTGCTCTGTGACCCTCAGTGCAATCACTCTGTCACTCACTCCTCTCTCTGTGATCTTCCCCCGCGCTCTCTGCTATCTCTCTCTTTAATCTCTCTCTGTAATCTCTCTCTCTCTGTAATCTCTCTCTCTTTCTCCCCCTCTCTGTATTCTCTCTCCCTGTAACCTCACTCTCTCCCCCTCACTTTCTGTAACCTCTCTAACTCCCTCTCTCTCCCTATATTCTCTCTCTCTCTCTATTCTCTTGCTCTGTAATCTCTCTCTCTCTTTTCCCCACACAATCTCTCTCTGTAATCTCTCTCTTTCTCTCTGTTATCTTTCTCTGATCGAGGCGAGTGTTGAGGAGAACCAGGGAATGTGGATTAAATGAAAGTCTCTCTCTCTCTCACACAGGGGTGACCCCAAATTAGTGAAGGTGAATATAGCAATCGCTTCAGGTTATCTCATAAATGGTGAGTTACGCCTCCCACCCACACACATACACACACCCACATACACACCCACACACCAGCGAACAGACACCCAGCAGCTAATGGCAATTGCCTTTGGTTTTTTTGGAGCCAAGTTTCTTCTATCTATGGTTGAAATTCTTGGGGTCCTCTCCCTCTATCCCTTTCTCTGTCTCCCCCGCCCCTCTCTCTCTCCCTGCCTCTCTCTCCCACTCTCCCCTCTCTCCCTCTCTAAACATCTCTCTCTCTGCCTCCATTTGAGAGTGAGTGTCTCTCACTCAGCCCTTCAAAGCACGGGAGCAACACCTAGAGTTAGCTGCCATTATAGGTACAGGAGGAGGCCATTCAGCCCCTTGAGCCTATTCCGCCATTCTGTAAGATCACGGTGACAGACAGCAGCCATGTTGACCTGTTTCTGCGCTTGGAGGTTTTTCCAGAGAGCTTGGTTGATGGGAGAACATTCCCGGGAGGAGGAAGGTTTCCCACGGTCACCGGGGGCTTGGCTTTGCTTCAGCGCCTCGACTGCCTGTCCTTGTCTCCTGAGCTTTGTTGGTTCTATGCCCTCATCACCGTGACCTTGCTCACCCGCTCTCCTTGCTCTCTCTCTCTTCTTGTGCGCTCTCTCTCTATCCCTTTGTGGTTGCTCTCTCACTTGTCTGTCTTTCCCTCCCTCTCTCTCCCTTCCTCCCGTTGTTACTCTCCCTCTCGCTGTTCACTCCCTTCCATTGGTCTCTGTGGCTTTGCAATGATCTGTGCCTCATTCCCAATTGGCCTTGGCTTTGTCTCTCATTGTTCACCGGCTTTGGCTGTGTCCGTGCTGTTGGTGTGTTGGCTTTGGCTGTGTCCGTGCTGTTGGTGTGTTGGCTTTGGCTGTGTCCGTGCTGTTGGTGTGTTGGCTTTGGCTGTGTCCGTGCTGTTGGTGTGTTGGCTTTGGCTGTGTCCGTGCTGTTGGTGTGTTGGCTTTGGCTGTGTCCGTGCTGTTGGTGTGTTGGCTTTGGCTGTGTCCGTGCTGTTGGTGTGTTGGCTTTGGCTGTGTCCGTGCTGTTGGTGTGTTGGCTTTGGCTGTGTCCGTGCTGTTGGTGTGTTGGCTTTGGCTGTGTCCGTGCTGTTGGTGTGTTGGCTTTGGCTGTGTCCGTGCTGTTGGTGTGTTGGCTTTGGCTGTGTCCGTGCTGTTGGTGTGTTGGCTTTGGCTGTGTCCGTGCTGTGGTGTGTTGGCTTTGGCTGTGTCCGTGCTGTTGGTGTGTTGGCTTTGGCTGTGTCTGTGCTGTTGGTGTGTTGGCTTTGGCTGTGTCTGTGCTGTTGGTGTGTTGGCTTTGGCTGTGTCTGTGCTGTTGGTGTGTCTGTGCTGTTGGTGTGTTGGCTTTGGCTGTGTCTGTGCTGTTGGTGTGTTGGCTTTGGCTGTGTCCGTGCTGTTGGTGTGTCTGTGCTGTTGGTGTGTTGGCTTTGGCTGTGTCTGTGCTGTTGGTGTGTTGGCTTTGGCTGTGTCCGTGCTGTTGCTGTGTTGGCTTTGGCTGTGTCTGTGCTGTTGGTGTGTTGGCTTTGGCTGTGTCTGTGCTGTTGGTGTGTTGGCTTTGGCTGTGTCTGTGCTGTTGGTGTGTTGGCTTTGGCTGTGTCTGTGCTGTTGGTGTGTTGGCTTTGGCTATGTCTGTGCTGTTGGTGTGTTGGTTGGCTCTGCCCTCTCTCCCATCAGTCTCTTGGCTTTGCCCGCTCATGCCCGTGCTCTCTTGCAGATTTAGTGCTGCTCCTGTGCCACTGGACGACAATAGGTGACGGCTTTTTCCTCTGCCACCACTTGGCGGCTCTCTACGCCTACCAGTATGTGCTGGTAAGTCCGGCCACTGCCAGCTCTCACCCCAGAGTGGTCCAAATGGTGGCTGCTTCGGCCAAATTCATCCCCCCCACTCCATATCATGCCTCCTCCTCCTCTGCAACTCCATCCCAACCTTGGCCTCGCTCCCTCCCTTGCCTCCTTCAAGGCATGACTCAAGACCCTCCTTTTCGGCCGCCCTCTTACCCCTGCCCTCCCTCACCCCAACCCCCCCCCCCCCCACCACACGCTCAGGCTCTGATCCCCGACTGTTTGGTGCCTTGGGACGTCCTCCCGATGTGAAAGGCACTTTACAAACATAGTGTTGTTGCTGTTGTTCATCCCCCCCCCCCACCCCCACAACCCGGAAATGTTATCTTACGTTATGTTTCTGGAAGGGAAACCAAAAATATTGCTCATGCCTTTGCCCCCCCACCTCCCCCCTTCCAGACATTTCTCAAACTGGGCATCCAGCCCTCGGCCGGCCAAAGGTTGGACCCTTCCCCCCCCCCACTTGGTTTAGCCGTCTCCGGAACTTTCCCAGAACATTCCCAACGCGCGAACTGTTTCACATCCTCCATGTGTTTCTTCCACAGAACCGGGGCCTCCTTCCCTATTTTGCCAACTTCCGGCTGATCGCGGAGCTCTCCACTCCGTTTGTCAACCAGAGGTAAGTTGCCGGAGTCTCGTAGCTCAGGGGTTAGAGCCCCCGCCAGCGAGAGAGCCGGGTTCGGTTCCCAGGCACGTCAGGTCAGGGTGAAACTTAGGCAAGTTTCCTTACTCCACACACACGCACACACAGTCACACACAGTCACACACACACACACACACGCGCCTCAGTTTATCAGCAGTAAGTAGGAATCTGGTTGTTAGTCGATCGTTAGATCACTTTCTGGGGGTAATAATTCCTCCAAAATAAATAATAATTTGGTGAATCAATCCACGACTGTTTGTGGGGGCGTCTCTGTGCACAATTGGCTGTCACATTTTGCCTCCAAAAACACACAGTCACTACACTTCACAGTGTATCCTGATGACGTGATGAGGCGCCGGGTCAAACGCCAGGATTATTATTATTATTATTATAAGAATAAAAAAGGCACAAAGGAATCTTTTCAGTTTTGCTGCAATCTCCGTAACTCAGTATTGATTGTTCTCTTGAGTGTGTGTGTGTGTCTCTGTGCGCGTGTGTGTGTGTGTGTGTGTGTATGTATGTGTGTATCTCCCTCTGTGCGTGTGGGTGTGTGTGTCTCTCTCTGTGCGTGTGGGTGTGTGTGTGTGTCTCTCTGACTCTGTGTGTCTGTATGTGTGTGTCTGTGTCTGAGTGTCTCTCTCTGTGTCTCTGCGTGTGTCTATGAGTATCTGTGTGTGTGTCTGTGAGTGTCTCTGTGTTTGTGTGTGTGCGTGTATCTCTGTGTGTGTGTGTCTGTGTGTGTGAGTGTCTCTGTGTGTGTGTGTCTGTGTGTGTGTGGGGTGGGGTCTGTGTGTGTGTCTGTCTGTGTGTGTGTGTCTCTGTGTGTGAGTGTCCCTCTCTTTCTGTTTAACTCCAGGTGGTTCTTCGAGGTGTTGGGCTTCCCGCGGACCAAGACGCTGGCGATGTTGAATGGAGTGGCCATGGCCGGCACCTTCTTCCTGGTGAGGATCGCTGTCATCCCCTCCTACTACCACAAGGTGGTGGACACGTTTGGGACGGAGGGGTTTGAGCGCCTGGGGCTGGGGCCGCAGTGTGCCTGGCTTACATCCAGCATCAGTCTGGACGTGCTGAACGTTATCTGGATGTATAAGATCGGCAGAGGCTGCTGCAAGATCCTCCTGCGATTCCGATCCCGCAAACCCAGTCGGCTGCTGTTGGCGGAGAAGGTGCAGTAGGAACGAGCCCAGACTCTGCTCCTGGTCACCTGCTCCCAGAGCCCATTAGACGATTGAAGCCCAATCCCTTGTCCATTTTGTTTTAGGAACTTGCCTTCGAGTGAGGATTTTGGAATAGATCTGATGTCCGTCCGTTCCCCCTCCCTCTCCCCCACCCCTCCCTCTCCCCCACCCCTCCTCCCCAACCTGCCTGTACAGTCCACAACACCCTCTTCCCTTAATTCTCCCCTGCCCCCCCCACACAAGTTCAATGTCCCCCCCCCCCCCCCCCGCCAAATCATCCCAGAGGGCAAACTGGGGAATGGGATGGAGGGGGAGTGAGCCCCACTGGGCTCAGGCTCAGATCACCTCACCGTTGGGCTTATGGGGTCCCGTTTTTTTTGCCTACAGATAATAACCCGTGCCTTGGTCAGTGCCTTTAACGTCGCCACGTGGCGCATACCTTTTAAGGGGTCCGCGTGTAGGGAGGGTCCCGCGTTCCTCTCGGGAGGGACGTGTAGCAGCCGGTGTTTAGCACACGGCAAAGAGCCGTGGGGGGGAGCGAGCGATTTACATGGGCGGGCGGTGGGGGGGGCGGGGGGAGGCTGGGACATCAGGGGTTGGGGAGGGGGGGGGAAGGGGAGGAACCCTTAACGTCTGCCCGAACAGGTGCTGACGGGGAAACTCAACTCAATGTCTCGTCTGAAAGACGGTGTCTCCAACACGTCACCATTTGCTTCCTTCTCCCTCCTCCCCACCACCCCCACCCACTCCATCCCCCACCCTCCATATCCCCACCCCATATTGGGTGTCAAATGGAACGCCTGGACTGTGAACTCCCAAGTCATCACCCCCACCCGGGTGGGGCTGAGAGGGGGGGGCGGCGAGGAGGGGGGCTGGGGGGGCGCGGGGAAGGGAGTGCTACCCACTGAGCCAGACCACCGCACTCCCAGTCTGTGGGTGACCTCATCTCATCTATCTGGTGTCACAGAGAGAGAGAGAGAGAGAAAAAGAGGAGACAAGATGCTTTGACTTGTGATTAGCTCTGCCACCTGTGTGTGTGTGTGTGTGTGTGTGTGGGTGTGTATGTGGCTATGTGTGTGGGTGTGTGTGTTGGTGGGTGCTGGGGGGAGGGGTGGGTGGGGGAGAGTACGTGTGTTTTGTGTCTGACGCACATGGAAACCCATCACCGTTGCCTAAGAGTCTCCAAACCCAAACTGAGAATTCCACACGTCCCAACTCCACGTGGAAATGCCAGAGACAGATTGTTGGAATGGAATGGAATGCGCTCTCTCTCCCTCTCCCTCCCTCTCCCTCTCTCCCTCCCTCTCCCTCTCCCTCTCTCCCTCCCTCTCTCCCTGGAGGGACACCTCCTGCTTTACCTAATTCACCCACAGATGTAAAAATGGCTTTGAATTGTAATTTGTCCCATTGCCTTTGGGGAGGTGCACGTGCGTGTGTGTGTGTGTGCGCGTGTGTGTGTGCCTGTGTGTGTGGGTGTATGTGTGGGTGCGTGTGTGTGTGTTACAGCCACCAAAATTACTCCCAGCCTTAACCCCGTCAGACTCTTAACTTAAACACTGAACCGAAGAACATCTCTCGATTCAGCCTGAATTTCCGACAAAGCCTTTTTTCAATACATAAATAATAATAAAAAAATCTCTCTCTCTCTCTCTCCATATATATCTAGAATATATATGACAATAAAATCCATCCAGATTCAGACCCAGTCGGGAGATTTTTAATAATAATAATATTTCTTGCTCGTTTTATATGCTGGTAAATTGTAAAGCAAGAAAAGAATAATAATAATAAATAAAGGGGTGTGTGGTCTCTGTCATGGGGGGAACGGAGGGGGAATTGGAGCTGGGGGGGGGATTAATTCCCTCCTTTTCTTCCCCCCCTCACACGATCGCCCTCCGTAAGCTCACCCTGTCCTTAACTAACCCCCCCCCTCCCCGCCCCCACTATCTCCTTGTGTGTTTTTTTTTTAACTTGTCTTACACTACTCAGGCAAAAGTATTTATTTTCTAATGGGGGAAATTGAGGGGAAAAAAATAATTGTTAAATAGATGACGTGTAATAACAGAACTGAGCCTAAAGTTTTTAAAAATAAATCCCTTCCCACAACCTCCCCCCACCCCCCCCCCCCCGCAATGAGGAATCACTCCCCAGACGGAGTCCCTGTGTGTGCGTGGTGTGTGTGTGTGTGTGTGACAGACCAGAGTCACTGCTGGCAAGGACAGTATACCTCAGTGCCTTTTTTTTTGTTTGTTCTTATGATTGATTCCGTGAAAAAATGTCCTTCAAATCATCAGCATCATCATAATCCTGGCATTTGATATATTGCCCACTTCGCTACACAGTCACTACACTTGACAGTATATCCTGTGAAGCGCTCTGCGACGTCTCAAAGACGTGACGGGGCGCTGTATTGAACACAAGGATTATTGTTATATTTTATTACTCAGTGCCTTTTTATGCCGTTGAGACGTCTCAAAGCGCTTCACAGAAGAGTTACCTCAGGCAAGTCTCCTTATTCCTTACACACGCGCACACACCCCTCTGCTCACCCGGCGGGAAGCAGGAACCCGGTTGTTAGTCGATTGGCGGATCACTTTCCGGGGGGTAATAATAATAATCCCTCCCCCCGAAAAAATAAGAATAATTTTGTTGCTCAATCCGCGGCTGTTTGTGGGGACGCTGCTGTGCGCGATCGGCTGCCGCATTTCGCCCACAAAATATACAGTCAATTCAGTTTACAGTATATTCTGTGAAGCGCTTTGAGACGTCTCGAAGACGTGATGAGGCGCTGTATCAAATGCGAGGATTATTATTACTATCATCATGACTTGGGCTGAGCTCTGGTGCAGCCTCAGACTGAGCTCATTCTGTGCAACTTAACAGGATTCCTCTTTGTACTTCTAATGAATAAAATGAATTCCCTCCACTTCACGATGAGGACATTTTCTTGGGGGGGGTAAGTGGGGTCTCCTCGGAGCTGAACTGGCCCCAAGGTGACATGTTTGGCAACGCAATATCAGAACCGAGCCCTCCCTCCGTGACGCTCCCTGGGTCCGGTCCCTGAGCCAGTTTTCCAGGGCAGTGTTTTATTTTAGTAACGCATTTCCGTTTCCGCCCCTTCCTTTGTGCATTTACTCCTCATCCCGTCCTTCAGTGGCCGTTGTTATCAACCACTACACTCCTAACCCCTGGAACTCAATCTCTGTCACACACACACACACACACTACAGAGACCGTCACAGAGGACCGACTCCACTCTCACTCACAGACCCATCTCTCTTCAAGCAAAGGTGGGAGTCCCGTAGTGTAACGTAGAGTCCTGCAGCTCAGTGGTGAGAGCGCGAGTGAGCGAGAGAGAGGTCCCGGGTTCGATTCCCGGGCGGGTCAGGTCGGGGCGAAACTTTAGGCGAGTTTCCTTACGCCACAGACACACAGACACACAGACCCACCCACGCGCCGGTTTACCTTCGCAGTGAGTAGGAACCTGGATGTTAAATCAATTGGCGGATCGCTTTCCAGCGATAATAACCCCTCCCCAAAAAATAATAATAATAATGTGGTCACTCAGCGGTCTATTAAAATTGTTTAAACCTGTATAATTATTTTCGTTTCACCCACAATATATACAGTCGATTCACTTTACAGTGTATCCTGTGAAGCGCTTTGAGACGTCTTGAAGACGTGATAAGGCGCTGTGTCAAATGCCAATATTATTACTATTATTCCCGTCATCATTAACTGGGTGCGCCCCCCCCCCCTACCACCCCCTCTAATTCCCCCTGGGACCTCTCGCTCGCTCTCTGTCTAATCTGCTTGAGTTTTCTGTACTAAATCTTCCGATTCCTACAGGATTGCAGCGAGTGAGACATGAAGGAATTCTGGTCAGAGTCTGAATCGCCTCCTTAAATAGTCAAACATCGCTGGCTCGAAGGTCTGCCTTGGAAACAGGTCTGCTCCTCTCTCTCTCTCTCTCTCTCTTCCCCTCACTCCCTCCCTCCCTCCCTCCCTCCCTGCGTGAGGCTCTGCGAGAGACGGAGAGAGAGAGAGCGAGGTGATGTAACGTGGCTTTCTTCCAAGTCCTGCTGTTTGCTTTCCCTTTCCCTGAGCTCTTCGTTTCCGAGCGAGCGAGAGAGAGGGGGAGAGTTTTGTTGTCTTGTTGTTCACGCGATGACCTCACCGCACAGCCGGGCTACTAAAAAAGGCAAAGTGTGTTAGCGGCGAGGCCGGGGCTGCGTCAGGCTGGCGCTATCACTCGTTCTATCTCACGCTTCTTCCTGACAATAAAAATAACAATAAAACGCCAGACATCATTTGGCGCTGAGCCCGGCACTCGACGGCTTAGGACGTCTCGAAAGTGCTTCCCGGGCCGTTGCGGCGCTGGTGCGGTGACCGGTTTATGTTGGTGCCCAGCGACGTCCCCACAAACAGCCGTGACGTACACCAGTGTTTTTTGGCTCGTCTGTCTGTCTGTCTGTCTGTCTGTCTGTCTGTCTGTCTGTCTGTCTGTCTGTCTGTCTGTCTGTCTGTCTGTCTGTCTGTCTGTCCCTCCATTTGTGTGTGTGTCTCTATCCATCTGTGTGTGTGTATCGCTCTCTCTATCCCTCTCTCTGTGTGTATCGCTCTCTATCCCTCTCTCTATCCCTCTCTCTGTGTGTATCGCTCTCTATCCCTCTCTCTATCCCTCTCTCTGTGTGTATCGCTCTCTCTATCCCTCTCTCTGTGTGTATCGCTCTCTCTATCCCTCTCTCTGTGTGTATCGCTCTCTATCCCTCTCTCTATCCCTCTCTGTGTGTATCGCTCTCTATCCCTCTCTCTATCCCTCTCTCTGTGTGTATCCCTCTCTCCATCCCTCTCTCTATCCCTCTCTCTGTGTGTTTGTGCCCCTCTCTCTGTTGAACCCTTGTTTGCCTTTCTCGAGGCTGTGATACACTCCGGTAGTCGCTATCGTGAACGTTGCTCTTTTACCCCAAGGTCCAAATATCCCCTTTTCCTCGTCTCCCCTCCCCCCACCCTGTGTGAGTGAGGTGGTACAATCCCACCCTCCACCCCCACCATGAGGTGGGACGGGAGGGGGGGCAGAGTGTGGGGGTCAGGAGTCACTTTACAGTTTAGAACCCGAGATTTGGGGAAAATAATATTGAAAATCTTGCATTTGGACATTGACTGAATGTAACATGGAAACGGCTCAAACCGCGTGACAGTAATGACACGACAAGGTGTAGTGACTGTTTTTGTGGGCAAACACGGGAGCACATTTACCCACAGCGATGGCCCCTCAGCGATGAGGGGAGAGAGAAACTCTCTTCTCTTTCAGAATCACCTGAATCGACAGATCAATGACTCGTCTGAAGGACGGCATCTCCAATATGGGGCTCTCTCCCCCCTCCCCCTCAACACCCCCCACACCCCCAGCGTCAGCCACACTGGAGCGTCAGCCGAGACCATGAGCTCAACGTCCCCAGACTTGGGTGAGGGGCTTGAAACCCACAACCTTCTGACTCAGAGGTTCATAGAACAATAATAATAATAATTCTCTCTTTGACCCAGTGCCTTATTCCGTCTCAAAGCGCTTCACAGGATACGCTGTAAAGTGTAGTGACTGTGTATTTTGTGGGCGAAACGCGGCAGCCAATTGCGCCCAACGACGTCCCCACAAACAGCCGTGGGTTGAAGTGACCACAATATTATTATTATTATTTGTTTTTTTCTGAAGGCTTATTATCCCCGGGAAGCGATCCGCCAATCAACTAACAACCGGGTTCCTACTGACTGCTGACAATCACAGGTGTGTGTGTGCGTGCGCACGTGTGTGTGTGCGTGTGGAGTAAGGAAACTTGCCCAAGGTTTCACCTCAGCCGACCGGGAATCGAACCCGGGTCCTCTCGCTCGCAAAGCGAGGTCCCTAACCTCCGAGCCACGCTGCGGGGCTCCAGGGAGAGTTGAATGTCTCCATAAGGAGAGGTGGTGTGAGGGCTGCGGGGACCGGGGCAGGAGGAATGTCTAACCTAACGTCTCTCCAGAAAGGCTCATCCTCCGAAGAGCGAGAGATTGAGCAGCTACCATTCGATGTCCATATAAAGCCAGCAATGCTCGCGCTGCACGGTGCGAGCTGCAGAATGTTTATACACATTTCTGTCGGTTGGCAGGAGCTTCGGGATGTGTGATTGCTACCAGATTTGTACTGTTCCAGGCTGTGAGCTCCAGCCATGATGGGTTAAGGACTTATAAGGCTTTGGTGAGCGCGAATATAACTCACCCATTAGAACTCGTCGTTTAGATACCGATCCCACTACCACTAACCCCCCCGCCACCCCTCCCCTCCCCGTCACCCCCCTCCCCCCCTCCTGTAAATCCTCGCCTCTCTCCACACCTCCCAGTGTGAAGGGATTAACCCTTCGAGCGCCAAGTCCCTGCGGACTCTCCTCTCCCTCGTGCCAATTTGTCGGAGGAGCCCGTGTTGTTCTGGGCGAGGTGTTTAATCCCACACTCCCGCCCGGTTGCCTCTCTGTTCCAGGACAGACTTGGGGTCAGCGTTTCACTTACTGGGAAAAGAGACGGGGGTTTTCTCTTTCTGTCGCAAGTTGCTGCGTGTCCTGGCCAGCAATTCTCTCCCCCTCCCACCCCCATTCCCCATCTCCCCCCACCCCCCATTCCCCATCTCCCTCCCCCCCCAACCCCGGAAATAATATTGTTTCAAGAACAAATTAGGTTGATTTCTGCGAGGAAATAATATCTGGGGGTTGGGGGGGGGGTGGGGACAGGGCAAAGTTGGGGGATTTGACATGTCAAGCGACTGCCAGGATGGGCGGAAGGGGAACTGGATGGACTTCGGTTTTCTTCCTGACTCACCCAGGAATTGAACCCGGGTCCTCTCACTCGCTTGCGAGGTGAGGGGTCTAACCTCTGAGCTAAAGCTATATATATATATATAAATATATATAAAATCATTTCCTGGGTTCTCCAGACCAGGAATCCCCTCCCACCCCAATGACTCGTCTCAATCTCTCTCTTTCGAGACGCTGCCAAAAATCTACAATAAAGGAATATCTCACAATCGCAGGCGACGGCGGAGACCTGGGGATATTATCACAGGAGAAACAGATACATTAATTTCTCCTGGGAGGGGGGGTGAGGGAGGGGAGGTGTGGGGTGGGAGGGGGGGGGAAGGGGGACGAGTTTGGAGGACGGGGGAGAGAGAGAGAGAGGGGATGGAGGCCAATTGTAATTGGTTGGAGTGTTGGATGCCCGGGGAGCAGATTGGCTGATTTCTGCCTCCAATAGAGCAGAGCTTCCAAACTTATTCAAGAGTTTGGGGAAAGTTTAGGGGGAAAAGGCTGCAGAGAGAGGCAGACAGGACACACGGGCAAGGGCAAGGCAACACAGGCGTCTGGACCACGACCCTTGTTGATTCAGAGTTTTCTCTGCCAACGCTCGACACTCGCCATGACAGCACATTTTGTCCGGGGACCGGCCTATGGGTTATCGGCCGAGGTGAACCGTAAGGTAAAGGGGGAATTTTTTTTCCCCGAGTAACTGTTGCTTTTCTAAGCAATGCTTTTCTCAGCCACTGGGTCGTATCTTCAGTTAACCCTCGCCTCACCCTCTCTCCCAACCCCAACCCTCTCTCCCAACCCCAACCCTCTCTCCCCCAACCCCAACCCTCTCTCCCCCAAACCCTAGCCCTCTCCCCTAACCCTCTCTCCCAATCCCAACCCTCTCTCCGCCAACCCCAACCCTCGCTCCCCCAACCCCAACACTCTCCCCCAACCCTCTCTCTCCCAACCCCAACCCTCTCTCTCCCAACCCCAACCCTCTCCCCCAAACCCCAGCCCTCTCCCCTAACCGTCTCCCAATCCCAACCCTCTCTCCCCCAACCCCAACACGCTCCCCCAACCTTCTCTCTCCCAACCCCAACCCTCTCTCCCAACCCTCTCTCTCCCAACCCTCTCTCTCCCAATCCTCTCTCTCAAACTACAAATCTAATCTTGTTCCAGGTATTAGTCAGGACTCTGATTAAACCAACTTTGCTGCTTTACTTAATAATAATTATTAATACATTAACCCTCACATTTGACACAGCGTCTTATCAGGTGGTTGATAAGCGCTTCGCTGGATACACTATATAAAGTGTAGTGACTGTGTATTTTGTGGGTGAAACGCAGCAGTCAATTGTGCATAACAACATCCCACACAGTCGTGGATCAATTTATCAATTTATTTTTTGGGGGAAGGACTATCGCAGATTGAGTGATACCAAATTGACTTGAGGATGGCACTGTCACAGGGAGAACATTTACACAGTGTCTTTCACGTCGGGAGGACATCCCAAAGCATTTCACTGTTTGGGCAGGAGGGGAGTGGAATAATAATAATATAAATAATAATCCTTGCATTGGATATAGCGTCTTATCACGTCATCGAGGTGACCCGTCCAGGGGTTAAGTCTTGAGACAGACCTTGAACAAAACTTTCGGCAAATCTCCTTACTCCACACACACACACACGAGCCTCTGTCTACCCAGCAGTAAGTAGGAAACTGGTTAGATGACCTGCCGATCGCTTTCCAGGGGAGTAATCCCTCCCCAAAACCAAATAGTAATTGAGTGGTCACTCAACCCACGACTGTCTCTGGGATGTAGCGCAATTGGCTGCCGCGTTTCGCCCACAAAACTGCAGTCACTACTCTTAACAGTACATTCTGTGAAGCGCTTTGAGACGTCGCGACGACTTGATGAGGCGCTGTATTAAAATGCAAGGATTGTTATTATTATTATCACTCAATAATGAACGAGGGCGGGAGGTGAGATTAAGGGTTGGCGTTGAATTTAAAGCCACTGGGTAACGTATGGGCAAATAATGGGAGAAGTTTGGCAGTAAAAATAGGTTGTAATGAATTTCTATGCTATACTGTTCTCCCTCTCTCTCCCCCCCCCCTTCCCCCCCCCTCTCTCCCCCTCCCGCTGTGTCTCAGTATCATTCCATTTATGGTCTCCGATAAACACTCGTCTCAGAACTCCTCTCTGTCTCAGCCTCACCATCCACTTCCTTTCTTACCCTCTCCGGGGGAGGAAGAAGGTGAGTGGGCGGTTGCTGCTCGGAGCTGACCTGTCCGCGAGTTGGCGTGGCTGGCGATGGCAGTGTCAGGATGGAGCCGGGCCAGGTCCCCCCTCTGTGACAGTCTCTGGTTTGGTTCCTGGGCCAGTGGGGTCTGCAGTATTCCAGGGCACGGCCTGGATCGGGGGTCAGACTCATGTACATGCAAGTTGTTGTTGTTGCAGTCCTGTGTGTATGTATGTGTGTGTGGAGGGTGGGGGGGGGGGGAGGGCTCTGAACTGTGAGCGTGTTCTCAAGAGGGAAGGTGTTTCTGACGAGAACAACCACAACAACAACAACACAGGACATTTACACGGCGGCTTTCACGTGACGAGGACGTCCTAAGGCCCTGGACGGTCAAGGATTTGGACCCGAGCTGGTGGTCGGGACCAGGAGGGGCTGGAGGGAGGCCAGAGGGTAGGAGGGCGACCGAAGGCGCGGTCGAAGAGGAGGGTCTTGAAGGAGGCGAGGGAGGGAGGGAGCGGGCGAGAGAGACGGAGGGAATGTGTGGGTATCAGTGCTTTGACCTGCCACCATCTCTCTCTCTCTCTCTCTCTCCTCTCACTCTGCTCTTTGCTTTACAGATCTCTCAGAAATACGACCCTCAGAAAGAGGAGGAACTGCGTCTCTGGATCGAAGACGTGACGAGCTTCACTTTCCCCGAGAACTTCATGGAGGGTTTGAAGAGCGGAGTGGTCCTGTGCGAGTAAGAGAGCGAGAGAGACAGAGCCACTCGCTCTGCGTCTGTCTCAAACATCCATCGTCACCAACTCCCCCATAAAAACACAGTCACTCCACACTGCAGTGTGTCCTGCGAAGCGCTTTGAAACGTCTCGAAGATGTGATAAGGCGCTGTGTCAAATGCAATAATTATTATATTATTATTATATTATGTTATATTATTATTATTATAACCCACGTGTTCTCTTCTGTTTGAAGACTGATTAACAAACTACAGCCGGGAGCAGTGAAGAGCATCAGTGGTGCTCCACAGAACTGGCACCAGGTAACTTGTGCAAAGGAACTCTCTCTCACTCCCCCCTGCCCCCCAGCCCCCCCCTCCATTGCACCCTCGGTGGCCGCGCTTTCAGCCTCTATACGCCCCCAAACTCTGTCACTCTCTCCATCTCTCCCCCCCTCCGCCTTGCTCCTTCCCCATCTTCAGGTTGTGCCTGAAGACCTTCCTCTTTGTCCGTGCCTACGGTCCCCTCCCCCCTCCCCGCTCCCCTGGCTTGGAGTTGTGCTCCGCCACTGTCGAGCGCTCTGTGGCACTATCCTGTGTGAGTGGCGCTGTGTAAATGCAGGTCGCTGTTAGGACACGCGGGGGGTTGTGTAACGTGTCTCTTTGATCGCAGATGGACAACATCGGGAACTTCCTCAAAGCCATCACCAGATATGGGGTGAAACCTCACGATCTCTTCGAAGCCAATGACTTATTTGAGAACTGCAACTTGACCCAAGTCCAAACCACGCTGCTGGCTCTCGCGAGTGTGGTGCGTACTCCTCTCTCCCTCCCTCTCAATCTCCCGCCCTCTCCTTCCTGATAGGAACATAGGAATAGGAGAAGGCCATTCAGCCCCTCCAACCTGTTCCGCCATTATTATATTAAGTCCAATTACCTGCCTTTACCCCGTATCCCTTGATACCCCGACCTTAATACCAAGGGACGTACATGGATGGAGGGGTGAGGGGTGGGGATGGGGTAAGGCCCAAATGGCCTCCTGTTCCTCAGTTCCCTGTGTCGTTCCCAGATTAACGTTGAGTTGCGTTTGCTCATAGGCCAAATTAAAAGGTCACCACGTGCCAACAGACCTGGGCGTGCGCTACGCAGAGAAATGTCAGCGAGCCTTCAACAGTGAAATGCTCAAAGCCGGACAAAATGTCATCAGCCTCCAGGTACGGACATTACCAAATAGTCAATAATAATTATTAATAAACAATCATTGTTCCGCCCACAGAAATATACAGTCACTACACTTTACTGTGAAGCGCTTTGAGATGCCTCTAAGACGTGAAAAGGCGCTGTATCAAATGCCAGGACTATTATATTTATGATTATAATAACCCTTATATCTGATACAGCCATTTTCATGTCCAGGAGGAAGTCCCCAAGCGCTTCACGGGATACAACATAAAGTGGAGTGACTGTGTGTTTTGTGGTCGAAACGCGGCAGTCAATCGCCAATGGATACTTGGGAAGGATAAAAAAGGAGATGGATAGATACTTGGGAAAGTATTCCTCATTCTTCACATACAGAGTGTGGGAGGGTGAGCGTGACCAAGGGAGAGAGCGTGGGGGAGAAAAATATAGTGGAACACAGGGAGGATGATACATAATAAAGTGTAGTGACTGCGTATTTTGTGGGTGAAACGCGGCAGCCAATTGCACACGGCGACGCCCCACAAACAGTCGTGGATGGAATGGCCATATTATTATTATTCTCCTTTTTTGAAGGGATTATTACCCCAGAAAAATAATCAGTTAATAATAATAATAACAATAATAATAATAAACTGCGCGAGGATTATTATTGCATCTGATACGGCACCTTATCAAGTCGTTGAGACGTCTCAAAATGCTTCACGGGATATACCGTAAAGTGGAGTCACTGTATTTTTGGGTGTTTGGGGGAGATTTCAATGTTGTACCCCCTTTTTTTCCCCCCCAGATGGGGACCAACAAGTTTGCCAGCCAGCAGGGGATGACAGCATACGGGACACGGAGACACTTGTACGACCCCAAGACTGGGGCAGAGAAACCCCTTGACCAGACCACCATCAGCTTGCAGATGGGAACCAACAAGGGAGCTACTCAGGTATGGACCCCTCTCCTTCCCCCCCCCCCCCCCCACCAGGACATCTCCAACCCTTTCCTACTACATGTGGGGCCCACAAACAGTCATGGTTTGAGTGATCGATGTTTAAGATTCTCTTTGGGGGGATTATTACCCCCGAAAACTCCACCCCACCATCGGTGGTCGGACCTTCAGCCTCTTTGCCCCAACCCTTTGGAACTCCACCTTGCTCCCCCCGCCCTTGCATTCTTCAAGACCCTCCGCTTCGACGATACCCTCCCACCCCAACCCTCCCTGGCCTCCACCCCTCCCAATCCTAACCCCCCAGTTCAGGCCCAAATCCCCCCCCCCAGCCCCTCTCCCTCCTTCAAGTCCCACCTGAAGACCTTCCTTTTCGACGGTGCTTACAGTCACCTCCCCCCTCCCTCTCTCTCTCCCCTTCCCCCACCACCCCCCGGCTCGGGGTCAGACTCCGCCACCATCACACGCTTCAGAAATGCTATCCCGCGCGAAGGTCGCTGTGTGAATGCAAGCTGTTGGTGAAGCGGCCATTTTGTTGATGTTGTTGTTGTTGTTGGTCAGGCTGGCATGACGGCACCCGGGACACGGAGGCACATCTTTGACAACAAGCTGGGGCTGGAGAAGTACGACTCGAGCTTTGTGTCGCTGCAGATGGGGTCGAACCAGGGGGCCTCGCAGAAAGGCATGACGGTGTACGGCATGAATCGGCCGGTGTGCGACCCCAAATACTGCCCCTCTGGCTGCTACCCCCTTCCCGAGGACGGCTCCTACCGGTACACCAGCGGCTCCGAGGGCAGCGAGGGCGAATACCAAGATAACTACCACAGGTACAACCAACACCTCGACCACAACCAGGAACAAACGTACCAGGACTTTGAATGAGACGCAAGACAATCACAGCAGCACCTCCATCACTACCAAAAGACTGGCTTCGTCCAAGTGCACCCACCCACCTCCCTCCCTACCCACCCACCTCCCTCCCTACCCACCCACCCACCCACCCACCTCCCTCCCTACCCACCCACCTACCTTGCCCTGCACACTGTCTCCTTCCCTCCTTGACCTGCTCATGTCCCAACCCAAATGGAATGCTTATTCAAGTAGTGGGTGCCTTTCAATTTCTTTACGGTCACCGAATAATAGAATACGACAGCACAGCAGGAGGCCATTTGGCCCATCGTGCCTGTGCTGTATCAGCTTTTTTGGAAGAGCTACCCAATTAGTCCCACTACCCCCCTTCCCCAACTCTTGCCCCATATCCTTGCAAGTTTTTCCTCTTCAAGTACCTATCCAAGTCTCTTTTGAAACTTGTCATTGAATCTGTTTCCTCCGGCCTTTTGGGCAGTGCGTTCCAGACCGTAACAACTCTCTGTGTAAACAGAAATATTAATTTCTCCTCGTCTCCCCTCTGGTTCCTTGCCAACTCAATCTGTGTCCCCTGGTTACTCACCCACCAGTGGAAACAGTTTCTCCCTCCCTATCCACTCTATCAAAACCCCTGATGATTTCAAGCGCCTCATTAAATTATTAGTATTATTATCTATTCTATTAGTCACGCTCACAAAGATCATTTGATCTCATCCTTCCAAGAGTCTTTCAACCCCATTCCATCACCCCCCATCCCCACACACCTTGTCACTGTTCACATTACTGGTCCCAGCCTCAAACTACCTTCCCTGGCTTCCTTGCTTGTTGGTCACCCCACAGCTGATCGCCCTACTTCCTGTGCAAAGGAGTACTTCCTGGTTTCCGTCCTGAAACGGGACCTTCGAGCCCCACCGAACCTTTCACCCTTTCCTTCCAATGCCTTGGAGTCTCCAAGAGTGACCTTCCTGGGATTATTGTATCTTCTCTTTCCAATTTAGCATTTTTTTTTCTTTGTAGATTGTATATTTATTTTAGTGGAGCCCAGTGAGATGAGAGCGAAGGAATCGCATCTCCCCCACCCCCCCCCCCCCCCCACTCGTCACACTCCCCCCACCACCCACTCCCGAATGCTTTGAAGAGAAGTCAATGATTATTGGGGTTGGACAAGACCCACCCAAATGAGCCAAACTAGGATAATGCAAAAGTAAGTCCTTGCTTGAAGGGGAGCAAATGAGATCCAGGTTACCACGTGTGGTTGACTACTTGTGTCCCCCTGTGAATGGTCGCTTATCCCCACATGTGGTTTCTAGAAGGTTCTGTTGGGCGAAGATGCCGTGAGTCTGTGGTGTCGGGGAGAAGCCATGTGGACGTGAGGCAGCCATTTCCGAGTGTTAATGGATTAAAACTTCTTGGTTGACTATTTAAAGCTCTCTCGGAACAGTGTTTGTGTGTATATACATGTGTGTGTGGGGGGGGGGGGGAAGAAACTGGTGCTTGCACAGTAACACACGTGGCCCAGTGCACGACGCCACCTGCTGGCCAACACAGGTAAGGCAATCTACATGCCACAGGCATGTCAGTCACTGCAAATTAAAATTAGACCCGGGGCAACCAGGGAGTGAAGTCAGGAGGCAGTTTTTCACCCTAAGGCTATTGGAAATCTGGCACTCTCTCTCCCTCCCCTAAGAGACTCCAAAACCCACCTGTACATGGAAATGCTGGAGATAGATTGTTGTCCAGCTGGGATCGCCGGGGAGGAAGGCTACGAAAGAGAGCGGGGAAAAGTGATTCAAAGAGCTGCTATTTCTGCGACTACCAAACCAGGCTACAGAATGCCTCCCGTCTCTACGGTTAACGTGTGGGCATGAGTGTGTCTTCGAGACGTCGCAAAGCGCTTCACGGGATACACTGTAAGTGTATATTTTGTGGGCAAAACACAGCAGCCAACTGCGCACAGCAGTGTCCCACAAACAGTCGTGGATTGAGTGACCAATTTATTATTATTTATTTCTTTATTTATTATTGAAGGGATTATTACCCCCGGAAAGTGATCCGCCAATCGACTAACGACCGGTTTCCTGCTTACTGCAAGGTAAACAAGTGGCGTGTATGTGGAGTAAGGAAACTTGCCTAAGGTTTCGCCCTGACCCGCCCGGGAATCGAACCCGGATAACACTCGCTTGCGAGGCGAGTGCTCTAACCAATACGCAACAGGACTCCACAAAATATGCTACTTTTCATTTTATACACAGCTTGCAAAGGAGTAGAGAGAGAGAGAGAGAGAGACAGAGAGAGAGGACTCCACAAGCACTCAAAGAACCTATTTACAGTCGGTAAAAAGAAAGGAAAAAAAAACACTTGAAAATAAAAATATAAAGAGTGGCTCCAGCCAAATCCCGTTAGTTATTGATTAGCCGCTTCGCAGGCGTCGATCCAGTCACTGTATACGTCAACCGGCTCGGACAAATCTGATCGGAGAGTTAAAGAACACAGCGGACCCCAAACAATCAACAACTACAACAACTTACATGTACACAGCGCCTGCCTTTCACATCAGGAGGACGGCTCAAGGCACTGGACAGTCAGGGATTTGGAATAGAGTTGGGGGTTGGGATCAGGGGTACGTGGAGGGCAGGGAGGGTGGGGGTCGGAGGGTGACCAAAGGCACGGTCAAAGAGGAGGGACTTGAGATGTGCCTTCCAAGGAAGGAGGCGAGGGAGGGGGCGAGGTGAAGGAAATGTGGGATGGAGTTCCAAAGGGTGGGGGCAGAGGGGTTGAAGGCCTGACCGCCAATGGTAGGACAGGGTGGGGGACGTGGAGCAGACCAGAGCCCGCTGAGCGGAGGGAGCGCACAGGTTATATATGGGGTTATCTGGTCACAGCGGTAGGGAGGGACAGGGCACGGAGGGCTCTGAATCACAGAGAGAAACACACACACAACCCTTCTCCCACCACACAGACAGTAAGGATACACGTTATTGGAGTCTGAAATTCTTCTAAACACACAGTGCAGGATATGATCCCTGTATTCCGTGCTCGATCCCTTTTGGAAGGGGTGGGGGGAGCGAGGTGGGGGGAGGAGAGAGGGAGAGAGAAAATCAAAAGAAAGAACAAGAAGCAGTTCTGAGAAGGGAATGAGGGTGCCTTCTAACCGCTCTCAGCTTTGAGGGTCCGCGTTGGATCAGAATAGTTTTACCTCGAAACGCAACCATCACTGGGCTAAACAACATCAACAACTTTCCTTTACACGGAGCCCTTCATGCAGGTTAGTGTTCAAGCGCTCTGGGACACTGCCCTGCGTGACGAGCACTATATAAACACATGTTGTTGTTCTCCCACCTGCTCACTCCCCAACCCACACCCGTTGCCTCTGCCCGGCTGGCTCCGGCCTCCTGCTCGTCCCTGGTGGCCGGACTTTCAGTCACTGTGCCCCGAAACTCTGAAACACTCTCCCTCTATCCCTCCGCCTTGCCCCCTCCTTCCCCATCTTCTGGTTATGCCTGAAGACCTTCCTCTTCGACCTACAGTTCCTACAGTCACCGCCCCCCCCCCCCCCCGGCTCAGCCTTGTGCTCCGTCCCTGTCAAGCGCTCTGGGACGCTACTCTGCGTGAGGGGCGCTGTGTAAATGCAAGTTGTTGTTGTCTTGTGGTGCATTGTGGTGGGTTTGGATGCCGAGAGAGGGCGGGGGGGGGGGGGGGGGAGGTGTCTGTTGGCCGATGGAACTCTTTCTCGGTGATGAAACCTTTAACTCTACCCTCTCCCCACCCCCTGCCAACGTCCCACAGCCCAGGGAGGGGTCAGGCCACGTCACCCCCCCTCCCCCCCCCCCACCGGCACACTTACATTTTCACATCGCAAGACTTTTCGTGGTTACAGAACGGACACGTGAACTGGGTCTCAAGTGTCCCCACCATCTTCTTTTTGGTGGGGGGCTTTCTCTTCGACTTCCTGCGCCCCATTGCAGCTCCCTGTACAATGGGTGGGGCGAGGGGGAAGGGGGAGGGGGAGAACAAGCGTCATTCATCGTTTAATCACAGGCTTGCTTCCCCAGGCTCTGATTCTCTGGCTGTCCCCCGGTCACGACTTTGGGCCAACCTCAAAAGAAACTCACGATAATGCCACAAACCTTCAAGTCTCTTCACGTCACTCTTTCCAATTAAATTCCAGCCTCCCGATCCGAGCATCAATACACACTGTCGTCAACCACTGTCCCGATGTCCCAACGCAGCCCCTCTTCCTGGGGAAACAGAGACAAAGGTTCAATGAATTCCTCAACACATCCAAGTAAGTAAGCAGCGTCCTGTAGCTCAGTGGTTAGAGCACTCGCCTCACAAGCGAGAGGACCTGGCTTCCATTCCCAGGCAAGTTTCCTTACTCCACATACACCCCTCTGTTTACTTAGCAGTAAGTAGGAACCCGGTCGTTAGTCATTTGGTGGATCACTTTCCGGGGGCAATAATCTCTCCAAACACAAAAATTTGGTTACGCAATCCACGACTGTTTGCTGGACACTGCTGTGCGCGATTGTCTGCCGATTTACGCACACAAAATATAGTCAATCCACTTTACAGCACATCTTGTGAAGCCCTTTAAAGGCATCTCAGCAACGGATAAGAGGCTGTATCAAATGCAAGGTTTATTGTTATTATGAAATGCGTCTGGGATATTGTTTAAGCATGACTTAAGTGGTAGTAACAAGTTGAGCCAGGTGTTACCAGCGTTTACCGTAATAACAAATAATAATAGCAGCAAATAATAATAATATTATTATTATTAAAAGCATTATGGTAATAAAATGACCAATAGTGGCAAAACAAAAGCAACAATAAAATAACAATAACACCACAATAAACTTCCAAGACGTCTCAAAGCGCTTCATGTGATACACTGTAAATAATAATAATAATAATAATCCTTGCATTTGATATAGCGCTTTTCACGTCTTCTCGACTTCCCAAAGCGCTTCACAGAACACACTGTAAAGTGAATTGACTGTATATTTGTGGGCGAACGCGGCAGCCATTTGCGCACAGCAATGTCCCACAAACAGTCGTAGATTGAAAATGACCAATTTATTATTGTTTTTGGTTTTGGAGGATTATTATTAGGCTCTGTGTGGAGTAAGGAAACTTGCCCAAGGTTTCACCCTCTGCCTGGAATTTAACTCAGGTCTCTCACTCGCAAAGCGAGTGCTCTAACCACTGAGCCACAGGACTCCACAAGTGTCGTGACTGTACGATTTGTGTGATTCTATGTATATGTGTGTGTGTATACTGTTTGTGCGACTCTGCTGCGCGCGCTGTTTTCTCCCGCACAGCGCACGGTCACTCCACTTTACATTCGTGGTGTATGCTGCGCCTCGGAAGACCTGACTCGGCGCTGCATCAAATGCGAGGATTATCATCATCATATTATTATTATTATTATACGGTTTGGGGGGTGGGGGGGGCGACGCGTGCGTGCGACGGCCAGGAGGCTGGAGGGCGGACTGGATGGACCTTGGCCTTCTTTTTGCCCACAAACCCTCGTGTTATCACTGTGAGTGAGTGAGTGAGTGAGTGACATGAGGAAGCTGCCATGCTGTGAGCCAGAGTCCCCCCCCACCCCCACCACACCAGCGGAAGTCCCGCCCCCTGCTCATCCTCCGATTGGCTGTCGGTCCAAGCGAATGTCCCCGCCCCACCCCCGCCCGATTGGCTCGCCCGCCGCGACTCGACCCGCTCCGATTGGCCCGGGGCGCCCGTCAGTCAGTCAGTCAGAGCGCGGGTCGCGGCCTGATTGGCCGAGGGCCGCGCCCATCAACGACGCCGGTTATAACGGCTCATGGCGGGCGGCGGCGGCGGCGGTTTGAGGGAACGGGGCGCGCAAATGGCGCTCGATTCGCAGCCAGTCAACCGCTTCCCTCCCCCCGGTGGTGGCGCCCAAGGTAAAAGAATAGATAGATATGTATATATGACTCGTACCTGAGGTAAAAAAAATAGCGCGGAGGCGCTGTCGTCACGTTAGTCTCTCCGTCTTCCCGGGAGAACCCGGAGCCGCTGCCGACTGACTGACTGACTGCACAGACACACTCCGCTCCGCTCGGCCCCTGACGCAGCCCCTCCCCCCCCCACCACCCACCCCGCCTGCCCGCGCCGTCAACCGCCTCCGTCGCGTCACCGCGTCGCTCAGCCGCCTCCAGTTCCCCCTGATTGGGCCGCCGCCGCTGTCAATCACCCTCCGCCCGTCCCCCCATTGGCTCGTGCAGTTGTCAATCATGGCCGACCCCACGCCCCGTCTCCCCTTTCCTCTGACCCTCCCTTAGGGCTCCACGCTGATTGGCCTCGGCCGCTTTCAATGACTCCCCGCGATGATCCCGCCCCCCAGTTGCATCGGATCCGCTCTCCCCATTGGCTCCCGCTCGCTGTCAATCACTGCCGCTTCGGCCCCACCCCCTCTTACCATCACCACGAGGCTCATTTCTCTTTCTCTCCCCCCCCCCCTCCGGTTCCCTCGTAACTACTCGCCGATTGGTTCTCGGCCGCTGTCAATCATTCCGAGAGGGTGACAGGCGGGGGGGGGGGCGGGATTGAGTGGGCCACGTGGCGCGCGGTGTGCGCCGGTGTGACGTCACCAGGTCGACCGTTGGAGGTTCAAAAGGATTCAAAAAAGAGGTGACGGTTGGTGGGGCACAAGTTGCTGGTTGTTGTTGTTGTTGGATTTGGGAGCCCAACGGTGCAAAGACTTGGCTTTGGGAGCCAATGGTGCAGTTGGCTGCCCTGCCCAGCCCCTGCCCAGCCCCGCCCAGCCCCTGCCCAGCCCCTGCCCAGCCCCTGCCCAGCGCTCCGGGGCGCTGTCCCGCTTGAGGGCGCCCGCGCAAATGCAAGTCGCTGCTGTCGTGGTTGTTGACGACGACTCGAAGACACGATAAGGCTCTGTATCAAATGCAAAAATTATTATTATTATTGTTACAAAGAGGCTACAGCGTCGCCCCCGGACCCCCGGCAAAGTCGCTAAAGGTCGAACATCCCGCGAAGCGCTCCGTGCAGACGTCCGGGCTGGAGGGGGCCGGGGGGTCCGCCCGCGCTCTCCGGGAATCCGGTGGTGCTCGCGGTTCCGGGGCGGACGGACGGGCAGATTTCATCGCTCTTTTATCGCTTCGGGCTTGCTCCCAGCTCCCGCCCGCCCCTCCCTCCGCTGGGAAGCTCTCAACGATTAAGACCTGACGCGGGTTCCAAGCAAAATTCATTCCCCTGGAGGGGCTTTGTTCTGCAAAGGTGTCGCCTCTCAGCAGTCGAGTGCGACAAAGCGTGGATCGTGAAGCTAAAGCCATCGTGTGTGATCACCACTGCCGGGGAGAGTCTGCCTTGTTATTTGTGAGGGCGTTTGGGGACGCTGGCCCGGAAGAGGGATTTGCCGAGAGACGCGATGTAGGTGATGAGCATCTCCTCCTCAGTGATCTCCACGTGGACGAAGCCACCCAGAGAGACGATGTCCGCGTAGGAGAACTTCAGCCACCCCTCGGGCACACGGTGCTTGTGCCTCGTCGAGTCGTCCATGAAGTTCCCGGCCCCGCTCAGCACGTAGGCAATCCCGTTGCTGTCCTGAATGAACTGACACAGAGCGGGAAGAGAGGGAGTGAGGTCTGGAGGGAATTCACACAGCCCTTTCCCGACCCTGGCCGGACAGGGCGACACCTTAGGCAAATGTCCTTACTCTACACGCGCACCTCCGTTTACCTTAGCAGTAAGTAGGAACCCGTTTGTGGACGCTGTTGTGCCCAATTGGCCGCCGCATTCCACCCATTAAATATACAGTCAATTGACTTTACAGTGTATCCTGTGAAGCGCTTTGAGACATCTCAACGATGTGTTAAGGCAGCTGTATTAATAACACTCGAACAAGGGCTCTGGGACGCTACCCTGCGTGAGGGGCGCTCTATATAAATGCAAGTTGTTGTTGAATGATAAGACAGTCGGTTTACTGACTCTATGAGGCGAGTGGGCTCCCTGTGTGGAGACTGCCCCCTACCTGTAGGTTGTGGTCGTGTCCGCAGAAATAGGCGCTGACTCTGTACTTTGTGAGGAGAGGGTAGAGATACTTCACTAGGCACTTGGTGGGTCCGTGCTCAGCGATCGACCAGACCGGATAGTGACCAGCGACAATCAGGAAATCTGCCCTGGAGGACGTGACGGGGAGAAAGAAACAGACAGCGAGAGAAAGATGCTCACTGGGAATAGGATTGACAACTTGACGCAGTTAACGAACAGTGTAATCGAGTCATGCACACACACACAGCTGGGTAGTCGGTCATGTAAGAAGCTTCCAATCTATCCCGCAGCCCACGTGATGGTGCTTACGATCACCTCTTCGCCCTCCCCTCCCTCTCCCTCGGTTCAGACAATGTCAGACTCCGCCATTGTCAAGCGTGAAGTTGCACTTGTTGCTGTATGTCCCACCTTTGGCGGCTGAACCTTCAGCCACTCCACAAAAAGAAAGGCTGCATCCTATTTGAGAGGCAGAGCAGGAGACGTCCGGTCACTCTCACACACACACACACACCACACGCACGTGTGTGCGCAGAACTTTATGTGAGAGAAAGACAGATTCTCTGCATTCCAGAGCAGAGTCCCAGCGTTTGTTGGGATACCTGGAACTTTCCAGCTTTGTCCGGATCCACTTCAGCTGTGCATCGGCCGCTCGGGAATTTCTGGGAGCCTCCGGTTGCTCTCCGTTGAAGTCGTCCGAGTTTCCGCAGAGCAGGATGGTGTCCAGCATCAGGATGGTCACGGTGACATTGGTGCCTTCCAGTGTGAAATTCAGCTCGTAGTAATAGTTGGGGAAGTTCCTGCGGATAATAATAAATAATAACTTGCAATTGATACAGCACCTTATCACGTCAACAACAACAACAAGATTTCATTTATAGAGCGCCTTTCACGTTGGGAGGACGTCCCAAGGCGCTGGACAGTTGGGTCGGGACAGTACAAATGCAAAACAATCGGATAGGAACGAAACCAAAGAGAAACAGCATTTTCTGTTTTAGGAGTGACATGGTTTCAGTGCAACAAGCCTCGCCTCTTGACATGGTGACCAGACCAGCAAGATGTCTCCAAGCTCTTCGTGGGGGCTTAGCTGGTGTTGAGAGCAGCGAGTGTGTATTTGTAGAGAAGGTAAGGGAGCGGCCATTTTTCAAATGGCCAAGTGAACAACCATTTTGTACCGTACAAGAGAGCGGTATTCTGTCACAGCGGGAAGGACGTCTCAAAGTGCTTGATGGTTTAAGAGGAGGACACATCTTTATTGAGTCCCTCTCAAAGTGTGGATGTAGAGGAAGGGGAGGGAGGGCTTGACAAATGACAGGAAACGGCAGAAATCCTCACCAGCGTCTGGAAGAGTTGGAATAAGCAATCTGTGCTGTGACGTTTCCCGAATGATCGTGGTTCCCAGCCAGGACAAACCACGGCACATCCCTCAGCGATTCGGCAGAAAATATATCTTCAAACGTTTCCTGAAGATATTTTCCCCCAAAAAAGAGAGAGAGAGTGTGAATATCACTACACTACCCACACAGAGCAAGACTTGAATATTTAGAAAGGCACAAGAACAACAACAAACACATTTCACGTCGGGAGGATGTCCCAAGGCACTGGACAGTTGAGGGTTTGCACCTGAGCTGGGGGTTGGAATGGAGAGGGGTTAGGACAGTGGCTGAAAGCACACTCGGGAAAGTCTTGAGACGGGCCTCGAAGGGGGCAAAGGACCAGGTGAGGCAGAGCGATTCTTGTCGGAAAATGTTTAAATTCAGTTTGAATTTGGAAGCCGCTTTTCCGTGGTTCATACAAAAGAATCTCACACGGCCTTAAATTCCGCATTGAGACGAAATGATCTGACGGGCTCAGACTAGGTGGAATTTGGGCTCTCAGGTTTCTACGTGTGGTTTCAGATCAGCATTTGGATTAAGCAGTCAGCCTTTAAATCCCACTTTATGACTGAAATTACATTGAGGTGTCACTTCTCCCTTTCTCCCTCGCAAGCCTTCCAACTCTCCTGCTGTACAGAGCCCCGAGACTCTATGCCATACGATTGCAAGTTGCTGTTTAATTTGGTCATTCAATCCACGACTTTTTGCAGGACGCTGCTATGCGCAGATGGCTGCTGCGTTTCCCCCCACGAAATACATAGTCACTACACTTTATAGTGTACACTGTGAAGCCCTTTGAGGCGTCTCGAAGGCGTTATTAAGCGCTGTATCAAATGCAAGGATTATTATCAACAGTGATACACCCTGTCCTACTTGTCAGTTCCTGCCACAAATAAGTTTTCTTCGCTGGCTTTACTTTGATTTATTACTCTATCGTTCGTTTAGCTACTATTTCAAAGTTAATGTGTGTGATTAGGGAGCTGTTAGTGAGTATTAAGTCACCCCTAACCAGCCACCATTCTTGTTAACAACAGCAACAACAAATGATATTTATACAGCGTCTTTAACTGTGGGAGGACGTCCCAAGGCGCTGGACAGTCAGGGATTTGGGTCCAAGCTGGGGTTTGGGATCAGGAGGAGTGGGGCTAGGAGGGTGACTGAAGGCACAGTCGAAGAGATGGGGCTTGAGATGTGCTTTGAAGGAGGTGAGGGAGGGTGAGAAGCAAAGGGACAATGGGATGGAGTTCCAAAGAGTGGGGGCAGAGAGGCTGAGGGCCTGACCGCCAGTGATGGGGTGGGCCGAGAGGGGGAGGTGGAGCGGGCCGGAGCCTGCTGAGCGGAGGGAGCAGACAGGTCTATGTCAGTTAACTCCTCAGCCCGAGAGACTCAAATATCACCTGAAATCTTCGGTCGGTCAAGTCTTTGATTCCATCGAAGTAAAAGTTGTCCCCCAGGGACAGGATGAAATCGGCACCCAGTGTCTCTGCCGCAACACCCATCTGGTGAGCCGTGGTTCTCTCCACCGGCGTGGTGTACGGTGAGACCGGCAGCCCGCCCCAGTCCCCCACCGCCAGGAAGCCAAGAGACTTGGAGGGACCTGAGAAAGACATTGATTGATGATCGTTGGCTTTAGTGACTCATGCGAGGGACACCTTGCTATGTGCAACACCCCTTTCTGTGTTGGCTTAACAAATACACTTAGCATTTCGCCCACAAAATACACAGTCACTCCACTTTACAGTGTATCCTGTGAAGCGCTTTGAGACGTCTCAACGATGGATTAGGCGCTATGTCAAATGCAAGGATTATTATTATTAATAACATTAATCGCAGCAAAACAAACGTACCCCGGTCAGCGCCGAGACTGAGTGCCGCGGTGTACAGTACTGCCAGCACAGCGACTGCAATTCTTCGAATCATCTCTGCCTCGAACTTGAGAGGCGCAAAGGGGAGAACGTTAAGCCGGTCGGATTTGGCCACAACCTCAGATACCCTGCACAAGTCTCACCAGACTTCCTGTAATCTGTACAAGACCGGCTTCTGACAGTCAGTCAACTCTCACAGATCTCTTAAAGATAACTGCAACTCAACTTCCCTTATTGTTTCCGCATTCAGTCCCATTTCCTCTACGTAACCTTTGTTCCTGTAGCTTCTGACTTTGGGGGCTGCTTGTCACGTGGGGGGAGAAGCTTGAATAACAGGTTTATCAGCAGAACAAGCTATGGCTTGCTCACACTGTAACCACACTATTCAGCTATCTCAGCGGTTACTGTTGAATCAGCAGCTATCTCCTAGTCCATAGCGCAGAGTACAAAAGGTCATTTGAGTCTATTCTCGAGCACTCCTCCTGATACTGAGCACAGGCACCTTCCAAAAGCAGTAAGTGCACCCTATCGGGGTGTGTGTGGGTGTACACGTTGATGTAGTGCACACAGGGCGAAAGGCTTAGTTGAGGTACAGATCAGCCATGGTCTAATTAAATAGCGGAACAGGCTCGAAGGGCTGAATGGCCTACTCCTCTTCCTATGACTCCTGACTGTTTCAAAGGGAGTGTCCCCCCCAAAAACAAACTGTGCACATCTTGTGTGCGGTGAAGGAATGGAATGTTTTTGTATCAGGAGGAAGGGAAAAATGTAACAGAAGCTGTTGTACGTTGTGTTTGATTTTGATTTCTGTTTGTACCGAATACTATATTGATAAATAAATATATATTTTCAACAACAAAAAAAGCAAAGGCTTTGCACTGTTGATGTTTTCTCTAACCTCCATCCCACCACGTTTCAGGGCGTTCTGACGTTGTTACAGAGGTCCTTGCCTTCAAAACTTTCCCAAGGACCCACCTCTCAGAATGCTTTCTGACTACATCCTCTTACCACTCCTCCGCAGGATTTTTTACTGTGAAGTGTAGTGACTGTATTTTGGGTAGGCGAATGCGACAGTTGGAAGAGACTGCCTCGGGATCTTTAACATCCACCAGAACTGGTGGACAGAGTTGTGAAATGCAAGTTGTTGATAGCCCAGGCAACAAAGACACAAGATGAACCTTCTGACCTCTTTTAAGTGTCTCAAAGGTCCATGTCTCCCCCCCCCCCCCGCCTCCACCACCACCACTCCTCCCAAACAAAAAGGTTAAGTTTTATTTAAAAATAGACAAGGGCCAATGGCTTGGGTTGGAGGCCGGGGTCACGTGCCTTTTCGCGCGCAAATACACGCAGTCACTCCACTTTACGGCGTGAGCGGTGAAGCTCTTTGAGGCGCCTCAACGATCGGGCGCCGTGTCAAGTGCCAGGATTGTTAGATTATATTACTGTGATCGTTTGAGGGAGGACCACAACTACCAGCACAGCCTCTGCCACCCCATCACCTGTCACCCCCCACCCTCTTTTTCCCCCACCCACATTCACCCCCCCCCCCCCCCCCCCCCATTCACCCCCCCCCCCCCCATTCACCCGCCCCCCCCAAAAAAAAAAGACTGGACAGAAAGGAAAATGCAGCTAAAGAAGAACGATTCAACTGGAGGAGTAATGAAGGAACTGAGCAGATTGCAATGAAAACACAAGCAAACAAGGACTGTGTGGG